TCTACAGACTATCCCGAATAAATTACTACGGAAGTTTCACTTGTACGTATATGTATATAGTTTGATGTATATGTAAATAATAGTACGTACGAGTAAAACTTCCGTAGTAATTTATTCGGGATAGTCTGTAGATTTTTCTTGATTTTTTTTATAAATCATTTTTATTATAATTTCCAGTCAATTCTTCTTTGCTGCAATGTATTTTTTTGTACACTCATTGACAGTTTTTGAATTACATACAAAGTTTCACTTTTGACGCTGTTAGTTTTGGACTGACGCATACATTTTTTGTATCTTCATTGACAATAACTGAGAATAAAAACAATATTAAAAAATTTTTAATATGAAATAATTTAATAGACATATACATATATGTATATATTACATATACATAAACATACTACATTAAGAAAAGAACTATATAAGTAATTAATATGACTTATGTTAATGAATCACAGATTCAAATATCTTTATCTGCACTGTCATTTTTATTTGGCAAAATAGAAATAATTGGCTTATGATAGCTAAAGTAGGATACAAATACTTCAGATCTCAATGAATTCAAGTATCTTGAAAAAACAGCATCCAAGCAAGTTCCATATCTTGTTGTTGAAATATGAATGTCATTGTTTATTTTTAATTGTAATTTAAAAAAATAAAAAAAAAAATAATTTTTTCTTTGCTGCAGTGTATTTTAATAATGTATTTTAAAAAAAATATTTCCATAAATAAAGCAACACTAGTTACAACGACTTTCTCTGATGAACTGAGACTTACTTGCTCTCCTACGTACGTAAGATTGTACAAGTCTAAACTAGTCCTAAATTTTATATAAATAAATAACATCAATACTGCTTGACTCATATACAGAACATATATTGATAAACTGAATAACATGATCGCCATCAATAAACAATGCCCTGCGACTATTCTCGGCGTTTCCTCTTTGTGCGGATCTTCGTTAATTTTTTCCGCCTCTCTCACTCTGCTAGAGTAAATGGTAATAAGAAAGAGACAAGGAGTTTAACAGTTTTGTTAGCTCGACGAGTTAACTCTCATGACAAAACGCTAGTGTCCCATAAAAAGTTTCACTTCAAAAAACATTACTTAGTTGTTATAAATTTAAATTATTGACAATGCAAAAATATAATAAGAACGTTAATATCTTGAATACTTTGATTATGTGAGGTCTTGAAAATTAATAATACAATTAAAAATGTTGTATTCAATTACTATGGTATTTTTGTTTCTTTCACGACTCTAACTGATTATGTTACGGATAGTCAATATTCAACTATACTAATTATTTCTCAATAATTACTTAAAAATAATATTGATTTCATTAAGTATTATAGAGTTAAATACATTTATCATACGTAGTAATGTAATCATGTAGCTCAGTCAACCTTTCTTTAAAAATATTATTATTCCAAAGACTTCATAGATCTTATGAAAAAAAAAAGTTATTTTGTTTAATATTACAAGTTTTATAAAAGTTGTATCCATTGAGTGATCCATTATTGATTAATAAATGTTTAAATCTTTATGTAACTATGTTGTATATTTTAATTTTATTTATTTGAAACAGTTTCTAAAGCTCCGGAAATTTGAAAAACTCATTTATTCTATTTCGATCTGATATTGTCTTTGATACTTTTTTTATTTTTTTTTCCTGTTTGTATTGATTTATTTTAAAGTTTCTCTGAAATAATCTGAATTTTTTTCATTAAGTTTTTAATAAAATTTTGTCCCATGAAACTCTCTGCATACTTCAAAAAATGTTCTATAATTTATTATTCTTATTCACTCTAATTTATTCTGAAAATTTCATTCATTTATTTGATTTTTATTCTTATTCACTTTTACTTATTCTAAAAAATTCTTAAAAAACATGTTCCAATTATGAGAAGGATTCTGAATATTTCATATTATTTAAAGAAGTATTCAGATCTTTTTGGAAAAAAAATCAGAACTTCTTACAGCGTTTTCAGAATGTTTCAGAAAAATATTTTCCACACGGGCAAAAAGTCCTAAAATCATTAAACGCCAATTATTTAAATCTACAAATCAACAATATTTAAAATGAATTATTTTCTTTGGTTTTTTTTTTTTTTTAAATTCAGTACGTTTCATGACACAATAAATATAACAACCAAAAATGTGGCGTGACTGTTATTAATTAATTGGCTTAAACATTTTTAATATTTTCACAATTTCATGCTTCTATAAAATCTCAACAGCCACGCCAAGTTTTTGGTTGCTATGTTTATTGTGTCATTAAACGTAGTAAATTTTTTTTAAAAAAAAACCGAAAAAAATCATTCATTTTAAATATTGTTGATTCGTAGATTTAAAGAATTGACGTTTAATGATTTTAGGACTCTTTGTAATTTCTTTATTGTCGTTATTCATATTTTACGCACATTTTTGTACAACCCAGAAGGAGGGGGCTGTTGTTGATGAGATTCATATTACACAGTTTATAACTTTATCTTAGTGAAAGAAAAAATTACGCGTTGGAAGAACTCAAATATATTGCATAGAACGCGTTTTCAATTGTTTATAACAATTTAATTTGTTATAAACAATTTACATTAACAAACGTAGGCTATAAGCTTTCCTTCAATGTTCTTATCAAGACTATTTGAACAATATTCACGATTTCATGATTCAAATATAAATCAAGAGTGATCTGCTCGTCACTCGCGCCAAGTCCACGTCCCAATTTCTGTTTCTTTCTCTTTTTCACATTATCTCTCTCTCTCTCTCTCTCGCACTCCCTCATGACAGCGCGCAACAGCAGACACTCTATACAAGAAATTTTACCTTCTCTCTTTCTTCTCAACTCTAATTTATCTATTAACTTTTAAAGTACAGCACATCCGCATAATTCATCCATAGATTTACCATACAAATCATCTATGAGCTTTTGTTTGCAGCATTAATCATAATTTTTAGTCTATTTATTGAAAAGATATTCATCCGTAAAGATTGAAAGTCTGAACTTTCTAAAAAATATTCAACAAAAGTCAAGATTCTCAGATTTCTTAAGTTGGCAATACTACATCAATGAACTACATATAAGAAAAAATTCTATTCTTCATGGGATTTATATTTATTTATATTATTTTTATAAAACTTTTTTATGTTGAACTTTTTTCTGTCTCAAAGAAATAAAAAACGGGCTCCGCAGAATGATCGAAAAGCATAGAATACACCTATGTAGCATAGGCAATAGCTAAAATAGTTATAAATTATGTTTTTAGCTTTAAATAATGTCTTATTAAAATATCATATTTTTCGCTATTTTTTTAAAGACTTTTTTATTTTGAACTTTTTTCTGTTCTAAAGACTAAAAAAAGAGCGAAAAATATACCTATGTAGCATAGGAAATAGCTAAAATAGTTATAAATTATGTTTTTATAAAAACATGTTTCTTGCCGAAAAATTCTATGAATGCATATAAAATTCTAATTTATCCATAGAATAATTCGTACATTCCTATCTTCTATCAATGTTACTAGTCTTTTAAAATAAAAAAACTGTGAAACTTGGCATAATTTTGCTTTAAGTCTGCCCAATCCAGTTGCAAATGTCCTTATGTACGAAGAACTGTAATACATAAAACTGTTCAGCGAAACTTAAAAATTGGGCCAAGTTCCATAGATACTAAGTTCATACGTTTCTTTTCTTTATTGAAAAAAATAATTGTAATTAATATTTATTATTGATAACTTTATTTACGTCGTTGTCTTTTGTGTAACCTTACCGTTACTGATGCGTCGTAATAGCCACGCCAAGTTTTTCATGTTTCAAAATATTACAATTAAAATTACTAAATTATTTTGATGTTTTTTAATTTTTAACACAATGTATTATTACTTTTTCACATGTTTTTTAAGGTACCTTTTTTTCTAAGTATCAAAAATGATTTTTAAATTTTCTAAACAATTTAAAACTATTTAAAAAAAAATTAATCTATTTTACTTTAATAAATGTGACTAATATTCGAAATACAATACTTGGCATTTAATGATTTCACGCTTTTTTGTAATTTTTTAACTAATGTACATTTACGATAATAGCATTTTAAGAACACAGATTATCGTCCTCGTCATTTAAACTTGGCGCACAGTTTTGTACAGTCCGTAAGGCTGTTTTTGGTATGATAAATTTTTTCATTTATTCATTATCTTAAACACTTATCTGAGGAGTTACATTACTTCTCAATGTCGATAATTTACTCTCTAATGATGCTGCCTTAAGCAGGTGACTCTTGGCGATAGAGAATGCAGACTCAGATTCTTCAAGAGAAGATTCGGACTCGTTTCACTTGGGAGAAGAAGTAGACTCAGTGCTGGTAACTCTAAAAAATAGAGGCTTAGGAATCTCAGCGATCAGCAAATCGCTATTGTTGGTAGATAATGCATGCTCTCATGTAAAAAACGATCTCTGGTTTCTCAGGACTCGCTTAGTAGTCTGTGAGAGTTACTGCCCTGATGATAATGTAAATGGTTCACTTTCAGATGGTAACTCCTCATGTGTTCGCTCAGAGCTTTCCCAGACGAGAGCCGTTATCAAATAATTTTGTTGGCACTCGGTAAAGAAGCTTCTACCAAAAAAATATTTTTTTAACAATTCGATTGCATTCTAGTACTCGATATTAATAGTCAAATTACATCTATCAATTTAAATAGAAATACAGAAATATTTGACATTAAAATTCTTGGAAATGCACAATCAACAATTAAAAAAAAAAAACCCAAAAAAATATATTGTTAATATAAAACATATAATTTCAATAAATCTTATAAAAAAGTAAACACAGTAATTTTGTTTATAAATATAAAATTAATTATCTGTAGGATAAAATTCATTTACACCAATGAAGTTTTGGTTTGATGTGAAAAAGCGTAAAAGGCCACGGGTTCGTGGCCGAGCTTGCGCGGTGCTTTTGCCGACGCGCGTCCTGGCCACGGCTTGTCCGATATACAAAGCGTAAGTACTCGTGTCTGAGCTTCTGACAGCGATTGTGTACGCATGTAAACGTTAAGAAATAAAATAATTATATTCGTATGTAGAATAATAAATGTTATCCGGTAATTACGGCCTGATAATGTAAACCATGAGATGCATAAAATTGTGAAGTAAAAATTGTGTTGCTATCGAAAAAAGCAAAAAGTAGCGGTGAAAAAGCTCAGTAGTAGCAGTTTGACCTAACGAGTCATCCATGGCTTGAGGAAGCCAGCGAGTTTATCCTAAATAACATCCACAAACATCTAAACTTCTTTTTCTACAAGAGATCTTAAATTTTGTCCAGGTAATTCAAATTTATTATCAATTTCCAAACTATCGACATGATAATAACCATTAACTACTGATTAATTAATGTTATGTGAATAAATGGCAAAATCGACAAAAACTGTAAGTAAATAGTCTGTAAATAAAGAGGACCATTAAAGTAAACAAATCTCAAATAAAGAGATTGGTAGTTAAGGGTTGAATAGTTGCATTTTTTATTTATCTCATAAATATTCATTTTATTTCGTCGTATTGATTAAGCTTATCTATGGAATATTGAATGCTTTCAAGTAGTTAAACCCCATTTTTTTAAGAAAATTTATAAAATAACATCTTCCGGCAGATGGAGGGCGCGACCTCGCAACAGTGAGTGTTCTTTGCAGAAACGTAAACACTGAAACGGTCAATGACTGTCTTGTGGCGAAGCTTCAAGTTTTTTTCAGTTATTTTACAGTTTTCTTTTTGTTTGTTTTATTATTATGTTTTTGTTCAATTTATTTTTACTCCTTACAAATTTTTGCCAAGTAGATACATTGTGCTTTTGAACTATATTGGTGTTTAGATAGTTCTATTAATTTTCAAACAAATAACAATTAACCTAGACAATGTAATCGTTAATTTTATCATAACCCAGAATACAATCGATTTCATCAGTTTAATTTAATTGGGAAAACTTAGAAGTAATTTAACAATTTGTTCAATTCTCAATAAATCTTAAATATAATAAATATTATATACAATGGCTGATATCAGAAACCATATTTTGCTATTGGATACTACTTAACTTGTAAAGTTATTTATCTATACTTGATGATACTTTTCGTCTAACTTGTCTCCTCATAAATACAGAAAAAAAAAACAAACTTTTTGGATCTCACTCTTTCAAAGTGTTACGTACACATTAAGTAATGAGCTTTGTATGTTATACCAGGTAAATATGATATCATTTTTAAATTTATTCACATTTCTGATTTTAAACGTGTCCATTAAATTCCTTGAATAATTGACATTTACGATCACAACATTAATGCAGGTTGTGAAAGGTTGTTGAGATGACCCATATGCCATTTGAGTGATGCAATAAAATGTGGTTCAGTTGGAGAAAATGTCTAAGAGTTAAATTTATGTTTTAATGAGAGCTTTCTTACATTTTTACTCCATTGGTGAGGTGATACAGTTGATAATGAAGAAGAAAGAAAGAGAAAGTGAATTTTTTTTATTTTCGATGTAAGTTTCTAGCAAATGATAAACCTACAAGTGTTATGCATCTTATTGCATTGCATTATCGAATTTCTTTTATGTACCAAAGAGAATAACTTACAGTCGAAGCATGAAGGAAAGAGGGATTGGCTTGGTGCCAACCTCGAAATAACTAAAAACAACGGAGGTTATACTGCAGGAACTACAGGCATTTCAACAAATAATGCGTGATGGGTCATCACAATATGGGTCGATTAGTTGGATCATTTATCAACTCAGTGAACTGTAAAGAAACTTTTATTTATCATTTCTTAATTCTATTGATTAGCAACAAATCGATTACCAAAACAAGCTGTTTATTAAGTATCCAGATCTTATTTTAGTATATTAGATCATAAACTAAGAAGGAAATTATTCCTACACATATGTCACTGGAGATAAGGTTTATGTTGGTTGGCTGCTTAGATTGCAATATACGATGTAAATAATTCATAAATCAATACATATATCTAATAAAATATATATTCAATAGGTCAGCATAACAGGTGGTTGCTTAATCGATTTCGTGTCAATATTCTTGAAGGCATATTGACAAGAAGTAAATGACATATTTGAAAAACAATATTTAATAATAATCTATGCTGTCATCAGGATAAAAAATTTAACTGTAAAACAGAGAATCGTTAAGGCATTCCAATAGTTGTTCAATCAGCCATATGGAAGAGATATTGATTAACCATCAGATGATGATAAGCAAAATAACAGAAGCTTTTATTCGTTTTACAGTAAATAAAACTCCAATTTCTCTAATGGTCAGGGAAATATATAGGTAACCATCACGCGTTTAATACTATTTTATATACTGTGAAATAGCCTTGCTTTATACACGTCGACCTTTCAATCTACAAGATTCAATAACAAGCTAGATCTCCCTTGATAATTTACTAAATTACATGTGTCTCAGATTGTTTCCAATAATGTGATTTATCATTATATGTACAGGATGTTATCGCAGTGTACATGGCAAGTACTTTTTCAGAAGTACTTGAAGAAATAGCTAGAAGAGAATGGGATCCATTACTTTTACAGCAGCATTTTTCTTATTTGATCCTCTATGTCTGGCGCCATGAAATTGCAATTGACTTGATAAGTACACGTAGCTCTGGTGCTACACAGTTATAATCTTCACAGCTGACTTGTGACAATATTCAGCTATTTTACGAGATAAACAATGTCGTGAATAATCCACTTGACTGATAATAATTGGTATCGCTTCTATAGTTACATCACTATTACTGCTACTGAAATAATGTACTTGACTTTTGTTAGTGTAGAGTCATGATAGGTGTAAATACGTTCAATATTCAAGTAATATCATATTGTATACGTCATACAAGTGGTAATTCGTTCCAAGCATGACTTTGATCAGTCATCAGTGGCAAACTTCAAATTATCAAGATTGATAACTTTATTGTGTACCATATATTCATGCTAAGCTGGTTACATTGATTATTTCTATGTGTTAAACTTCATTAGGGAAATGGAACGATAAAGTGAAGGGAAGATTTTGAAGAGATATCCTGATGTTGTGGAAATGTTTTATCTGTATTCTTCAAGATGATCTATCAATCCTATTTCCTTGATGACTGGGTTAAGTGATGTCGTTGGCGCCGATTCACTTCGACATTCTCATTAAATTCCTCATACTTGTGTGATATATCAAGATTAATATATATGTATCAGCTACACATATTAACTTCAATCTCTAATGATTGTCCTTTGTAAAAACGTGCTAATGTCGTTGCCATCTTATTAGTTATTATTGTCGATATATGTATGTATATATGCTCTATAAATTAATTGATTTAATAATTAATGCGACATCATTTTTAAAAATATAAAATTCTCTATAGAAAATTATCAACCGCGAAATTAGTTTCCTAATTGGATCATGACATTTAAGTCATCTACTATCATATTATGCTAATTATGTTCAATTTCATTTAATATAAAATTAATGTTTTTATTCTTGTAAATGCATACGTTGCGTTTGCGTTCTGTCAGACATGGGAGGAAGCTTATTGATCGGTCAGAGTGGTAACGCTAACCTCGGTTTCTTGTTAGACCATCATTTTTATGCTCTTTTGTGATGGAACATATATAGATATATATGTTTTTTCTATCACAACATTCAATTAAATTGATGGTGTTGCAAAAATGAAAGCAAAGGATTTTATTTGAATTTTTTTCCAAAGTTGGATGTTTAGAAAATCCAATCATGATATTCGATATTGGTACACTTACAAATATAGCATAGTTTGTATTCACTAAAGAATTTCAATGATGTAGCGTACACACGAAAGGTGAATTCGAGTATTATACCATTGGGAATACCCCTGAAGTAACAAGCTTGTGGTAGCAAGAAGACAATGGAGACTACCCCTTACAAACGAGCTACCTCACACAATACAATAATAGAGACCTAATCAGTTATGCATCTTGTTTTAATAAAATCTATTTGAATTCATAATATAAATCTTCTACGATACTCTCGTTAAATTTTATTCATTTGTGGAATTTAAACAATTAAATAATTATACAGGTAGTATGATAATAAGAGTGAGAGAGAGAGAGAGATATTTTCATTGTCTCCAGCTTTGGTAAACTATCATTTAGCAAGGGAAAATATTTTTTCTTCATTAGCTTATGTTTACTTGCAGGAAAAGTGATAGCTTATGTGGAAATTTCTCTCAAAGTTTTGATAGGGTGAATAAAATAATTATCTATGAATAATACATTTCTTTTAATACATTTAATGCTAAAAAAACACTTCCTCAGACTTTCATCAGGAAGTATTAATTTTTCATCAGTGGAGAATTGATAGAAGAAATTGAACAAAAAATTCATATGACTTGGGAATATTAAAGAAGCTTTTTTTTGCTATTTTTAGGGAGGATGATGACTCAAAATATCTATAGACATGTTTTTATTATTTCATTTGTAAAAAATGAATTCTTTTTCTTGCCATTCGTGAATTCATTAAACTCTTGAATTTTTTAGTTTTGTGAATTTTATAAATTACTGATCTAAACTTGAAGCAAAAGAAACAGGGAAATTTTTTTTGTCAATGACCAGAGAAAAAAAAACTATGAATAAATGATCAGAATGAGATATCAAAAAATTACTGTTTTATTCATAATATTGAAATATTTAAATGTAGTTAAACACTCAGGATATTACTATGAATTAATAAATAATCTATTCCCTTCCAATGTTGAAAAGCTATTCATCTAGATCAATATTAACTTCAGTAGATGTTAGATAATTACAATAAATTTATCATGAATCATTTTAAAATATATTATTTAAATAAATACAGAATATTTTAGTCTATATGACAGATTGGAAACTTTAAAAAAAAATATTACTTACAACTTACAGTTTTATTCCGAGCTCTTGTATGCTGAATTTCGTGTTACGAATCACTGGAGATTCATAACAAAAACAAACATTACAAGTCAATAACTTGTAATACATAGTACAGAAAAAATTTCTCTCAGCAATAAAAGTAAAATCTAAACACTCGTTTTCAGTGAGTTATGTATGAACTTTCAAACAATAACATCACAAAATTTGTGTTAAATCAATATACACTGACATTTTATATCCATGAAAAAGTTGGTAGATATAATTCAGCTCAAGTATCATCAATATCTCCAACTTAATTTATCAACTCTATGCAATTTCAGCTTTAAGCTTTTAATTATCTTAGCCTAAATAGACAAAAGAAAATATCAAGCAAAAAAAGGCTTGATCTTCAGTTCATGGGAATGAAGGAGTTTATTATTTTTTCGACAATGCAGGGTGAAAGTAAGCTGATTTCTTATCAGTCTACTATCGACTAATCCTCATCAAGTTTGTTCTAAAAAAATTTCGCACAAACTTTGACCTTAATTATCGTGTCTTTTTTTCTTTATAGAGGAGAGAATTCCTGATAAGATGTGCCTTGTGAGTGAATGAGCTAAAAGCGTAATATAGAAAAAAATGCGTGGCACTATGCCACCCTACCCTATTATTCCTTTCTCTCTGTTGAGTCTATGTACTGCTTTCATCATTTTAACCCTCGACGTATTTGTTATCGATCCAAACTCTCCTTCTTTATTCTTGCATGCTGCTTAAATATTTTTCTGTTTACAAAATACGTTGTTAAATGTCTGATATATCAAGCATTAAGCTGAGAATCAGCCAAACAGAAAAACTTTTTAAGTATTATTTCGTGAGTTTATAATTATAAATATTGCTTTCTTATACTATAAGGATTTATTTTTGGTAAAGAAAATGTAATAATAAAATTCTATTTTCGCAAAAGAAAAAAATCTCGGGATTTTTTTATTTTTATTTCACGCACATATTCATGAATACCGTGTTTTATGTTCTGAAGTAATTAATATAAGAGTAGGTAGTAGGATAATGGAGTTATATTTGTTGTAAGCAAACGCTCGACCCACATTTAAGAAAAAATAGTAAAAAGTTGTTATGGATATTATTTGAGACTACAAAGACCTTTCTGGTTTCATGAGCATTTTTTTTCTTACTCAACTTCTGATGTCTGAAATTATTATCTCACTATAATGAAGACTTTATTTCTATTGAATAAAGTCATTTATACACTGAAATGTGGATAAAAGTAAAATGAATAGTTAAATTTTAAATTAAATAAATCTGCGTTATTTAACCATTTTGACATATAAAATAATATTTAATTGGAATACTGATACGCCACGGTGCATCCTGCAACCTAAAAAATAAACTACTCAGTTCCCCGAATCAATGTATTTTAAAAAGCATTTGATAAACAACACTTATTGATAATTGATAGGTGTTGATACTAAAATGTATAGGAGAAATAACAAAAAAAGAAAAAACAGAAAAATTGATAGAAAAATAATAGATTTAGAGGCAAATGTATGGTAATGACAGGTTTACTGAGCAGGGTCTTATTTGCGGTGTTGCAGGATGCACGCGGTTGGATTGCATTCGGCGCTGGCCATCAAGCGTCAGAGAAAACGTCGGGATGAACAACGACGTGCCCGCGAACGTCGTTACAGTACGCAATCTGGCGAAAGTGGGCTAACATCGCCAAGAGCTTCGACAGGTTCATTGGACCGACATCGTCATCCACACAAGGCGCAACCACATCATGCTGCTGGTCAAGGAATGTTGGACTCTAAAGTCGTCACATCCATTGGAATGCTCCACATTGGAGTAGTATTTCTTGTTTTAGGTGGTTTTTTGCTTGGAAGTGGTTTACTACCTGGAGACTTGGCCAACTGGAGCTCCAAGAGTTCTGGTGGTTGGTGGAATGAATTGGTAGCAACTGGACTTTTTGCTGTATTAGTTGGAATATTCCTTATTGTGTTGAATCGAATTATTGCCAAAAAAGAGGAAAATGACTTGGAGGAGTATGTCCAGAGACAATTGACTAGATCTAGGTCTGGTCACCGGTTAGAACGAGATGTCGAAACTGGTGGATTAACAACTCGGCATGCTAGAAAAGCTAAACAGCTTAAGAAAATGACTTCTTCTAATTCAATAGAAGTACAAAGTGAAAAGTCATTAAGTACCCCACCACGTAGTCCACCACCTGCTTATTCACCACCAGCAGTTGCCAATGGTGATCATAATGTCCAAGCAGCTCTTTTCTTGGAGCAAATAACTGAAGAAGAAATAATAAGTGATCGCCTTGAGACTTCAACAACAAACAGCTTAAGTCCTGGTTCTCCCAGTGAGACTCGAGAACTCTTACGTACCGATTCTCGTTACAACAAGCAAAATGGCCATCACAACCCACAACATAATCATTATCATCATCATCATCATCATCATCAAGAGGAACATCAACCAATTTACGTTAATCCTGCGCGAACTTAATTTCATTTTGCATCGATCAAACTTATTAAAAATTCAAATCTTCTATAATCGAATTAATTATAGAAATGAGGTGCTCTAATTCAAGCCTAGTTATGGCTAGGTAATTTTTTTTATACGGATATATGTATATCTATGAACTTGTATTAAACTTATTATTGTTACCAAAGGTATTTCAAGCATTTACTGTGCTTTGTCATGTACTTGAACACCGAAATAATGCATGATCTTGTAAGAAATTTTATATGTTCATATTACAAAAAATTCATTCTTCTATACTCGTTCAAATTAGCGCTTACATGATGTAATATTCATCTATAAACTGTAAGGTAATTATTTAGAATTGGGATTTATCTATATACAAATATTTGACAATTTTTGCTAATTAATTATAACGCTACAAATGACATTTTCAAATGAGACAAGGTACGGAGAGTAAATTTAAAAAAAAATTAATACAATTTTTTTTCATAATTTCAATAATTTTCACTTAATTGAGAACTTAAAAATGGTACTATTGATAAAAAAAAATCATGAAAAGTAATCTTTAAAAAAAAAAAAGTAAAAGAATAAAAAGTATGTCTTTTTATTTGTGGGTTAATTACCAGTTTTTATACTCACTCCCTTCTTTTTTCGTTACTTATGATAATTTTCAGTGGTAATTTATGTTTCGAGTATTTTTAAATACCAAGGGAAAATCAAGGTAGCATAAAATGCTGACACACGATGAGAAATTAAAAATTTCATCATTACTTGGGGCAGAATAAGATTTTTTTTTAGTACACTTCTTCATTTAAATATTTATTTTTAATAATCAAGATATATTTGTTCAAGAAAAACTTATTAGAGCACTAATGATTTTTTTAAACAATCTTAAACTAGATGAATTTTCTAAGATTTTGGTCAATAAAATAATAGACTATTAACTTTCTCATGAATTAATAAGATCTTAAAGAGATTCTTTTTGTCCTGGTTTCTATCAATGAATAAAAAGTTGATAATTAATTTGTCTTGTTCGTAACTTGATGCTTCTTTTAAAATCAACATCTTCTTTAATCTCTTGAATAACTTAAAGTCAACAATAAATTAAAATCCTCAATGATAATTACATCTGGCAAAAAAAAAGAATATCTTACTTCGTCCCAAGCTATCAGACATCATTTGATATTTCACTTCACCTTAGTTTTTTCTACAAAAAAAAACTCATGGCCCTTATTTCAAGTAATTGTCAACAATAATTAAACCTTAATTCAGCTTCTGATGTAATTTGAAAGTATACTGAACAGAGCATGAAAAGGGTTCCTATTCTAAACTACCCTTAGCAAAAAAATCTATAAATCACCATTAAGACAACGTTGTTCAAGATAAAAATAACGTGAAAAATCTTTGAACATGGGTATTCAAAATGGTTATTTTGAGAAGGGTTGTTTAACGTAGGTATCAAAAATAAGTTTCAGAAAATAGAAAGGATTATTCATAGAATATTATGATCTTCTTTAAAAGAAAGTAATATCGCTTTAAAAATTCTGTTACTTACATACATGATGATGTATGGTTAAATTAAAACTATATATATATGAATGTATGAAGACATAAATCATCGCTGACATATCTATGATCTGTATTTCATAAAAAGATTTTCTTCTATTTTCTGTCGAATATTCAAATCTTCTTTATTCAAAAAATAACCATAATAATGTGTACAACAGACGACGTGATTGACGGACCAAGGATTTAATACGTTGCCAAGATTATCAGTGCAGTAAACATATTATAGAAAAGAAGAAATTTAACGAAATACGAATAATAAATATTTCATCAATTAAAAATCATCAATGTAATCTATAGAAATTTTAAGCATTTTAAAAGTATCATTAAATAACTCGTAACAATTCATTATCGAAGTCAACATACTCTTAATGTGTACGATATGATATCTATATCAATCAATTTCTAATAAATTTTTCAGAAATTGGCAAAATCAAGACAAATGATTGAAAAAAATAAATTAAAATAAATGCTCAGAATTTTGTTGTTATTAATTATTAATATCTCATTCATAAAGAGTATATTAAGATAATATGTTAATAATATAAAATATTATATTTACACATTTCGATTATGCCAAGTATGTACACAAAACTATTTATTAAGGTAGATGTAATTATTGAATTGATAATCCATTTTTGTATGACCTGGAGTACTTAATATTTGCGCTTAATTTTATCTACTTTAAAAGATTATTGAAAATGATTTATATGCATAAAATATTAGTCATTGAGGAAGTAATATTATTGTTAATCTTTTACAAGAACTTATTGAGATCAACTAAGGAGGTATTCTTATTCATAAGCTTGAAATTTGTCTTAAACTTTTTATCAGATATTGATTACCTCTCAGACATGATTTGTTATAGAAACTTCATTCCTTTCATTGACGAGCTTTATGTAGGTGTATTATAATATTTTTTATATCTATAAATTTATTTAATAAACTAGTGTTTTATGAATTTATTATATTCTTTAATTAATAGTTTATTGAGATAATAGAGATTACTACGTCAATGTTGAGCATCAATAAAGATGATTGATAACATCTTCATTATAACTTAGCATTATAAACTGTGTGCTTTTTTGTAAAACAAAAATATTTATCAGGAAAAAAATAATTCTTGTAATGAAGTTAGTTATAACTCATGAACGAATCAATGTTGATTAATATCTAGTTTGCATAGAAATTATATAAATATGAATTATATATCTACCAACATAAATCAGATGTATCACAAATATCTTACTGTAAGTAATGTAAGATTCAGATATAAAAGATACTCGTATCTGGATTGAATTATTTTTCATCAATATCATGCTACAAGTAGCAAAGGTACAGCTTTTAAGCATAGCTACAAGCTAAACAACTTGAAATTATATGAAAGAAAGATTGAATAAGAATTAAATCTATTTTGTATTTGTTATTTCAGTTCCAAAGCTTTTGTTCAATACTATTTCCAATTTAAAAATACAATTTCCATTAGATTATTCGTAATTTTTGAAAGAAAAAATGCTCGATATTTATATTTTATTTCTCTGTATGTACTGCACTTTGTGGGATAAAGATTTTGAAAAATATTTGTTGCTTGGTTCAGATACATTGAAGAAAGTTTTAATATTCCTTCATGTAAAAGATGTTTTGCATCACCACCAGTTGAATTCTGAATATTTTTCTCAGATAAAACTTTTAAGAAAATATTTTAAGCCACAGCCAGGTGACTTGAGCTTATTTTCCTCAGGAATAATCTTGCGAAATGAGTTTCTTTAGACGCAATTTAGAATAATATATTCTAGAGCATGAAGTAACTTTTTTTTTGCAATAAAAAATTAATAATATTTTGCTTTAATTACTTTATGATTCCTCATTTTTATTTATTCTGATGCAAATATAAAAAAAACTAAGTGAGTCACTGATTTATACTTGTAGTGTCTTTAAGATTGCATCTACTAGAACTTTTCAAAGACACTTAAATAGATGTTCAAATATCTTCTGATAAGATATCTGAATTTTATGTTATTCAAATGTGATTTACATACGACTTATATCTATCCAATTTTATTCATGCATCAGATATTAATCAACACTGATTTAAATCATGAATCATACATGATTTTTCTGCTTTTTAAAATGAAGTTCATTCAGTTTATATATATTTTACAAATTTGGCTCTAATAAACGAAACATTCATAAAGAACAAGTTGGATAAATATCACATGCATATGAAGAAATATTACTCTGGTGGAATCCAGGCTTGGTTATTATCATAGCTGAATGATAAATATTATCACTGAAACTCGATTGGAATATACAATGGCACGATTTAATGAATGATTGCTATTTTTATAGAACAATCGATTCTTTATCCTGGTAAATCTCTGAAAAGTTGTGAATTTGATCAAGAATTAAGTGAGCTTTAGTTGAATAGACGTAGACACATGTTTTCAAGGTACCACGGGCAATGTTCCAAAAATCATGCTTGAAGAATAACACGTTCAATGTTTTAGGTAAAACTTGATAATAACTACTACTTTTGTTATCATCTTGAACAACTTTAACATTTTTAAAAAATTTTATCACGTACATTCTTGATAGGTCAAAGAAAGTCAAAATCCAAAGTAACTTTTGATGTCTAAGGATATCTCCCTGGAATAGAAAAAAAAACTTTATGTTCTTGATTAAGAATAAAAACGAATTAATTAGCATATAAATTATTTTCATGAATTCTTGAAAAATTGAAATGCCACGTTTGGGCGCTATCATTCTGTGATCTAAGAACAATTGATTCACGCAAAAGCAAAATTAAATTCTTTCGAATATTCTTCTATATTTGAGTAAGAAACAATAATAATAATATTATGTATTACATTTTTCACACATGACGTATACACATATATGCATTGTTATAAAATTATGCGCACAAGTGCATTTTAAAATGCATATAAAAGCCAATTTTATCTCTATAAAGCTGTCTTTTTCAAAAGTATGCTCTTCTATTTCAATTTTATGTCAAAGTGCCTTCTCAATAATTTTGCTTTTGTCAATTTACTATTTATTTTTAAATTATAACTTTCATCTCTAACTATTACTCAACTAAATTTTAAGAAATATTCATTTTCACATAATTCAAAAATATTTTAATAAGGAAATTGTTCCAATAAAATATTTAATTTATTTTTTTATAATAAAAATTTATGTGTTTTTCTTTTAATATTAATTCTAAAAGCTAAAATATTCTATATTTATTTAATTAAATCTACAAAATACTATATATATTTTTCTCTTCGACATTAATCTGTCAATAGAGTATTTGATTTATTCAGATATTTTTAAACCAAACAAATTATTTTCTATGTATTAGAAACTTATTACATTTATTAATAGTATCAATTGAATTGTCTAATTATTTTAAAATATTTATCATAATCTTTTCTTGCGCATGACCTGAATTTTGGGAACATTCCGGTATTTAAATAAATGTATAGTTATTGATTATCGCATTAAAATGCGATATTAAAATAAATATCAAGTGATCATGTGAGCTCGTCCCTGAAATGAGCTGTTACTTATCAAACTTGCGTGATATATATGCATAGCAATTAATTTAAGTAAATTAAGAGAATAAGCTGAATTATAAAATTAAAATAACGAAAAAGAAAAAAAAATGGTAAAAGATAAAAATTTAATTAATTATAAAAATTTAATTAATTATATGGAAATTCGTAATTCTTTGACTTATAGGATTACAAAAAAAATCAAATCAAATAATCCTATAAAGCCCAAAAAATTACAAGTAATTAATAATAGCTGTAATTTATTAATTATATATATATAATGTACTTATATATTATAATTCAAATAAGCTTTCTTATTGCATTTCTCTATATTGTATCACTTATATATACATTTAATGCACAACTTTTCGAGAATAAAACTTTATTAAACGCTATGTAGGTCATTATTCAAGTATTTAACTACAGAATTACCATTCCCTTAGTTAAGTAGAGTCTGTATATTTATGAGACAAATTTTACCTTTGATTTTTTCATTCAATCTCTCTTCATCACAAAGGATTTTTTTTTAGATTATAATATTAAGTGCTTTCATATCTCTTCTCAATAATACTCAAGCAGAAGTCTCAAGATTATAGAGTATTAAATTTCCAATTGCGGTATATAAGTCTTTGACATTTTTATCTTTTAATTTACTGTGCAAATTATTGTCACTCAAACTAGAGAAGAAACAGATTCCTTCGTGAGGTTTAATAAAATTATTGTTATTATATTGAAAAGTTTTTTATCTTGATTATCTCTATAAACTGAAGTTTTGAAATGGAAAATCGAATCTTCACGGTAGACAAAATTTATTTGTTTGATATTGGTTCAAATTGATGTTCAATATTTGAATTGTTTTAAAAGACAACTGATCAGTAATAACTTTTAATCGATTTTCCAAGTGTTGAGTTAACTTTTTAGAATTGAACCCTCGTGGAAATTTTGGAAGTTGATTCAACCAAAATTGATAAAGTGTTTATGTATGTACACAAATAAGGTTATGCCTTCCAAAACAACTTTTCTATAAACTATCGTACAAAAATATCATAAATGTTACGAGACTAATTTATTCTGAATTGAGGATAAAATTGTTATTTTTTATTTACCCTTTAAACATGTATATAGCCACATTGCTATAAAATATTCTCTTACACTTGATTTCAAATATTTTTATTCTTCAGATTTCTAAATAACCATCCGAAATGTTTTCTAACCTCATCAAAATTTATTTTTTATTAAATTCATTCAATTAAAAGTCAGTTAAATTTTTTAAAAAAAATAAAAATAAATTTTTTGGATAACTGTGCAAGCTTCTTTCATTGTACTTGTATAATAATGGTAATTCAGACATGTTCGGTAAGGTTCGGGTGTACTTCGGATACTTCCGTATAGTCAAAACACTGGAAGAGTAAAATTTGAGGTTATACGTGAAATTATTTATTTCAAGTTATTTTATATTTATTATATATTATTTCATGTTATTTTAAGCTATTATTAATTAGAAATCATTGTATAGGTAATTATTTAATGCGGGAAATGAATTATTTTCAGTTATGAACTAGCTCAGAAATAATTTCTCTGTATAACCTCTAATTCTATTCTTTCAGTGTCCGACTATTACATCATATGCATACAACAGTATATACATATATGTATATTTAGGGTGCTTCTAAAAAAAAATTTTCCAATTTTTTTAATGCTAAAGATAAAAATATATATCTCAAATAAAAAGTATAATTAGACAGACATTATTTTTCTTGAAATTATACATTAATTAACTAAATTCATGCACTTAAATTTTCGTAAACAAAAAAGTGTGAGGGATTTTCTCATAATGACGTAAATAATTGTGAATCAAATAACGATGGAATGTGTCTGAAGTGTTAAAAGGAATTTAATTTTTTCATTTTAAATGGATAATGCTAGCCTTGGGCAATAATCCAGCATTAAATACACATTTAATCACGCATTGTTCATTATAAAAGTATCCATTACTTGAACTTACTTATTATGTGTATTGAGGTTTTTTAATTAAGTTCATTATTGTTTATTATTGAAATAGCCTTTTTTTTATTTTCAATTATCTGGATGAAATGTATTCACTGTTATGATTTTAATAGTGATTATTTTAAAAAAAGATTATATTAAACAACAATAATAATGAGAAAATGTTTAAGAATAGATATAATTAATGGTGTTACTTATTATTCTTTTTTAGAGTAGAGACAGAAGGTTAAACATTGAGCAATAGTGTTTTTAATTACAGTAAAAATATTACAAAATGTTTGAATAAAAATAACTGTCTATACAAATGGTAGATTAATTATTTCATAATCAATTGTAATAACATTGACTGTAAAAGATTAAAATATTCAATATTATTCATAAATATATTTTAAACAATACATGAAATAATTTGCACAAAAATGCTTGGATTTATTTGAATATATTCTAATATTTTTAGATCAATTGACTCATTTCTCAATAAAAGCCATACCAAAGCTACCTGCGTAGGTTGAATATTAACTAGGTGTAGCTTTTTATTTATCCAATGCTTTTGATGTTCAATGCAACATTAAAAAATAGTTGAACACATAATCTAAGCTTTATAATTAATAATATTTATTGTATTAATCTTTTAAATATTACTTTATACTCTTTTTTTTGCAACTATTTATTTTGAAAAACAAATGTATATTAAAATCTAAAAAACTTCCAGTATTTCTGTCCTCAGGTGCAGAATTTCAGATTAAAAAGTCAGAGTAGGAATTATATCTAGAGAGGATGCATTGAAGCTGTACATAAGTTGATAGCTATATGGGTACTTAAAAAAATCTTTGAAGATAAGAAGTTGTAAACTTGAAAAATGTGTTTTTACTTGAGATTTTAAATGTAAAGGATTTGTTTATATTTAGCTAGTAAATTAATTAAAACATGGTTTAATGATTTCCTGAAACATTTTCTAAAATTTGTTTAAAACAGTTGTTTAATAAAATTTCAAGTTTATTTTTTAAAGTTTCCAAGTGATCCAATAATGTATATTGAAACTTTTCCATTAAATTTATAAAATAATACTATTTTCAACGATTCAGATGCTTTCTATATGTATGAGGAAGTTGTCAAGACGTCCTAAATTGTCAAGAAAAATATCTGACATATTAAATTCTGGCATCCAACAGAATCTCAGCTAGACTTTTTCTACTTTTTATTTTATCTCAAATCTGAAAAGCTTGAATTCAAAAATATTTTCTGCATCTTTAACACACATCATAAAGACTTATAGGACATTTATACATTTAAGGAAAAAAACATGACCTTTTTCTTCAAAATTTTACTCTAATAATCCATAACCATCAGGCTCAATTGATTGTAATTTCTGAGGTGTGGTTAATTAACAGTTGGAGATAATTAATCTGCCAATGACAGTTCGATAATCCAACTTGTTAACAAGATTACCTTTTTAAAGATTAAAGGGCTGTTTCTGTGGAACTTTTTCTTCAAAAATTCTGGTTCCAAGTTTAAAATAATCCTTTACGTTTTATCGATCTTGTCTCCAAATACATAAAATTTAGCTTTTGAATTTTATCAAAAAATCAATATTACTTGCACGCTATGTACTTAGTATACAGATACAAAAATGTACTTTTTGTTTGCAGCAAACAATAAAAATATCGACAGGATATTTTTAAAATTTCACTCTAAAAGTTCTGATGTTTGTAGTGACTTAGAATTTTCTAGTGTTTTAACAGAAATTACTAACATTAAACCAGGCATTCAATATTGGACACTCGACTAATTTTAACCCTCATTGAATTGGTATTGGTTAATTAATTTTTCCTATTAAGGATTATCATGCTCTCTTTGTTATCTTTACTAAATTAGTTTAAGTAATTAAAACATTCATGATTTTCCACAGTTGTTTTTTTTAATTTCAAAAAGTTATTATCATTTATTTTTTAAACATTAAAAATTTCTTTAATTAAATACACCAAAATTTCACTTGAATTTTTACCAAATAAAACATCCATTTGGTACATAAACACTTGACTAAATATTCAATTGTACACAATTTGGAGTATAAAAGAATTTTATACATTGGTGTTATTGAAAGAATCAGGTCATTTCTATATTGTAAGCTCAAATAATAGGTTCAAACATATTTGTTGATTTTATTAATTATTTGCTTTTAAATATTCATCAATTGTGTTGGTAATTTTGGTACAAAAAAAAAATTTTTTAAATTATCAATTTTAAAGCTGAATTGGAGAAATTACGCTTAATATTTCTTTTTTCCACTGTTTTGGGTATCTGTCTGTCAATTTTTCAAGTCTCTGTTATGTACTTAACTCAAGAACCACTCTTGGGAGAATGAAAAAAACAGAGTATGTTCATTTTTAATCTAGCTTTTTAATTAATAGTGAACTTCTCTTCTAGAAACACATCTTCTAAAGCTTGAAATAAAACTACATAATTTACAACGAAAATTAACAATTCATTGATAAAAAGAAAACAAAAAATGATTTAAGTGATACAAAAAAAAAATTCATATATTTTTATTTTCTTTAAAATAGAATTCGATAAAATTGGTACGTGTGTAAAATAAATCCAATATGTTGATTCACACCCACGAGAATGAAATTAAATGCAAAGAGATAAACAGAAAAATGTGAAATGTCACCAATTTTTTAGATCACTTCTTTACCTACTGGGCACTGAAAAAAAAATAATGAACAATATCAACATATTGCATAGAATCGTTTTTGCAAAACATTTAACTTTAAATGACAAAGGTCAATGCAATTCTTCTGATAAAATCATGATTGGCAAGGAAACACTTCTAGGCAGATATTTTTTTTCAACTTTTAAATGATGGCTTACAAGTACCAAAAAAAAAACAAAGAAAAAACCATCTAGCTTTTATTACTAAGAACTTTTTGAGTTAATTTTTGCTTTGAGATTCTTTGTGTGAATGTGTTGTGAAAAAAGCTCATCTCACATTTAAGTACCATAGCCTATGGCATGGAAAACTAGCCTGTGGAAACAGCTGAATGTAGAACTGGGAGAACGCGAGGTAAAAGCTAGGTGGATTATAGTGATGTATCGATCGGCTGGGGTCATTTGAGGTCACCAAAGTTCACACAGCATCGCGTGGTTCACGAACTCAAAAAATCCACATATATTAATAACCAAGTACAATCATTATATTGGAATAACATGTTAGTTATTAAGTTACTCCACCAGGAAATGATTATAAATAATTATGGAAATTTCACAGGATGATTGGGGCTATGCCAGCAGTTGCTGTCCGCCACGAGCGTAGAAGACAAGAGAAAAGACTAAAAAGACCAAGCCAGCTTTATCTAAGTGGACAATGGATGCCACCACTTCAAGGATCTCCACCAACTCCTAGTCCCCATGGACAAAATAGTCATCTTGACCCTCTTCCTGAGCTTTATCTATGCGGCAAAGTAAGTTTATTACACTTTGTAAACATTGAAAATAATAGTGGCTTATGATGCTGCTCTCCACATTAATCTCATATCCACTTCAATCAATAGCTTCATAAAATTTAATAGATTAATTTATTTTTTTATGTTTCGAATGTTGAATGTACCATTGGCCACAAGAACCTATTACCTACTGTTATAAAGGAGATCATAAATGATATTATGAAGATATATTGTACTATATAGCTTTTCTTGTGATAATATCCTGGGAATGAAGGATAATTATAACAAATATTAAGATTGTTAATGTTATGCAATCATTGGAGATATTATAAATAATTAATTAGACATATATATGGATGTTTCTAGAGGCAATTACTTAAATATATTTGTAACATGGATTAATTTGAAATAAATAAAAAAATAAAGAGGAATTATTCATTAATGTTTTAGTAGAAATAAAGTAATTCCTTGTTTTTAAAAATAAAATTATCAATTGTTAATGGTAATATGAACGATAATAGAGAGATTTGAAGATTACCTTTTTTTTTAAATAAAAAAATATAAAAATCTAGGTTAAAAAAAGTTCCAATAATTTCAAACAATGATTTAAAATCAAACAAAAGCTTTTATAAAAATTTTTGTCAATATTTATTTAATATTTTATCTGTAAGAGTACTTTTAAGTTATTAATATACCATATGCATGATGATTTATTATTTGAAACAACTTTTCTTGTCCAGGTTTGATTTTATAGCTCGCTGATAGATACATCACCTGGTGGTAGCATATTGCTAATATTTTGCAAATTTTACAGTCTACATGATAACGATTAGAAACTTCGATACAGATCAGCTATTGTATCTACGTCAGCGTCAATGAGAATTTCTAATCCTGATGATGCAAAGGATGAACACACATTTGTGAAATGTTGGCAATATGTTATCTACATTGTAGATTCTGCAGGCATTGCATTCATCTGGAAGTCATAAAATTAAATCTACTTAATTGATCCAACTGTGATGATGGTTGTTTTTTTTTATTTTATATTCCTAGAAAAAGTATTCTTGCTAGCGGTGCTATATTTTTATCAATATCATCATCAGACTTAAGAAAGTTTCCAATTTATTGAGATAAAGATTTATTGATGAACAATGAGCTATCAAAGATTTATCGAAAACAATAGCACTATATAACATTGCAAAATTTATTGGTATTTTACGAACTGATTTTTATTGCTTCTGACTTTTGGATTACATAAAATCCTAACTTATTCAACTACCATTTTTCAAGTTGATGATTTTATATTCTGTATTAAAATATCTAAATCATGCACAAAAAATTATTCAATTCATTTTATTCTCTGAAATGTTCTTCAACAAACTTGAGAATAATTATGACTTGAGAAATAAGTAAAGATATAATTTAAGTCTTTGTAAGAAATAAGAAACTCTTTCCTATTTACTAGGCAAAATAATGGATCATTATAAAATGAGTAAATCTATTAACTTTTCCATTCACGATAATAAGAGGAATTTATAATTACACTGAAAAGTAATTGCATTACAGAAAGCTTATATTGTTCATAAATATCAACTTCTAATCTACTATGTCATTAAAATTTTGTAAAATTGATTGTTAAAGTTTTCCAAAAAATATCATCTAACATGACTCAGGTGTTTCATTTCTTTTTATTTGAATTGACAGTAGACAATAAAAATTTCATAACACATTCTGGTAAATAAAAAAAGCAAAAAAAAACTTTTGTAAAGCTTTTTTATTGTGAAATGCTAATAAACACAGACCTTTAAAGTTTTGACTGTTGATAGAAATTCATAAAAAAAACAACGGATAATTTAAAAAGCTTTCATAAATCAAAAACATTTACCATAAAACTGTAAAAGTTGATCTATTACTCTTCCATATTTTAATTTATTATTTATCTTCTTTTAAAACATGGATTTTTTTATTGTCTAAAAGGCAAAACATTGAACTTAGAAGACTTATTTCTATCTAAAACTGAAATATAGTTTCAATTTTTTGTATAACGTTAATTTTTTTTGCTGCATTTGGTTTCATTCCAACCAAATAATTCAGAATATAAAAACATTCACCATCAATTCACAAATAAAATAGTAAAGATAAATGGTGTATGGTTTCCTAGTTTATTTTGTTCAAGAGATTTATTATCCACTCTAGAAAAGTATGATGTGTATAATGTCAAAAAATGAAGGAAAGATGTACCTGTGTGATGAAATGTATAAGCATTACGCATGCTACATGGGTAATTTACTGTCAGAGAAAAAAACTGAAGGTAATAGATACACTTTTGCTTCATTTTTATTCTCAAGGTACATAAATATCTAAGGATTAAAATGTTTTCGTGCAGTACAAAAAATACGTCATACTTTATTACTTCCTAAATTGTATGTTAAAATAAAAGAAGAATAAAATTACTCTTTATGAGTAGGAAATATCATCATTATAGTCTAGAAGATATTATTTTATCTAACTTTAATGTCACTTTTTTAATAAAACAATTCCTAGCTTCTGTAAGTAAATATTCGTAAATTGTCTGCAAATATTTCTTTAAGAAGTTACATGTTTATATCATCATCAACATCACAACTGGTACAACCACCCAGATCTAATTATTGCATGATCTGTAAAGTTCTAACTCAATTGTCACATGCCAAGCTCTCCATTTGACTTATTCTCCTGTGAATTTACAATTTGAAACTATCACGATCCAATGATAATCAAAATAAAGCCATTGGAGTAATTTTATAACTAAATAACTTCCCACTGGGAAGCTAAAAAGATGCTAGTTAAAGAATCTGACTATCTTGACAGTAACTTTTTTATTAAAATCTTTAAGAAGTATTATGCAAAGGCTTATCACTGTCAATAATTAATTTATTAAACATCAATTAGTCAAAGAATCCAATACTTCCTCCTTCAATCTACTCACCATGACCTTATTATTACTCCAGCTGAGTATCTTCTCATCAAGAAATGGGTGGCTATAAGGTGGCTAGTTAAGTTTCTAAATCACCAATTAATTTAACCATTTATCCTAGAGCAAAACTTTCAATCTTCAATACAAAAACTACAACTTCTTCTATAAGTTCAACTCTGTGTAGTTGAAGAGTAGTTACAGAATAATAGCTATAATATGATCATTATATTCAACAGCATCCATCAATCCAAATATAATAGAATGAACGTCAATGATTGTTTTTAATGTGCTAATAATAGAATTATTCAAATCACAATTTGAGTTATTGTTTTAATTTTTTTAATTTAATATAATTAATGATATTTATCATAAAGAATTATTTTAAAACATCTCTGTTGTTAACATCAGTTGATTAAAAATACAATATACCATCCTACATATGAAATATTTCATTATTTACTATTCTGAATTTGTTCTTTTGAAATTTCTCATATTGAATCTCTGCTTTAGACGTAATAAAAAAAATTGCCAGGTTCTTTTGTATTCAATTTTTTCAACATCAAAGAGTTTGAAGTGTTCGATAGAAGCCATAGGTGATCTCATTTTTCTCTGATCTTCATTTTGATCAACTCATGTACTCCACTTATCCCTAAAAGGTCTTTATGGTAACAGAGTTGTACATTTAGCTGCTTCATCAGTCCTTTCATTGGTATTAATCTCTAGATGATGAGGAATCCAAGAGGAAGTAGTAACAGCTTTGCATGGACAAACACAATAGCAATTCCTTTGTTTAAATAGAAGTTTTGTTGAGTCAATTAAAGTCATGAAACCTCTAGGATGCTCAATTCTACAACTGTTGGTATAATGATGGTAAATTTAATTTTCAAAATTGTTATTATAAAGTTATAAATTTTTAATAACTATCTTATTCAGGATCTATTTATTTTATATGACTAGATTGTGCTCTTTTGTATCATATAACATATTAGAAGTTGGAAATTTAATTCTCACACTCTCTGTGATACAATTATCTATGTTTTGATACTCCTAGATACAGGTTTCATATTTTTCTCAATAAAATATTTAATGATTTAATTAAACTGGAAATTGAAGTTAATATTTAATAAATATTAAAACAATTTTGATTATTGTTGTTTAACTTTTTGTAAACTTACTAATGTATCAATAAATTCATTTCCATGAATTTAAATATTTGAAAAATTTATCGAGATTTGTTTCATAGAAAGTCAAGATCTAGTTTCATGAAAGCTGAAGTAGTTTTAATAAAAAGTAAAAATTGTTCCACTTAACTTGGAGGTTTTTTAAATTAAATTTTTAATTTGAATAAGAGATATCTCTGTAGGAAAGTATATTATAATTATAAAACAAAGATATTAATGTCAATGAAAAAAATAATCTTCAATGCTTTTTTTTTAAAAAAGTTGAAAATGAGTTGATGTGTAGTCCATTAATCAATTGAGTATTATAGGATTAGTCATTCTTCTAACCAATACCTTACAGCATACAAAGCAGATTTGGCCGCCAACTGTAATCGTAAGTCTGACTCAAGTCTTGCATTATACTAGACTAGATGTACATGACGCCAGACTTGAGTCAGACTAAAGCAGTCTGCTTCTACGTCTGCAATGTGTGCTGCTGGGGATGATGTCCTAATTCGAGAATACGATAACGTCACAATTAATTTGTTATCCAATAGTCATATCTTATTGCAAAGATAAATTGTACATTGAAATCATCACCAATACCAAGTAGTAAAGATGTTCATTATTAAACATCAACATTTATCCAATTACTCAAATGATTGTTATACGTTTCTTCATCTTGATTTCGAAGTAATTATAATTCAATTCTTGAAAACTATGTGTTTAAAAAACTTGTTAAAATCGATATCATAGATAAACTATTTTTAAACTTGCTGATGACAAACAAGCTCTGATATTTTCAAATAAAATATGATGTCTTTTTGCTTGAGTACAGCAAAATATTATTTCATTAAATATAAGAACAATTTACTTGAAATGAATAAAAAAAAATAATATTGCTGTATTTATTTTTAAAAGTAAAATAAACAATAGTTTGGCATGTTGCATTTACAACGTAATATAATAAATTTTTTCACGCAGTAGAGAAGAATGTTCTCTGCATCAATAATATTTATTTTTCCAAGAAATAAGGTCATTAATAATGAAATATTTTCTTGAGATAAATTTTTATACTTGAGTTTCTTTTTATTTCAATTCCGAAGATTTTCAATAAAATAAATATTTCATATTATTAAGAACTATAATACATCAAGAATCTAATAAACATCAATATTAATTTCACATGAAACATTATTTCATCAATATATGGCACAAAATTTCCTGTTTCTAATTCTGTATGAATTAATAACTCAATGTTAGGGTTATTAATAAGAATTTATTAGTATTTGAGCTTATAAAAGGAATCCAAATGGTTTTCATAGTCTTTTGTAAGCTTATTCTGATAGCATTTAATTGTAATCATGGATATTAATGGATCTATATGGTGGATAGTGAATGAAAATAAAGAGTCAACATGATGATGGATTAAATATATCAACTCCAATGGCTTTCTCTAAAAATTTATTAGATTCACCAGTAATTTAATCAGCAAATAAGTGACCACAAAAGACATCAACTGATCCATCAACTGATCAATGATAGAATAAAATTGATAGAACCATTTTCTAACTTTCTATTAGTGAAGTTTGGTTGCATTGAGCTTTTCTTGGTTTGAAAAAAAAACTTCCTACGTCATTGACATTAAATTTCATTGAAATGATTTAGTAGGAATTGCAAAAATAAATTCATACTTTAGTTTTATGTATGCTTTTCAAGGACTAGCATTTAACAGAGACTTGGATCCTGAGTTTAAACTTAAATAAATAAGTAATTGTATTGAGTTGGCAAGAAAATAGTAAAACATTCAGAATAACTTTTAATTCTATTTTTTTTTTTATTTAATAGTCTACTAACTTTAATCGACAGTATAATCATTATGTGCATCAATGACTTGTGTCTACTTTAAAAGCAGAGACGTTTTAATATCAGTTCAATACAATACATTCTAGAATGTTTGAGTTTTAAAATTGTTTCATTATTTTCTTGCCAATTCAATATTTGCTAAATTTTTCTAGGGAAAAGAAGTTTTTATTTCAAATCATTAATGCTAAGTTTTGGATATGTCTGTAGACTGTTCTTTGTTTGTTTGTTAAGAATATGATAAGAATGTAGTTTAGTTGAAACTTGCTTATCAGCTTTAGGGACATCTCTTCGTCATGAGCAAAGATTAGGTCTTGCTTCAATTGAATAAAATGAAAAGGAAATGAATTTTCTGATTTTACATTCTCTTTACACAACCTATTCCATTTCCAATAAACTGGTACTTTATCAGACTATAAAACATTCTATCAAAAAGCTTATATCCTTTTATTTTTGGCTTTTATGATATTTTTGTTTTGATGACTGTCAACATTAATAAGAAACTTTTATATACAGCAAGAATAAATATTAAATTTCAAGATTAATAAAAATAAAAAAGAATTTTAAAATTTGATTTTTTTATATTTTTTTGTTGATACATAAATAATTCATTACACGAAAGTGGATTTTCAATATTCTGACAAATATTGTCACTTTTAATATAAATATTTACAACTGTTTTATGAATATTAAATATGTAAATGTTGTTAGGGAGAAAAATATTTATTTGTGGTTATTGAAAAGAACATTTCTTTTTTTTAATGTAAATAAAATCCTTTTATAGTGAAAATAAATTATACTACACAACAATAGGATAAAAATTATGCAGTGTAAAATAATTATTCTTGTAAATTGAAGTTCATTAAAATACAGACGAATATAATAGAAAATACGAAATAATTCTAAACATTTTTTGCTTCAAGTTATTAAGTTCCAGAAAAATAAAATAATAATGTACAAAAAAATATTAATTTGATAATTTTTATTGAAATCTTTTGTTATTATTTAATGAATTCAAATGTAATCTCAAGTATAAGTACTAATTAACTGATAAAAAGAAGACCAAGTTTGACTATTTTTTATTATTATCAGAACTAATAACAATCTACATAATGAAATCACAAAATTCTGTCTCCATTTGCATACAAAACATCTAGAATATTATTTAATTTAACAGCTGAAATGTTCGGAAACAGTGTGCTACCTTGGAGTAACCTTAGATAGGAAGCTCCATTGGAGGGCACATGTGGACAAACAGGTCAAGAAGGCCACGGCTACCTTCTGGACCTGCAGAAGAATGTTCAGCGCTACATGGGGACTGAAGCCGAAAACAATAAAATGGCTGTACACAGCTGTTGTCATTCCCCAACTAACCTACGCCTCCATAGTATGGTGGACCTCCGTCAGGAGGAACGCCTGCAGGAAGCAACTAAATAAAGTCTATAGAGCGGCACTGCTAGGTATAACGGGAGCCCTGAGGACGACCCCAACCCTAGCTATGGGCTGCCTACTGAGCATCCCTCCGCCGGAACTGATGGTGGAGGTGCTAGCGAAGAGGGCGGCCATCCGCTTGAGGAGCCATAGACAGTGGACGAGCTTTCGAGCTGGGCATGCGGCGATTCTGGGCCCGGAGGACCCTACGGGACTCAGTGGCAAAAAGGTCGATCGCTGCCCCAGGAAGCTAGAATTCTCACCCGGATACGAAGTCATCTTCATGAGGAAGGCGAGGAATCGCTTACTCCCAAGGGGCCTGTCTGGTACGTGGATGGGGCGAAGTGTAAGGGGGGAGAGGCCGGAGCCGGAATCTGGTGCGGGGGACCACGGGTGGAGGAATCCTACACCCTGGGCCAGGACGCTTCCGTGTTCCAGGCAGAGGTGTACGCAATCCTGTTATGCGCTATGCATATAACCAAAAGAGATTGCACTGGGCAGCATATCTATATCTGCAGTGACAGCTATGCTGCCTTAACGGCTCTTTCGCAAGTGGCTACCTGTTCAAAACTCGTGGACCACTGCAGAAGGGTACTAAAACAAGCGGCATGCCGCAACAAACTGAAGCTGCTAAAGGTACCAAGTCACTGCGGTATACGCGGCAACACCGAAGCTGACAGGCTGGCCCGTATTGGCGCCAGCGGCGGAGGTGACAGGGGCCCAGTGGAGATAAACGCTCCCGGGGAACTTGTAAAGGCGCTGGGGGACAAGTGGCTGCACAAAAGATTCACCAGCTACTGGGCGGAGACCTCGGGGATGAGGCACACCAGAGCGTTCATCAGGAAACCCACAACTCAAGTGAGTAGGGACCTGATCGAACTGGATAAAAGAAGGCTAAGAGTGGCCGTGGGCACCGTCACAGGGCACTGGCTAACTCGACGCCATATGAAGATGCTGGGACGCGGAGAGGAATCCGCGTGCCGGTGGTGTGGTGAGGAGGAAGAGACGCCTCTCCACATGATAAGGGAATGCTCGGGGCTAAGGGAACCCAGGCAGCGCCTGTTAGGGAACCTTGAGACCGACGCACCCATCCTTGAGACGGTCGGGACGGACAGGCTTCTGCAATTTTGCTACGAGGCCGGGCTGTACCAACCCACCTAAGACCGCCTTTACCACAAGCTTGGACCCAGTACAATGGCCCCGTGGCTAAGTGCAGGGGAGGCGGGGCAGATTAATGGGGGAAAATATTATTTAATTTTAGCATGAATTTTTCAAGAATTTTCTTTTACACTTCTCTGAAAGAAGTAATTTTTAATTAACTTCCTTTCTTTCTTTATTGTAAAATAAAATATATAAATATTAATAATTAAATAAATTTTAATAAAAATGAGTGAAAAAATGATTACTTTATTCAATTGTTTGAATCATTATATCAAGATTTAATATTTGATTATTTTTACCCTAATTTCGAATTTTTTATTTTATTATTATGAACTTGGAGTTATTCATTAGACAGTTAAAAAAGTGATATAAAAACTGAATGCAATATTTGGTGACTTTCCACATTGTTATTAAATCCATAATCGTATTTTTGATTAAAAATAAAAGGCTTCCTTTCAAAATAAACAACGTCATTAAAAGTAAAGAATAAAAAAGAAAAAGAAAACTCGTAAACATGTGCTATTAACCCTACGACCTACCTTCCAGTCAATAATAGACTCAATCACTATTAAATCCTTCTTTATAAAGTTTTTAATAGTTGTTAAATAGGAACAGTACGACTAATTGGCATGTTCACTCATGCTAAAATTAATTACACGTGTAAAGAATAAGCTATTAATGAGAGCTTTTTTTTCAGATATCTGTGTTACATGCTATCGTGATATGTTTGCTGCTGGGTGCAATAGTGTTGGTGGTTGGACTAGTTCAGTTGGCTCCTGGAGCAACGACCACAGACCACAGACTTGCATTACTGATAGCTGGAGCGACTTTACTGCTATGTGGTGAGTTGATATTTATTCAAAATGATGATTAAGATTCAGTAAGAGATAATAAAATGCATTATTCACTTAATAATATTAATTTATATCATTTAATATAGGTATTGTACTTGCTGGAGTGAGATGTTATGTTCTCCATTGCATACCTTTGCCAGAATCACCAGTAGCAACGCCATTGCCACCATCAAACACAACAGATCAATCATCAGTTGCAAAGGGAACACTTGACCTACTTGTTGGACATGAAAATCCACCGGAAACAGAACAAATGATTCATCACCACCACCATCATCACCATCATCATCGTCATCATGGCAATCACAAAGAAAAACGTAGCTCCCAAGGCTCCCAAGCCGAATCAGCCTAAAATTTCGCAAAATAATTAGAACTTAAAGTCTTATAAAAAATGAAACTTCCAAAACTGTGTTGACGGGTAAATATTTAAAACTAGAGTTATATAGTTAAGCAGTCAACAAAACTCGTACTGAACTCTTGAAATATTAAATCTACACATTAGAGAAATTAATTAAATTTTTCGAGTGTTCAAATATTTAAAAGATATTTAAAAAAATGAAAAATACAAATTAATGGAACAAAAAAATAAATAAATAAAATTCATGGAAATGATAAAACCACGGATTAGCTAAAAGTATAAATGACGAAGGCGATGTTTCGTCATTTCTTTTAACTTTTATAACTTTCTATACATCTATAAATATATACATATATATAAATATATAACATGTTATAACATTCTCAACACTATTATTTTATTTGCACATAAAATTGTGTATATTTATGTATCCTTAATGTATACATATCAATATGTATGTATATTAATAAGGATTCAAGTAATATGAATTTGATTGTATGCATTATATGTATATAATCAAATAATATTGTAAGTGTGTGATGCTTCGAAGATAAATCTGAAATCAAAGTTTTGTATGATATTTTTTTTTTTCTTATTCGACTCGAAATGTTCGATTGGGACAGCATAGATATATATCAATGGTTTTTTAACGTTTTTATCATATGCGAAAAATAAAATTCATTTTTTCGTCACATGTAGAGGATAATTAATTCAGGACAAAAAATATTAAAATACAAAATATGTCAAATATAATTCTAAACAAATCGGTAATACAAATTAATTATTAAGATAATCGATGATAAATTATTTTATCATTTTCACCAGTGCAGCGTTGATTATTCTATACCAAAATATCCTAGTCTTTCAATTTATTGTATCCTATATGACACTAAAATTAAAAAAAAAATTCTTAAAAAAAATGTGTCTTAGCGATGGAATTATTTTATCAGAATTTTTTTATATAGATAATAAGATGGATTATTTACACAATCAGTGTAATAATAAGTGTGAATTTTCCTTATTTATAAGAAACTGAGGAAAGTAAATACATAATTACCTGTTGGAATAAAGAAAATGAATGATATATAAATTGAATGTAATTTTAATCATTTATATAAAGAAAGAAAATATATACATTTTTTTAATAAATCAATGTTGATGAATTTTAAATTGTTATTTATTATAAACTAATTTCATCGCTAAAATTTTGATGTACAATTTTTAATATTAAATCTCATGATGTTCTTCGATACTTAATAATACATGCGTTCCATATTACTATTGGGGTCCACTTTAACTTATATTGTAAATCTTTATATCTATATGAAAAATTTGAATAATTCATCTTGCCGCGGTAGATACAAAATGATAATTAATATTAAAAATGAAAGTGATTGAAATAAATTTATAATAGTCATTGATCGTATCATGCCGTGATATAAATACATAATAAATATATACATATAAATAAATATAAATATAAATATATATATATATATATATATATATATATATATATACATACAAATATAAATAATATAAATACTTATAAATAAAAATGAAAAATTAGTCTAATAACGTCTATCAGAAACTCAACAAGGGTGAGAAAGTTTCAACTAAAAAAGTGATTTAGGAGTCGTAAGATAAATTGCTTGAGGTATATTTTTGTTGAAAAATTTACTTTAATAGTAGAAAACATTATTATTTAATTACAAAAAATAAATAGAAATACAATTGTTTAAGAGTTTTTTTAAAAGTTCAATAAAAAGTTTGTTAATAATTCTTGTGAGTTATAAGAAGGAAAAAATGTTGGAATAAATTTTGACCTGACATTAAAAACAAACTAATATAACAAAACTCATAATATTTCTGAAATAATTATTTTGTAAAATGACAAAAGTAAATTTATCTTTATAAAAATTTTTCTCATACAATTTTCTTAATAACATCTCATAATAATAAAGTTAACAATTTTTCATCGTTAATTAAATAGCAAAGAAGTATGATTTTGTAGGAAAATATTTCTTTAACTCCTAAGTTACTCTGGTAGAGTTGTAAATGACATTTGACTTTAGTTGAATATCTTGTAGGCGTTAATAGATGAATAACTACAATTCATTAATTATATGCGCACCAACTATCTTTAAAAACGTCAAATCTTTCTATGCAAACCAAAGTTACAAATATTCAAGACATGATAAGAAATGACTTTTAATGTGCAAATTGTTAAAGCTTGCTAAGCAGTTATATAAAATTACACCATTACTCTAAAGAAAAAATAATAACAATACCAATAATAATATTGTTTTATTTTATACAGACAACTTAAACTTGTTATCTTTATTGACATAAGTTACATTAGCATAAGTTGTAATTCGTCGGTATTATAGTTTTTTATAAGTCAATGATTAATTAATTTCTACTAAAAAAAACACTTCCAATTCTGAATATTAATATTTATATTACCCAGTATTGAAAATAACTGCATTACCTCCATTTTATAATATTCTAATTGAATAAAGTTAAAGGAATTTAATGAATTCTCGAAACATTTTCACTATATGATCATTGTTTTTTCAGTATATGGAAAGTTTTTTAATTAATGCGAATAATGATATACAACTTAAAAGACTGGGCCAAAAAATATTACCAATTTAATGCCAATAATGTAATTTGTCTTTCATAATAATTCGCTTTGAATCAATAATAATTTTTTATTTAAAATAATTATTCAACATGTAATATTATTAGTGGAGTTTTGTTTTTTGTTTTTTTCTTCTTTTTTATTTCATTATCTAAAAGAATTAATTAGAGAAATGATAACAACACAAAAGAAAATTTTATTATTCTTAAAATTTAGTAGATGAAAATAGTAAATCGTGAATAAGTAGAAAGATTAAAAAAAATAATAATAATAAAAATATATTTACTGTGAGATAAACAATCTCTTAGCATCTGAAAGTCTTATTTTTTATATACACATCAATTCTATGAAGCTACTGTTTCACATTTTTTCTAAACAAACAAAAAAAAAATGAAAGTTTTGTCATAATTAAATCAATTAACAATGAATGAAGAACAATAATAAACTGATTATCTGGAAAATAATGATAAATCCCATATGTTAATTAAAAGAATAAAATTTTTTATATAAAAAAATTAATAATATTCAAAATAATTTTATCATATGTTAAAATAATTGTCGTATCTAATATTTCTTATATAATCACCTGATGCAAAAATCTTTCTGCACACACGCACAGTTGATTTTTAACTTAATATAACAGTTATATCAACAGTTTTCTGACGCATAACTGTGAAAATATACATAAAAAATACTGCGATGTTTTTATCGCAAAAATGTAATATAAATGATGTAGCCCTCACATATAATTCTACAACAAAAAAAAAGAAACAAAATTATACTGAAAGAACTCTACTGCTATTGTAACTTTCAGAGTTTAATAAAATGTTTTCACGAATTGTTCAGAATATTGTTTTAAAAATTCCCTTATCTTTCATTGCCAGAGTTATGAGAATTCTTCAGAAGAGCTGTAATGTTTTATTAAAAACAAAAAAGAAAAAAGGATTTATGTATAAAAGTGATTCAACGCCAAATAAGAGCTATTTTTATGGATGATGATACCAAGAAGCGCGGGTGTGTAGTCACCCTTGGTGGGAACCAGGTGGGCGACCGGAGGGTAGTTTATCGATCAGAGTACGAACATGCTAAAGCTCAGTTTCCGCGGGACCACCAACCCGTCAGAACGGCTCGACGGGCCAAGCATATTCTAGATAATTATTTACTTGATTACTTGACATCAAATATATCGTAAGCATATCCTTAATTAAATTCTTGTGACCCCAGTGGAGATTGGAGCTGGCGACAACACTTCTATTCCATAAACACGTAAGTTCTATTCAATGGATTATATCAAACCATAAACAAAGATTACACTTTTATGACAGCTTCTTCTTCTTCTTTTCGCCATATTTTTTAATGCTTACAAGTTTTATGCTATCAGAATATGATTTTATTGAAGTGGAAAAATGGCCATTTCTTAGAAGCTATAAGAAATGCCCTATCATTATCCTGAGCTAAATTTACTCATGAGTGTAAAGCTATATAGTAGGACAAGGTGTTCAAACACCTTTATTCATTCACACGTCACTGACATACTACGTGGAATGAAAATACTTGAAGCGCTTCCTATCCATTCTTAGTATCAATCAAAGAATCTTTAGAAATTTTTCAAACCAACTTATGTATAAACAATGTCAATTATCAATATCAAGCAAATAAATTCTCAATATATATATATATATATATATATATATATATATATATATATATGTGGTGTAATTTTTATACACAGTTGGGTGGGAGCCAAAATAGAGAGTCAGCGACCACATTTAATATAATAGGGTTAAAAGTCATTGTACGATGGAAAACACACTCGTCCTAAATATCAATATGAATGATTTGATGCCAAAATAGCATCAAAATTGGTCTAGATACTTGACTTTAAAAACATTTTTTGACATTAACATGAGTTGAGTAATGACTTAGTAATCTATTGTTCTATGAAAACACCAAGTAGTCATGACATGATGATCCAAAGCTTGATCCAGGTCACTGTTCTACTTTGTTCTCATTCTCAAGTACAATCTACAGCTTATACGATCCTTGATCACTTTGTCAAGATATCACAATTGAGAAGGAGAACATTTTCAGGACAGAGTTTGCATGTTGTTTGTTAATAATAATCAGTAAAACTCATTTTTGTTTTGTAAAAATGATATGCTTTGGTTGTATGTCTGTCACATGTATTTGTTAAATGGTTTGATATTGAGCTGAAAGGAAAAGCTCAGCACATTTAGTGCTTACATGTGAATAAAAGAGGGGGGCAAACAGTGAGTTCCAGTAATGTTGGCCTAGATATATTTACTGGGCCGACGGCTGTTGTATCTCGATTATTGAACTGTTGGATTCATGCTAGCATTATTATATTACGTGAGAGAATATCTCTGCACTTCACTATTCTATTGGGAAATTAATGGTTCTATGGAATACAAATATCTCAAAATTATGTTTCTATCAAAATTGATAGATAATTGAAGAATAATTCATGATATATTGCTATTGCAACTGGACAAGAAGAAAAAACCATTCTTGAGTATCAAGTTATCTCCAAGGAATATTTCTGCACCAACTTGATATTCAAATATTATATGATGATAAAGAATATTTGATGATTAGAGTAGAGCTTATTAAGTTCTTTTATTATCTGCTATATGCAATAAGAAATTCTTTATCTAGAAATTTTTATGAGCTATATAAATAAACAATAGACCACCAGGTATAACTGGGCTTAATTATCATGCATTGTGACTTCGTTCTGGTAAATTTTACTGGATGAACAAAACGAATAAAGTTTTATAAAAAAAAAGATCTAACGTAGTTTAAAAATTTAGTAAAGAGATGTTTCAGATATTTATTAAGCTTAGTATTTTACTTTTAATTAAAAGAACAATTAGAAGCATAATTAAGATACTCATGTTTTTTGTTTCTTTTTTTAATTTTATGAGTATGTGAAATGTTGTTTTGTTATAGAATCAATTGAAAAATGATTATGACATGAATTGATTGAATTTATGTTGGAGAATTTATGAGATGCATGTTCATGAGCAATAAACTTACGAATGTCTATCATTAATAATTCTGAAATAAAGGGAACTTGTGATAAAATGTAGACAAACATTTTGTAGCTGTTGTAAGTGCTTTTAAATATGTTGAACTTGTGAGTGTTAATAAAAAACAAAACATCAATCATTAAATTAGACTGAGTGCTTGAAAATGGAGTCAGTTTTCAACATTAATTGTGAAGCTTTAAGAAAGCCACTTAAACTGGAATGTATATTATACATTTATGTAAAATTTAAAAGCTTTGCATAAATATATAATTAGAGATTATGACTCTCCAGTGGGCAAAATTCATTCAGTTTGTTTGAATAACAATAATTGCAACACTTGAAAACTCAATGTGTTTTTAATATCACTAAATGTTTTATAAGTCTTCATTGAGTATAACTTTATAAAATGCTTTTGTACTAAACTTTAAAGTTAACTTAATATTCAATAAACAATTGTTCATTGAATTCATGCCAAAAAAATAATGCACTACTATGTATGACTCTTTTCAAGGTGTGGTAATATTATTTCACCAGCTATTCAAGAAGAATATGTACCATTTACACTTTTTATATTTGTTTTATTTTTCATATTCTTCATGTTTGTTGTTCTTCTTGCTTTTTTAATTTAAATATTACTCAATTTTTCAAAAATTTCATAACCAATATTAAATAAAATTTCTCTTTTTTTTAATAAAAAGTATGTTATAAATATTGTTGTTAAAGTTTGATACTTTAAAAAAGTAGAAAGAAACTTTGGTAATGATATTTATTGCAAAAATCCATTTTTGTTTGACACTAAATTTATAGGTTATTATTCTATTTGACATATTGTGGTTATATTGCTGTGTTTAATGTTAAAAATTCGTCAATAAATTTTTACTTCTTACATAATATATATTATATGTTTACTTGGAATTTATTAAGTTCATAATGGTTTCAAGATACGAACATTCACCTACATTTTTCAATCGATTGAATATTTATTACCCGATATATACGTAAGAAGAATCGGAGCGAATCGAATACTGGTCACTATTCACTGAACCTTACAAAGAGCTAAAAAGAAAAGTATTATATAATAGTTTCATTGTTATTTCATCAACGTAGTACATAAATTTTGTGATGATTTTAACAACAATGAACATAAAAATATCAAATAAATAAAATAGGAAATGCTTTCAATTTCAACATTGAATGAATAACAAATTATTCGAATAATAGGTTATAATATTAAATTTAATATTAGGATATCCTAATAACCAAGAAAAGTATTGGATACAATAATTATTTATTTTTCATTATTTAATTAACAAACATAATCAATAATTACTACATAAAGAATGATATTAGTATTTCATAATAATTCTGCTGTTAATTATCAATGACATTAAACTTATGTGCTAATTTATTTTGATAATGATGGGAAAGTTTATTTAATAATGTGATTGTTTATTATTTAAAATCATTTGAATATTTAAAATTGATTTAACACTTGAAATGTTCTACTTTAGCAAATATCAAATAACACAGATCTAGAATCAATCAGTTACAACTATTTAAACATGTTAAATACATACATATATGCCTGACTATATAAACATACTATCACTAGAACTAGTATTTTCATTGTCCTAGTTTTATATTAAAAAACTTTTTTTTCTAAAAAAAAAAATTGTAGTGATAAATCCTAAAGGGTCTTTTTTTCTTTTACAGAATGATTACAGCATTACCAGTGCCTTCAGTGAAGGTCTTCCACAAGACCTATTATCACGAAAAAGGACAAAGAGTTGGAAATAGCCAACCAGGAAGTCCCCTAACAGATAGCGAAGCTGTCGTCACTCTTACAGAAAAAGATGAACTAGAATATTTTTTTTGCGGAAAGGTATTTAAGTATTCTTTCGTAATGTTGCTAGATAAGATTTTTTCAAAGCTAGGAAATTCAATTTATGAGGAAATTTGATTGGAATATGTAATTATTAGTCAAGCATGGGGGTTCAATTTTGACGTCATTCAGTATCGTGTAGGAGGAATGTTTCTTTAAGTCAATAACATGCAATGTCACAAACATTTGATAAATAAATAATTGTCTTTTCCTAATTAGTTTGAAACTCATTAACAAATGAGTATTTTTTGTATCTAGATACTTGGATGAAATGTCTCCAATGAGTTCTATATCATCAATTTTTAAAATTACTTCAGAAACTAATGTCTATCTTACTTTCAATTGTGCTAAATATTTCAGAACATAGCTTTTTTAGTTACTAATCTGATCAATAAAAAAGTGTTTTGAAAGACTTAAAGTGGATTGGATGTATCATTGCTATCAACAAGCTATGAAGAATGTAAAGTTAGTCTTCCAATTTCTAGAAACATGATTGTTATAAAAATACCAATTATTTATTCTAAGTAACATGAAAGAATGGATTAAAATTAAAACTCAATCATTGAATTTTTCATCATACCACCATTGTTTACTAAAGCTTTATAAATTTCCAACTTTATGATTTCTATAGACTAACAATAAAACTGAACATCTTAAAATTGATTATCAGTATTTAATACTTTTTAATAACACTAAATATTAAGCATTAAATAAATGGATGTACTTCATTTAAAAATACGTCTAAAGCACAACGATTTACAAGACTAAAGCAATCAAGTGTGGCACTAAATTTTCCAATTAATAAATCATTCTAGGACTTGATATTCAAATAAATGTCCATAAATGTAGAACCATTTTGCACTATTTTATGTAGATAATAAATATCTACATAAGCTGACAGAGAAAAAAAGTAAATTTGTTTTATCCTCATGACTAATCGGCTTTTGTCCAAAGATCACCAATGAATTTTAGATACTTTAACATAGTTTTTTATATTTTTTTTGATAAGGATTATTTTATAGCTTATTAAAACATCGTTTTTTATGTTGAAATAAAAATCGTTAGGACATTTGACATTATAAAAAATAATCCTTGGTATCATTCTTGATGCAAGGTGAGTGAATATGAGCTTTTAGAACGCCTACGACACTTAGAGTTGTAGAGATAGCAAATTCAATCTCAAAACGATATATTACACCTTGCTGGACAGATTGTTGCTCATCCCATTCCGATATATTTAGGCCAAGTGGCATTGAAAGTTACTGTAACTGAGCAAGTATTCTAGTAATCAGATGCCAGATGATTCTTATCAACTATTTTAATCTATCAGGAAGTTATAGCTTGTCAATTTGATCATGCTTTTTGGATGATTAAATCAATCGATTTAAAAAAAAAAACAAAATATACACATTTATATCATTTTAACTTGATAGAATTGCTCGTGTAAAAATAAAAACGACTTATTAATGATAGTATTGGAGTAATCGTTTTCCTATAAACTCCATTTTTTATGCTGTGGTTCTGTGTATTGGACTTTAACATATATTGGTAGTAGATTGTGCTGATGACGTAAAAGTTAAATCGTATTGGAAAAAACGTTTTTCATTGACATTCAGGGTTTTTAAAATATAGATGTACCTTGGTCATTGAGATACTGTACAAAGCAAAAAAAAATGTTACTGATATGAATAAAATATTTTTTTTAAAATAATTACACTTGACAATTAGATTAACTTAAAAAATGATTTATTAGATTTAACAATAAATACTTTTATGCAGATTCATATCAAGAAATGTAAGTAAATCAATAAAATATTATTTAAACTAATGAAAAATTGGATTGCAACATATTTTATTTATTAAAATAAATTTTTTTCATCGTTAATATAACAAATTTACATCTAAATGTAAATGTTTAAATAAATATTTAAATAAAATAACTAAGAACTAATTAAAACTACTAATAACCAGTGAATGTGAAGCTGTTTAAATCAAAATGTTTATATCTCGTTATAGCCTATGGTAATCCTAAACTTTATGATATAACGATTATCTTCTATCAATTAATTGTTTGAAATTAATTAGTATCGTTTTGTAATGTGATAATTTGTGAAGTAAAGTCTTGCCCTAAGGCTGTTATCAGCAATTACTAGAATGTAATAACTAATTAGAACTATTAATGATTAAAGAAAATTTATGTACCTAAAGTGATGATGTTTTAAAAGAACAATAGAAACTGGGAAAGAAGGCTTTGAGTTGAAAATTGAGGTGGATGATGAGTCATAGTGGTAGAATAATAGAAGAATCAACCTACAACCATATTTGGGTCCAAAGAAATCCTTACAAAACATCCTGACATTTAATAATTGTGAGCAACTGATTCAAAAGATCAAAGCTTTAGACCAAGCTAAAGTTCTAGATGAATATTTAAAAGATAATTAAAAATTGTAAAAAGGTTTTTACAATTTTTATGAAGCTATTGATTTGTTAAAGAATTAATTGTAAAAAATTGAATGCTTTTTATTTTATTTCATTTATAAAAAAGTTATTACCATTATAACCATCAAAACCAAAAAGGTTCTATTACCATCATAGAACCTTTTTTTATCACCATTGATCATCACTGTTGCAGTTTTTATTGTTTTGAAAAAAATTGAGTTCATTCCACTCTGTCATGTATGATTCTTCAACGTCATTTCAATGAAGGTGAATTCTAAAAAAAAGTTGAAAGTAACTTAACAAGTATCTACACAATTATAATTGCTAATAGAAAACTTGAAGATGTTTTAAAGTTTTTTAATTCACTTGAATTCGTTGAACAAAAAAAAATCTATAAATGATACTTCAAATTAACAACTTTTTCTCCATTTTATTTTCTGTGATTGATGTGAAAAAATTACTGGACTGGAACGAAATTCTCTTAAATTTTTATTGACTACAGTATGCTGTCAATCAATCTATATGCCAGTTTTATAAAAAAATTGGATCAGTATCAAAGTTTATGAATATTTATATTTGAGAATCATTACAATTTTCAAGCATCTATTTTTATGCTTCCAATAAACTCTGACGATCATCTGGAATGTTATCAATTGAAATGTGAAAATTAAATGAACATTTTGCTATTAAAAATTGTTGGAAGGTTCTGGGGCACACTTAGGTAGCCCCCTATAATTGTTTGAGGGCACCTTATTTAAATTCGTAATTCTAACAAAGATATTTTTAAATAAGTCGTTAAAATAATTCATTTTATTTTTAAATATCAAGTTTGATATAATAAAGTCCTATCTAATTGGAGATTGATTAATTTTATGATGACATGTAAGATATAATATACCAAAATATCCGGAAATAATCAATCACAAATTAGCACAGTGATAGAAAATGAAGATTATAAATACGGAAAGATCCTATATTTGATAATAATTGATCATTAATCTTTCAAATAAAATAATAAAATGCAATCAGCTCAAAAAAAATATTCCAACTTTTAAATTCAACTTTTGATTTGTAATGAAAACTTTCATCCAGTCCTATTCTTTTATTGGATAAAAAATTTTTAAAAAACTAATCACCAAACTTCTAGATTATTTTATGGAGTGAGAAAAATTGCTAAAGGAAATCAATGTTGAAATGTTTAAAGTTTTTTTTTTCTACGAAATATTTTTTTCAATAAATGTTGTATGACTTTTTCAACTAAATTATTAGTTGTTAGTAGAAAAATATTGTTTCAAACTCCAAACTTGAGCACTTTCTGGAAAAAAATTCTACGAACATTATCGTAAAAATAAATAAAAAGTTCCAAGTATCCTTAACAAAAATGACATCATCATGTTTTAATTAAGATTTAATGTTCTTTTGGTTATTAAAAAGTTATGCTGATGGAATAGTTTGGTAAATCAACCACACACTAGAGGATGAAACAATGTTACATTAACTATGTTAATTATGAAATTATCAAGTAATTAAATAACATACTTATAATGAAATCATTGGCAATAATAATAATAACATCATTAGAACTCTAGATAATAATTTCAATCAAAAATTTAAAATACTAACTCATTGAAAACTTCTCCTATTTTCATTAAAGATCTAAATATTTAATTCACTTCCTCTAGGAATATAATTAATTAACTAAGGATAAATGTAATCAGCTAAAATCTAAAAAATTTTCCAATGAATTCACGAAAATAATGAGATCTATCTTTCAATTGATGTATTTACGTCAATATTTTCAAAAAAATATTCATTATTTTTAAAGTCATCATTAAAAAATATTTTCATAAATTTTTAGCTTAATTAAAATAGATTTAGGTGTTTCAAAGAGTAATCCATTCTAATTACATGTTTATTAAAATATTGACAAGTAGGAGATGATGCAAATTTTGAATTTTTGAAGAACAGCTTGAATCATGAAATAATAATTAAACATGTGATAACATTTCAAAAATGCAATTACTATAAACGTTTTTGAATTGATTACTTTCACAGTGATACGTTTGTCATTATTTACCAACAAAATTAAATGGTTTATCACCCAAAGTGAATTTTGATTATATCCGTTGAAAAGACCGAGTGTCAATTTATAACATGCATAAAATGAAATTTTCTATCTGAATAAACTACCAGGTAAATTTAAAGCATTTTTGCAATATTTAATTATTTAGCACATCGAAGAATAGCTTTTTTAAAGTTACCAGACTATTGACAAACATCCATTAAATAAATTTAAATTAACTGAATACATCTATAAACTAGAGTTAATTAAAGTTTCTTGATATGTTGGATTGCTTGCACAGATTTATTTACGTTAAAAGTAAATAGTAATGATATTCCTCACATTACTCATCCTAGTGTAATTAAATGTAGTTATTGACCATTCTTCTTCCTTCCTTTCCATAAAATTATCATAATTATATGTAAACATGGGATTAAAAAGGATAAAAAATACTAGAATATTCAAATTTTAGAGATCAGAGCCATTGAAAATTATCTACCACATTACAGATCTTCCTGGTAGCATCAATTTTAATGTTAGCACAACTCCTACTGATGAATTATAGCTGACAGTTAGCTATCCTCCCACAAGAACTTTCTTTTTTCCAAGTTAGCTGGGTTTCTATTGTTAAAGGACATGCAGTAATATATTATCATCTGGAATATCAATAATTTATGCAATAATAAGGGTTGATTATGCAGAGATATTAGCTTGTCTTCCTACACACATTTTCAAATGTCCATACCAGAACCTTGGATGCTATTTTTCCAACATTTCAATTCTATTTTTCTTAATCTTTCTTATCATGAGCATCATCAAGATTATTAATAAACTTTATAACAATAATGACTCGTTAGGTAACTAGTACCATCATCCAACTCATCAACTTCTACATTGTTAAATTCTTAGTGATATGCATACTTAAGGTATTTTAGTTTTGAAAAATTCTTTGCTAAAAAAAAGACTCATTGATAATACTCTTGTCTCTTTTAACAAAGCAATCATTGACATTCCATGGAAACTTCAATAACTCTGAAATAATAACCCTCTGGGTTTTGATATTCAGCTGTAGGGAAATGATTAAACTTATAGAACTTATCGACATGAAATGTTTCAGTTGCACTCATACTTTTCAATTTTATAATTGATATGGAAATGGATATTCTAAAAATATAATTTATAATCATGAGCATGTAATTTAATAGAACCTAGTATATAGAAATTCAAGAATTACGGATAATGATTATTGGTAAATACACTAGGATAAGAATTTTTTATTGGTGAGTATTTTTAGTAAAATTGTAGTAAAAAATTTTCATCAAACTAAGATGAAAATCGATATAAACAACGATGGAGTATTGCTAGATGAGCTTTTTTTTTTTTTAGTTTGATAACTAAGCTGACATATTTATAAGCACAAATATTATCTAATAAGAAAATTCATGAATGGAGAATAATCTCGTTGAAGTAAATTTAAATTCACCAGATTTATAAATTCCAGGAAAAACTAAAATTACTAGTTCATAATGACTTAAGTGAAACCAGTGTAATTAATTCGATCTACTTGATAAATACAGATTCCAAAGTGTTTTTTGTAATTAAAAAGAAAAATTGTCTATGGCTAATGAGTCTGAAAAAGTCAAAATGACTTTTGGTACTAATAATAATAATAAAAAATACTCTGAACTCTAAATTAGGATTTTTTATCCACTAAAATGAATACTTTGCTTATGAAACATATCTTCAAAGCATCCATAAGTCTGAAACATAGAATATTGCAGCAATATCATTATCTTCTACTCCAATTAACTAATTAATCAATTGATGTCAGTTAAACACCCACCGATCCAATATCCCAATACTCTTTTGTACTTGCAATGCATCAAAGTTTTAATTGAAGTAATCTCAGATCGATAGATATCTATCAAGTAGAGAAGTTTATGTGATATAAGCAACAATCGATTATACATAAACAGTACTTAAAACTTTGAATTTGGAACGTTGCAGATAAACGCTCTACATGTCGTGGTTGGTTCCATACTCTTTGGAGCTGTTCTTCTAATAGTGGGGTTGGTACAGTTAGCACCAGGTGCAGAGGCTGCGCAAAATTCAACAGCTCTCATTGGAGCTGGATGCACTCTATTATCTCTTGGTGCCCTTCTTGCACAATTAAGAGCACTTTGGCTAAGAAGACAGAAAGCTGCTCAAAAAGATGGGGCTCATCAACGAAGTGTTATGAGTATAGACATGCTTTTAGCGCAGGATAGGTATGTATTGATTAACTATTTTTATTACTCTAATTTATTTTAATGGAATTAGAAATTATCATAATCAGTATATTTATGTATATATATATATATATATATATGAACAGTTAATATAATTAAATTACCAGGGATTTCACGCTTCTAACACCTGATGATTTGGAAGACCTTGTAGAAAAGCCTACTCCAACTATAGACAACAAGATTCGCAAGCAAGGTCATAGCACTTAGACTCCTTAGACTTAAACTAACTGACATCTTAGAGAGTGTCATCACTTTATCAACACTCTCATTACTTCTCTCAACTTCATCAACAATCAACTCTTTTATTATTCATCTGTGTTTGTATTCATGTTAAGTCTAGTTTAAGTTCATTGCCAAGGCTGTTACTTCAAAAAACTGTTATACCCATTTTCTCCTTTTTTTACTGCTTTCCTATTTTTTAAGGAATTGTTTATTTATTTAACTTGAAAGTTAATGATGATACTGTGTAAGGTGAAGCTTGAAAATTTTATCTTATGAAAAAATGATCATGATAAAAATATTATAACTTTGAATATTTTTAATATTTCTTCGGACTAAAAAGTTTTCATCTAAACTCGGTATTAAAAAAATTTATTATGATAATTATAATTGACATTGTGGATTGGTATTATTAGAATTAACATTTTATGGTAAATTTTTTTTAGTTTGAAAATGATTTTTTCGTTCATTGTATATATTCATTATTAATGACTAAAATAGAATGAGAAAGTTCGTGTTACTATACAAAATCAATTTTTATTTTTAACTCTAATGGAAGTATTGAATCCTGTGTAAATACGTGATTACTCGAATGTGCAGTTTTCAATTGTCGTTCAATTTAATCGTAAATAATAAATAAAAAAATTCCTAAGATTGTCAAATATTGTCTCTTCTACTCTTTCGAGGTGAATAAACTGAAATATATTTGATCAATTTTATTTAGAAAACTAATCTAAATCAATAAAACAAAAACTCATCATAAGAAACAGTAAAAAGATGGTTTATAATTTTTTTTCTATCACCTAATCAGTCTGTTTGATGATTGAATATTTTTATTATACTTTTACAAATAAATTCTCTCTAAATAAAATTAATTAAATATAAATTAAAATAAAAAAAAATTCAACTTATTATTAGTAACACAAGCTTTTCTACTCATTAATTGAAATAAAAATTAGAAAATGATTATCTGGCATGAATAGACTGCCATAATTTAATCTAAATAAATATTATCATTTATTATTATCATAATTTAAGAATATAAACTGAATTTTTAACTAATATTAAGACTCTAAAATGGATACTTACAAAAATTACCAAAATTATGATACTTAACGTTAATATTCCAAGAAACAAATTAGAACTTTCTCCAATACATTCTCCAAATTTTCATCTTAATGACTATAAGACATATATTTATAATTTTTCTGGATAAAATGAACAAAACCGTTCAGTACAACATCGACAAAATATCCTTAAAGGACGAAAATACAAAAATTTGCAATTGATGTGTTCGAATTGTAGTTGTGTTAATTTATTGTTATGTCAACTCAAATAAGTCTGACATACACACATTGTACCAATATTTAATACACATTATTACATGATAACACGTGAAGAGTGATAAATATTAAACAAAAGAAAAGTATCGTATGAACATGAGGATTAAGGATTCTTAATTATATAAATTAATCTATTGTTAGATGCATTCTATACTTATAATCCATTCGAATCATCGTAATTATTTGACATTGAAATTCTAAGGATACAATAATTATATTATTATTCCTAAAAACGCACATGGGGTTGAAGGTTGAATATTTTTATTTATTTTTTTTTTTTTGAGTGTTTCAGAATTGTTTAAAAGCTCAGATCATGTTATACCTTTTAATGAATTTATAATTCTTTTGTACTAATAATTACATTTTTTTTAAAAAGTACATCAACATGATTTTCTTTGTTAAAAAAAAAGTAATTAATTTTAAGAGAATAATTTATTCTACTCGCACAAGTAGAAAAACTATTTTATAATTTTAATTAATTTTTTGCTTAAGTTGAACATATCATTATCAGATAAAAGTAATTTATTCATACATCAAATATTTATACTAAAATGCTCTTTTTTTATTATTTAAATATATTTTTTATGTGTAATACTTTGTTTTCTTATTGATTATCAGTGAATTTTTTTCACAATTTTCCTTTAAGAATATGACATATCATTATCTAGATATCTCTTTTCAGAGTAATTTTAATTTTTACATATTTTTTATAACAAAAAGTTATCACTTCTGACGTAAAATAATTCTACTATCTAAAAAATTCACTTCAAAGATTCAAACAATGAATAGATTCAAAGTATAATAGCAGATTAAAAATAATTCCAAGTTAATATGGAACTTCTAAACCTTCCCGCATGCGCTCAAAATGTTGAAAGATTTACACATTGAATTTTCATTAATTTATTTTAATTATTTAATTATTTTTCTTTCAATTAAAATAACAATTTTAGTAAATTATTTAAAAATTTATCATTAAAAAAAAACTTATCTATTTTTAGTTCAACTAGGATTACATAATGACTATTGATTGACTTATAATTACAACCTAACAATTATATACATCATTTCTATATTTAAAATCATAACATATACTTTATTTTATTTTATCTAAATACATTTTTTTCTTTCATTTTCCGTTAAAGTACAATTACAAACGAAAATTGAAAAACTAAATCTCCTAATGTCAAAGGAGGAAGTTTACTCCAAAGTAGAAATATCAATACCAAATAATTACTCAATAAATTAATAAAATATAAGACAACTAATTTCGAACTTGCCACTAATACGCCAATTCATGATTATTATTTAAATTTTAGCCAAAAGTTAGCTGCCAAACAATAGAATAATTTATTATCACGCAAGAAGCATAAACAGTTTATTGATAATTTTATTTTGCTGACACAATTTTCGCAAATCAGTGATATGCACAATGTCTTGAATGCTTTTTTGTAAAGAATATCGTAACATTATAAAGATAGAAAATGATTCAATATGAAAGAAACATAATAAAAAACATAGTTTACGGTATTGTTGATTTAGCTTGGAGCATGAAGAATAAATTTTTATGGCTATACCATGCCAGAGATATTTTGTAATTGATATTATTGATATTTTATGATTGAGTATATAAACGGAATTTTAGATGAGAGTAATAAAGGTTTGGATGATTTTAAAAGAGATTGTTTAACATGAAAAAAAAAAATAAATAAAACGTTTAAAACGTTTTTAAAGTAGATGTTTAAATTTGGAAGCAACAAGCTTCGTTGGAAACATATCTATTAAATCAGTGAATAGTTTGAGATATTTTTCTAATCACAATAATGTCATAGAAGATATCCAAGTACAATGTGATTGATTCAATGAAAAGATTAATTATAATGATGGAAGATGGATTTTAATGATAAACTTAAAATGATTATTATCATCTAATAATTAATAATGAGTTGCTTCATAGTATTTTTATGTTAGAAAGAAAATCAATAAATTATTGCCTACATTATTGCATTTCATTCATTGAATGTATGTTAAAAGAAACAACATAGTGAATTAATGGCAAAGAAGTGACGATTTTTCACCTTAATAATAATAAATTCAGATGCTTTTTAACAGACTTTTGACATTAAAATATTTAAAAGTTTCGCAGATTATGATAAGAGAAATTAGTATTTAAGATATTCAATGCGCACATGTACTTTTAATGTCAAAATTTATCATAATGGTGTTCTCTGAATATATTTATTAATAAATTCATTTTAATAATTAATTTACATAGAAGTAAATATAGATAAATATTAATAAATAGATTTAATAACGTTGAGAATGTGATTTAGAATTTTATTATGCTTTATATCTTCATAGAACACCATCATATTCAACATACCGAGCCTTGTAAATATACTTCATAGTCAAATTCGGATGAATCATTGAAATTAGTTGTAAGAGTAAGAATAATATGATAGGAATATTAATAAAAATAATCCTAATTAATATATTAATTATTTAAGTAATCACAATAATAATAATAATGCTTTTTCGTTTTATATATAATGCAATGAAGCAAATCATTGATTGATATAAATTGATATTAATGAAAGAAAGTTGATGATTTGTAGATCATAATTAGATTAAGATTCCTGAAATAAAAATAATTATATAATTAGTTGGAATTGATATATTAATAATTCATCAAAATTATAATCCCCATTGCTTATTCTTCATTTTCTTGTATATTTTATAAGTGATATTAATGACAATGAAAATTTAATAAAAATTCAGTGATATCTTGGAATTAATGTGAATTATTTCTTATCCCTTTTCCTCTTTTTTCCATTTTCATTAAGATGATCGATTTAATTATTTTTCTAATTGACATGAGAAAGAGCTTAAAAAATTAATTGATTCATCAGAGAGTTTTTTTTTTAAATCATCAATAATAATTTTGCTGGAGTCCAGTAACTCTAGATATATTTTTCTTCATTGTATTTGACAATTCATTATTTTTTCATTCGAATAAAATTTGATTGATGTTTATAAAACAAAAGATTCCAATTACTGTCAAAATTAATTTTATCTAAATTTCAGTGTGATAAAAAAAGTCTTCAAAAATGTGAAAAATATTTATTTCATTCAATTAATTATCTTATTTTGTTTGGATTGAAAATTTAAGTGTAACTAATGTTTAATATTCAAGTTTGTGCATCACCAACTGTTATAGTTTTCTTGCTATTATCATTATCCTGTTGGTTATGCATATGTCGATGGTGGTTTCATTATAACATGAAGGATCAAGAGGTAAATCATTTACTCTTCTTCATAATTATTATGAATAATAAAATTATCAACTGATAACTGTACCTTTGTCTAATCCTAGGTGGTTTCCTCATTGATTTCTTATTACGCAGTCATTACACTGTTAAATATGATATTCTTGGGACACTTTAGCATGACCCAAAACTGTTCCCAACCTTAATATAAATAAAACCAGTCAAATAAATGAAGAATAATGTCCTAATTTACCATTCTGAAGACCAAAGTTAGTTTTTGAACTAACACGCATCTTTTACCGCTGATAACATCTAGAGGTTATGAGCAACTTCCGGCTGCGCGAGTCGCAATATAAAACTCTCGTGAAAGAGGTAGACATTCCTTTGCATTTCTCCCTATAAAAATATCAGATCATTTATTTTTAAGTAAAAATCAAGATGATGATGAATACTTTAAGGTCAATTGTACAGAGTAAGATCCAATACCGTCAATTCCACCAATGGTATGTTTATCTTTTATTTATTATCATTTATTCCTTGGTATGTTTAATAACACATAACCTATAGTGTTGATTATGATTTAATAATAAAGACCATTTTATTATTATTTAGTTTTAGATATTGTCAAGCTGAAGTAGCAACAGCATCAGTAGAAAAATTAACGATTCCTGCTCCGGAATCTTCAGAGATGGTTGTTAGTCCTAAAATTGAGAAAATTTTTCAAGAAATCAGTAGTCTAAATTTAATTGAAGTAGCTCAGCTTAGTGATGTGCTGAAGAAACGATTGAATCTTCCTGATGCTCCAATGATGGCAATGGCTGGACCAGCAGCACCTGCAGAGGTTTGTTATTGATATATTTAATCTTATTTTTACTAATCTAACACCGCTGTGTTAACATGAATTCATTCATAGCTTAGAATCATTTTTATTTCTTTCTTCATATAATTAAAGCCATTAATTCATTTGGACATTTCTTATTTTAGGAAGCAGCAGAAAAGAAACAAGTACAAAGTTCATTCACCGTAAAATTAACAAAGTTTGATGAAAAGCAAAAAGTAGCTATAATAAAAGAAATTAAAGCACTACTACCTGAGATGAATCTTGTACAAGTATTTATCTTTTGATTTATTTATTTTTTTTGTAAATTATATCAACATTTTTATTAATTAATTTATTAATTTTAGGCTAAAAAGTTTGTCGAAAGTGTCCCATCAGTAGTGAAAGCGGATATATCAAAAGATGAAGCAGATCAATTGAAAGCAGCTTTAGCCAAAGTTGGTGGAGATGTTGAAATATCATAAATAATAATTAACTGATTATGATACTTTTTACTTGTGGCTTTATTACCCTTAGTTTTATAATAAATATTCACAACAGAGTAAAATTAATTGAGTTATTTATAATTACTTAGAAAAATTCAATATATATGTTAATTCCGAAAATTGGATCCTGTTCTAAATAGGCAGCTTTTTAATAACAATGCTTTGATAACCAATTATCTGATTGTTGCCAAAAAAATAAAACTTTTATACTATTAGACAGTTATTTCTTCAATTCTTAGAGCTATTTATGTTAAATAAACTGATGATTAAACAATTATTTTCAATATTTTCTACTTACGTGACGCAATCAAATGGCGTCTCTTGGAATTTTTTTCTACTGTAATTTCAAGCTACTTAAAAAACAGTTAAATAAAACATTATTGACGATAAATTTGGAATTAAAGAGCTTCTAATGTTATTTTAGATTTAAATAAAATTAAATTAAACGATTTTAAATTCACTAATAATCACTCTGAAAATAAAAACAAACCGGCTACTGAAAAATAATGGCGGACTGATTTCAAAGTATATATTTAGACACCAGCGCTTTATTGATACATGACGATAATTTACCTACATGAAACAAAATTCGCACACACATACACACATGTACACCAATCTACATTACAGTTTGATAAAATGTCATTATACATTCCACGTAGTAGGTATTTTATTATTGAGAGGCATTAAAACGGTTTCAATTTACTTCTAAAATATAATCATTAATCAACATCTAATATAAACATAGAATATGAAATCTATGAGTCTACGTTTATTACTGTGTGAAAATTAATGCCACGATGGCTGAAAGTACTCCAAATAATATATCAAACATGGAAAATATAACACACAATAATCTTGAGGTAAGTAAAAAAGTAATTATATAAATTATAAAACATTTGTAATATTATTTATCTAATATAATAATAATTAGTTTTATTCTTTTTGTCATCAATAAATTGTCAAAGTTTCACTGTTATTTTGACAGGTCAAATCAGACCAGACAGAAGTGGAAGTGTCCAATGAGAATGATGTAGCAACACTTGAATCTGAAGTATCCTCAATAATTTCCAAATTCGAGAAAGCTGGAGAAAAGCCTAATAATGGTGGAGGAACCACTTGGAATTATCCTTTAGGGTTTCTTACTCAATGTAAGAGTGTAGAAACAGTTCAATCATTAATAGAGGTAAATATAAAAGGCAGTAGAATAGTTTTTAAAACTATTGTAATCATATCAATTTCTGAGATAATTGGCAATTATACTCCATGATTATATTCAATCAACTGACAAGCTGTAATAATAAAATTAAATAGTATGCTTATTATTCAAATGATGTCAGCAATAATCATTTCAGGATTTAATCATCTACGAAAGTGGACCACAAGTTAGTGACGAAAATAATCCAGATACAGCTCAAATAAGTCAAATTACAAGTCTACCAACGTTGACAGAAGCTGGAAAACTTGCTCTTATCACCCAATCTGTATCAGCTTATGCAGTAGGTTTACCAAGAAGTCATGCACAAAAATTAGCTCATCGTTTAGTTGCTGATACTACTAGATGGCTTAATCATTTATTCGGTTTCGGTGATTATGCTACTTCCTTTCATGAAGATCATTTGGAAGGTTTAGTTAAAGTAACAAAATTAGCACTGTACAAAAAGTATCCTAGATATATAGAAGATGGATTTAATGCTCTTGTATCAGCTCCTCCAATTATCTATACTTCTGTAGCTGCTCCTCCAGGCGTTGTGCAACATTTATGTAGACAGGTGATTTATTCTTCAAGTTATTTATCAATTCATTAAATATTACATTATTAACACTAATCAGATATATGTATATTTAGCTGTCATTACCGTTGAGTTGTATTCGAACTATTTCCCAAAATACAATGTTTGGATCTCGACAAAGTATGGACATTTCAGCGCTCGAACGACGTTTAGCAGAGGACAGTCAATTAAATAATGCTACGCCGCTTTTAGTATTAGCTGAAGTGGCTTCTGCAATCACCGGACACTGCGATAACGTTGCTCGACTAATAGAGATATGTGAAAAATATAACGTCTGGCTCCACCTTCGAGGACATTCATTAGCTGCACTGACATTAAATAAATCACCACCAGTAGACTTGGTAAATTTATTTTATCGAAATGATAAAGTAACATTATTTTATCGGTAATAATTTTTTATTAATATTTTAGACATCTGGAATTGCAGACAGTATTACTCTACCTTTAGGCGTTTGGCTAGGAATTTCATCATTGCCAATTGTGGTAAATTTAAATTTAATTAATTATTGTATAATTTTGTTATGTTTTTATTTTGAAAATTGTATTTTTTTTAACTGATGTGTCTAGACATTGTATAGATTAACAGACTCTAAATGGGGGAAACAAACTCAACGTGATACATCATTAAGTGCAGTATCAGGTTTAATGGCAGAATCATTTGCAAGGCGGCTATCTATTTTACCATTGTGGGCAGTACTCCAAGTTCTAGGTCGGGATGGGATTCGATCTAGATTTAAACAGTGCTTCGAAATTATTGAAGAATTATATAATAAAATTAAAAAATTTCCCAATATTAAATTTTTAGTAAGTAATAAACGCCTATTGTGATATTGATCAGAATAGAAAAATCTTAAGACTATTCTGAATGTTTTATTTTAATATAATTTTATTTTAAGCAAAGTCTAAATAATGTTGATTTTATTACAGAGTCAACTTCCAGGAGATGAAAATGGCGCTCTATCAATAAATGACTTATCACCCAGTTCTCTAAATAGTTTAAAAATATTTGAGGTCGTCGCAAGTTCTTTAGTATTTCAATATGTACCTCCAGTTCGAGAATCACAAAGATCAGAACGTAACACAGTATATTATGACAAATTTAATTGTTGGCTAGGACAAATTTTACAAAGAGACATTGAAAATATTCCAATTGAGTTGTGTGAACTTGAACAGTATGGTGTAGTAATAAGAATATGTTGCCTTGAAAGCCCAGGGAATCCTCCAACTTCAGAAGATGTTGATAACGTCATAGCTTGTCTTGAACAACAAATCGTAAGATTCTAAAAATATCTTTATGTTATTAATTATTTTATTTTGTTTCCCAATGGAATATTTAATGAATTCCAGGAAATTTTAAATGCTACTATTGAACATCGAGAAACCTTTATACGATTGGTAAAACAAAATGATTCCCTTGACTATGTCGATACACCCGGATGGGCAGGCTTAGGCGGCGTACGTTATGCACCACCAACCTGGGCTAAGATAATGACTGAACAAACAATCGAGGAACTTGATAGATTGAATTACCAATTGGTAGAAGCTTTACGAAATACAGATGCTGCTTTTTCACTTGGTGAAGGAGCAGATGGTTTAGCTTGTGTTCGTTTTGGGATGGTGACTCATGACACTGGTACTTATTAAGATTTTTTATAGCTACGATGTTATTAACTTTTTGCCATCAGTCACAATCTAATTATTTCCAATATTTTTTATCCATTTTCTTTGACAGATTTGGCACAGTTGCTCTCATTAGTGTATCAAGTAGGTCAAGAAATTGAAGCAAACTCAAAGCTGTTGGATACAATTTCCGAAGTGGTGAAGAGGGGAATTAAAGCAGCACAAAGTGATCTTGAAAAAGAAAATGCTGATAAGCTTTGGCAAGAAGGAATTCTTCGACATGTTCCAGTTGTTGGAACTTTTGTTAATTGGTGGAGTCCACCGTCAAAAGAAGGAGGAGTTCGGGGTCGTAGATTAAATTTAGAAGCTGGTTAGTTCTGAATTTATTCAAGGCAACTTTGTTATCGTAACTTATTGAAGTTATCATTTTTAATTAATCTAAAAAGTTACGCTAGAGTTAATTTCAATAGACAGCTTTTGAAATAAATTTTTCATATTTAGGTCGTATTATTTTTGAAAAAATATATTCAGTAAATTAATTTATTCTACTGGGTTAAGTTCGAATATTTTAATATGAATATTATTAAATTTGTAGGTACTCTTGAAAGCACTGAAAATATTTACAAGTATCATATGCAACGCCAGCCACCTGGTACGGAAAAAAGTAATGGTTCTGGCGCACGAACACCACCTCAACCTCTTGTTCAAACTCCCGTTGGTGTAGGTAGTCAAAGTCATAGTAGATCTTCAAGTCATTCAAGTGTTCAAAGCAATAAAGGTGCGTCAATAATTTCCAATTCAAACGTTTTTCAAACTCAAATGAAAGAGGAATCGACTACTCCACGATCGTAGTAAATTATTTTTTCTAAAATTAATAATATTAAAGATTAAAATCACCTTTTGGTTTTCAATGTTTATAATTTTCTCCAAATGCTTCTTGTAAAAAATTATTTACGAAGGTAAGAATCTCTTACAATATGACTATAATATAAATAGTTAATGAAGCCAATTAATTAAAGTTAATGTACTTATTGTAATAAATAAGGAATTAAATTTTTTAATTACAATAAAACAATTATTTGTTTTATTTGACATTTGAATACTATGAAAATTCATTCAATATTTTGAAAAATAAATAAACATTCAAATAATACAATTAGTTATCCATAGATTTAATAACAGACTTTGAGAAAAGAATAAATCAAGTATTACTTTACACAATTTTAAATTAATTATTCATTATTAACAAATTTTACATACTTTGTGTAATTTGACTTATTTTCTTTTTTATTTTGTATCTCAAAGCTTATTATAAAATATTAAATAATTTATTAAGAATCATGTGATAAGATAAAAAAAATGCTAGCTTTTAGTAAGGTTTATAATTATTGCAATTACTTTACCAAATAATTGTTATTTAAAATAAAGCTCTTTAATGAGTAGGCCTCAACTTTAATTTTATTTCTGTAATTGTTTTCATAATACATTTATATTTATATAAAATATTGCAGCGAATTCACATGTAACACAAAATATTGTTAATATATAATTGCAAAAAATAAATAAATTAAGCTCTTATGTATATTTATGTACTGAAATATTGTAATATAATAATAAATTACGATTAAACGTATTATAAATATAAGCAATAAGGAACAACAAAAGTACTTTGTCAAAGTTTTTTTTATAATTTTTTTTTATTTCTCTTTCAATAATATTCAATTAGCGATACAATAAGAGGAATAATAAAATTCAGTTGCATGGCAATTAGACACAATATCGAATGAACTTATTTTCTTTTTTTTCATGGTTTTGTAAGCTTATGTTCACCATGAATACCAAGTGATACAAATCTTAATTTATGTATGAATTTTTATTAATTATTTAATTTTGAGTCACTTTTATATACTTATCTAAAAAAAATTGGCATTACTGCTAACACAGTTTTAAAAGAAGTGCAAAAATTGAGCAGCCGAAAAAACAAAGACGGCTTTTGTGCTATCATTTTTTTTTCTTTTCTCGTTATGTAATTATTGAAAAATTGATGAAGTTTTGATTTTTTTTTTTTTCTTTCGTTATCAATGTTTATATATAATGCGTACAAACGTGTGATAGGCCACTATTAAATATTACTTTAGAAATTCAAATTTTCAACAGCCATTAACGGCAAACACTTACATGAAAAAAATAAATAAAATACAATATCAATCATTCAATTTTAATTTTACGTACTTTCGCACACACATCGTTCGTTTTTTTATGTATAAAAATGATAAAAAATTGAACAACATGACAATTATTATAGTAAACAGATAATTTAATTTATACTTTAGAACAATAGACATTCAAACTGCAATTTCAATTGACAAACAATTAGAATGAATGTTTCATTGACAATGGTGTCTAGGCTGTGTTAAATACACTAAACTGGTGTTTAGAATTTATTACTACAACTGTTATTTCTCTTTTTCTTACACCTCAGGGACTCACTATACACACGTGCTATTCAAACATCTTTAATCAGCAATTACGAATTTTTCATTAATTCAGAACCAGATCTTAAAATAAATATAATAATTGAAAAAACATTTTATTTAGTTAAATACTGTATTGATCCCGTATTTGTATATCTCAGGGCAGTCTTTAACAATAGACGATATTTTATTAATTACTTTGACCTTTTCGTAAGATTCTTATTAAATTAATTCTTTTAATTTCGTCTTCTATTTTATTATTTACCCATTAATAACTACACAAATGTTTTTTTTCTTTAATGCACTGCAATTTAACACTAATTACGTTCCTTTTTTGTCGAGTATATGTTAAGAGCAATATTTAATGACAGTGGCATAGCATTAGGTATTACTTCAAATAGAATATTTTCAGCTATTTTTTTGTTTTTTTTTGTTTTTTCAATAAAAAGTTGAGCCATTTCACATGATGAATTTGGCAAGAAATTATTTCAAGTTTATTTATTTCTGCTGAACACACCTGCTGTTTACTTAATGACTAGGATATAATATATACCTTCCTACACCATCAAATCTTTTTATGCTAATGTTCGTTATAACTACATTACTCTTTTTTTATTTTTTATTATTAATTCTCTTTTATTTACTTGTGTCTTCTATTAGCCAGCGACGCATTATTGATTCCTCAAATGTGGAACTTAATAATCTATAAATTAAATGTGACGCCATCTAATTATCTAAATATCATTTATAATAAATATTACAAATATTTACAACGGGTTTTCATACCCATGCTGAAGCAGTCCACATGAATACTCGCAATTATAACGCTTTCCCATCAATTTTCATTCAATTTTCTTCTTTATTATCTTTCTTTATTTATAAATTCAGTAAAAAAAAATTTTATAACACTTTTAAATAGTTGAATAGAAAAAAAAACATACAGGTAGAAATATTATTTTTAAAAAAGTTTGAAAAAAATTATTACTAAATGCGTGTGGAATGGCACGGGTTATTATTCTCACATAAAATTAGTGAAATTAAGAGTGGGAGGACTTTTTTTTTTTAATCATTCAGGAATACCCTTTTGAATTATTTAAAGTAGTTTTTGTTTGTTTATAATCACTTTGATATTTTGAAACAACATTGAAGATTATATCTTTCTTTTGTTAATTACCACACTTTACACCTCTAATTTATAATCTTATATATTTTTATCTATGTATTTACAGAATAAAGGTGAAAATAAATAGCGGAATGGAGTATGAAATCGCCGGTAAGATTTCGTTGTTCAGCGAATACTTGTGTATAATTATAATTTATTTTCGTTTGTATCAATGATACAGTCTCACATTCCACATAGAATAAATAATAATAAAAAATTATTTTCGATTAATTTAGAACCTTTATGTATTTCTTTGATCGTACGAAATCACGTACCACCGATAACGGTTTGTACTTGTAATAATAATATTGCCTGAGTAGTGGCAGTATTTATCAGTATAATGATAATAATGCGTTTGCTTTTTTTTTTTTTTATTAAAGGTTTATGCTTATCAAGAAAGCCTGGTATAAAATCTTGATCTTAATCATTATTATTTTACTGGTAACTTGGCTCTACCTTGATAATTATCATTTAATTGTTATTTATTTAGGTGGGACGTAATAAATTTTCTAATAAAAAAGACAAAACAAAGATGAATAGTACGTACTTACAATTTGCGCGATAGATAATATGTGAAATATAAATTATATAAAAAAATTGTCTTTTGGTATTCTCTCTCACAATATATGTGAATATTGATTGATTACTATTGAATCTATCACCCCAGGTACTCATACTTTATTGCATAGACCATAAACCAATCAGTCGTCTGCAAGATAAATCCATAGGGTTGTATATTTTTTATTCTCGAATTACATTGTAAGATCCAATAATTTTATATCCCTTTTTTTTTCTATTGAGATTCATTGTTTTCTCTTTAGAATAATCATGTAATAAAACTTACCAATCATTTTTTAATCGTACATCCGAGACTTTTGCCCCCTCTCTTATTTTTCATATCAGTCTCCATTAATTCCGCCTTTCTACAGCTTTGGTTTTTCAACTAATACCTTGATCAGGACCGTTTCTACAACTCTGTCACAGCATAGAGATTCGGATCACTGCCTTGGACTTGGCTAAGCGTTGGAACCGCTGATGCTTTTTCTTGTCTTGCTTGTGAGCGATTGTATGTACCATACATATTTGGCACTGCATTATTAGGCGTTATACCATTGAATTGACCACGTGAAAAATTTCTATCAAGAGTTCTAACTTGATCCTGCACTTGATCTTGGATCCTAACATTAGGAGCTTTATTTTTCACTAAAGAACGAAATTGGTTCATGTTGGTTTGGGAACGATTTTCAAATTCCCAAGTAGGTTGGGTTGCATTAGGTGGTAAAGGACGATTTTGATTCCATGCAGGTGTTGCGCCACGTTTTAAATTAGCCAAATTCTTTGGATCCAACGTCTGAGTCTTACGAGAGTCTTGGAAAGTTGCAAGATGAGCAGGTCCATGGGAGTTGTGAGACATGGTGCCAGTGAAGGATGCCACACTTGGTGTCCAAGGAGGTTCCCTTCCTAGAGAAAATATTCATCAATTAATTATTAATTCTTTATTTCACTTTAATAATTAAAATAAGGATTCAAAAAGTGGGCAGAAAATGCCATTATAAATAATTTATAATAGCGATTTCAGATTTTTAATGAGTAAGCATAAGTTTCTTTGTAAAAATTTCCACATCATTGATTAAATAGTTGTTTCCAATTGTTTGTGCAATTATTTTAAAAGAATAAGTAAAAAAAAAAAAAAAACGTGCTTAGAATTAAAATGAGTTCTCTGACTAGCATATATAATTACAACTGATTGATGATAAGTTTCATTTCAATATGCAGTCTTTTCTCAAGAGGCAAAAATACTATGATTATTCATCTTTATGGATGTTTTTATAATTTAAATGCTGATTTTCATCATAATGCAATCAGTAACAATGTTTCTCAGCTACTTGATATCAAAGTAAACTAAGAAATATGTAAAAAAATATTAAGCCCTTATTATTCTCGTGACTTGGCTGAAATATAGTACCATAAAGAGAGAATGTATAAATGCGCGAAAAAAAATTTTAGCATTTTCCTCCCTTGTATTCATAAGGAATAAAATGGTAATTATATATAATCTTACCAGGTCCCGAGGGGGCGTGCCCTCAGTAGAAATCATTAGATTCTAATGTTTTGCACTGTTTACTTAAAGTTGCGTACTGACCAGGTTGATCTCCGTGCCCAGAACGGTGGTCAGATCGTCCACTTGATTGCTGATTATGCTGAGACTGTTTGTGATCTCCGATTCCTCCGCTGCCATTAATACCCCCACCTCTGTAAACGGCAATGCCGAAAAGAAAATAGTTATAAGAATGTCATAAATAAATAAATATCTATAAAACTACATATCGAAAAAGTGAAAATTTATCTTCCTAATAATTTATATTGAAAAATCCTATTTTTTATAACTGGCTGAAACGACTAACATCTATTGCAGCAAGCAGCAGCTATTTATTAATCTATCACCTGGGATCAGTATTAAAGCAGCATAAAAAATTGAGATTAAGTGAGATCATAAATGTTATGTAAAACGTATTGTTTACTATAGTAATAATATATAATAATAAATAGATAAATTTAAAAGAACAAAAACATGCACAAACTTTAACATGCTCTCGTGCAGCTGTCGTGCGCGAGCTGTTGCAGTAGCGTAGGATGGCGGGGGCGGCGTTAGCAGAAGAGGCTGCTTAATTGTATTATTCGTGCCATGAGAATTTGGATTAAGAGTAGGGGCTGTAGGTGGGTACGACCCTTGGCCACGAAGAGTTCTAGCTGCGATCGCCTGGGAAGCTGCTGATGGTGGTAAGAATGGATCCTGCTCATCAACTTGGTGGTAATCTCTTCTGGAACAATTTTTTTTATTTACTTTTCTTTTATTTAAACATCATTTATTGATATAAATAATTTCATTAATCATTTCTTACCGCTTCCGAATGTAGATCCACGTATGAGAGTCCACCCAGACTAATACAGTGAAGAATAAACCAGCTGTCAAGCTTGCTAATAACATGAACGTCAAACCGTATAATCCAAGATGACACAGGCCTTTTGCACCACTGACATATTGCTTATGAAGTGGTTTACAATCCAAAAGAGTTGTTAAACCAGACATAAGTCGATCTACAGTATTTACTTCATTCTTCAGGCTACTGAGTTTAGGCGCAAGTTGTTGATCTCTGAATAGATCCAATGCAATACGTTCTACGATAGTCAGACTTGTTCTCATATTACCAGCCGCTAACTGGCCTTCTCTCAGTCGTAATGTAAAGGGATTATTTCGTGTACTTTCACAGCGCATGTAATAATTTAGTACTTCTGCGGCTAATGATGATGGTACTGATCTAGTTAGATAGCCATCGGGTGACACACAAAGATCGCCTAGGGCCACTGCCGTCGCCAAGTACAATGAAGCCATCAGCCATGATACTATGACAGCAAAGAGGCCGAATACAGAAAATCTGAAAATATAAAATAACATTTATTTAATATTCAATTCAGCTTGATTTATATTTTATAAAAATAATTTAGGTCAAATGGAATAATTGATCAAGTGTTATAATTATTTTGTATGTTGGTAATAAAATTTAACGATCTGTTTAATTAGCACATTTTGATGCTAAAGTTCATGTGACGGAAGAAAAGGTACGCGACGATGTAAGCATTGGAAAAATTTTCATGTGTTGAGATAATTCACATACATGGAAGTTTATGAAGTCAAATATTCATGAATACTTATGAAGAATCTATCTATGTATGAGAAATATAATGTCACCAATACTTGTGAAGAAATATTAGCTGTTCATTATGATAATTAGAGCAAATTCTTTACTTTAGTACTTTAGCAACGTAAAGAATTTAGTGATAATTATTAAAGTGAATATCTAAAATTAAATTTCTCTTTAAACACAACGATTTACGCATTATTTTTTCTATTACTATAGATTAAATTTTAATTGAATATTTTTAAAATTCTATTTAAATTTTTATGTAATGAATTCTAGTTAGTAAAAGGCCATTATATGAAGGGTACCATATATTGGCACTAATTTATACATTATGTGCTGTTCTAAAATATAGTTCAAACTAATTTCAAAGTTCCTAACGTCTTGTTGAGAATAAAGGGACGTTACTCAAGAGTTACATTCTGATTTCAAATTCTATTTAACCATTTTGAGGGTTAATTTATGGAGTAACTTGTCTTAACTTGAATAAATAAGAAAAAAAGGATGGTCATTTAACCGGCAAGGGAATTAAGTTTAGTGAAAAAATGGAACAAAGAATAAGCATATTTCACGTGGAAAATATATTTTTATATGAGATTTATTTAAAGGAAGTTTTTATATTAATAAATGAGTTGAGAGTGACTTATAGAACATTTTTATAATAAAAAGATAATATGTAAATGTCGATAAAACTGAGAAATAATCATCAATATAGAAATATGGCTCAAAGCCAATACCACTGGTCTGCAAAGAGAAATGTGGTGGATAATTTTATGTGACTATTGTAAATTCTCGTCTACTAAATCAGAGAATGAAACCCTCTTTTGGCATATTCTATCACATTTTTTTTTTATGAAGCATGAATTGATAATAAATTATTATCAAATTAAAATTTCTTTTTTCAATTATAAAAATATTCATGATCACGAATGTTTGTATAAGAATTAAAACATTTTTTTTTCTGAATGATAATACTTAAAAAAATTCCTAAATATAACTCTCAACAATAATATACTTATGTAAAACTCAAGCTGTTATCTTTTCTATCAATATAAAAGCTTTCTTTAAAATCAATAAAAGGTCAGTCATCTCATGAAATTTAAATCCAGATTTGTTAAAAATAGAACTAAAATTATTCCATTTGCCATTCAAAAGTTGAATTAAAATTCAAACTTCTACTCGTTTTTTTGTTCATATTTTCTTCAGAACGTAACATGCTTCTACCTTAAATGTTTTTTAACTTTTAAAATATTAACTTTCATATCTAAAAATTTCATCCAAGCTTAGAAACTCTGCTCCAAATAACGTTCATCATAAAATCTTTAAATATCCTATCTTATTCAAAAGTACAGTGGTAAAACAACACTTCTTCTCCAATAGCAACATATCTTGCTCCATAAAAAGTTCATTTGAATACTTATTTTTATCTTCAATTCAAAATCAATAGAAGTACTCTCCTAACGACATAATCTGTCTAGGAATAAAAATAACAGTCAAGACAGTTGAATATAATTTTTATCTTCCATTTAACCCTTTGTATTGAGACTTAGGGGTAAATTGATTTAACAGAGGAAAACTTACGTAATGAGAGCACATCGAGAGTGTCGCGCGACTCCGACCAGCAGAACCACACAAAGTACAAGAAGAGTACTAAGAACAGCCATAGTAACAGGCCACCTGAATAATTCGATCCTTTCACCCATCAGAACGATCCTTCCAAGATTTATCCCGTTCAATGGTTTCCTTATTTCATAAGTTCGATTGACAGCAATGGATGTATTGTGTGTCATATAATCCCACACTTTCATCAAGTAGTCCAGAGCGGTTTTATTGCCAACAGGCGCGTCGAATTCATCTCTTAGAGTGGTAAGATCAGGTTCCAGTTTTTTTTTTAATGTATTCTCAATGGTGTCTGTTTGATTTTTTATCGAAGTAACACTAGTGTCCACGTGTTTAGCGGCATCTAAAAGTTGTACGAGGCCATTATGAACATCATCGTTGCCATAAAGTCCAACTGCAACTGCACCGGAGCATAAAACTGCTAGAATTGCTAGCGAGCATTTGAGCAAAGTTATTGATCTTCGAGGCCGTGGCTTTCGATCGCAGCATCTCGTTACGAGATAAACCAGCAGTACAAGAAGTGTCAAGATCAGCCAGGCAGCAGGAATGCTAGCTAGGATACCCAGACTCTGTAATAAAAAAAAAATAACTTAGATAAATCACTTGAATAGTTTTAATAAAAATTATATGATATGACAGCTATTGGCATATTTGAGTATTTAAAAAAACCATCATTTCCATCATGATAATCTATCAATATTACTATTAATCTTGTATTAAATTGTAGTAGGCAGGTGTGTCAGTTAACCAATTAAAAACTTTTCTTGCTCGTTTTTCATTGGCCAAAGTACATGGACAGGCTCTTATCTGGAGTCTTAGAGTCTCTAGAGTTCTTTATGCTCTCTAAAGTCTCATCTCTTCACCATTAGACCTTCTCTGTGTATCTCTAGCCAAAGCTGTACATGAGTTCTATTTTCACCTGCGTACTAGCTGCTAAAGTGAAAAAAAAAGAAAGAAACAGAAAGGAAATGTCGTAGCGAGGTCGGAGGTTCTCCAGGGTACACATTATGCCGAGCGGGTTCTCTTTGTCTATTGTTCAAACTCGCCCAGCATTATTGTGTGCTTTCTCGTTTAGGTATGGCCTGAATTCATTCCTATGTTCTTGTGGATTTTTAGTCAAGATAGACCTACTAAAAAGTTTTTATTATTTCCGTAGTCGTTATTTTTTTTCTTGGGTTGTGCTTTATTTTTTTTTAATTTAAATAATGATGGATGACTATTAAATGTTTTTGGAATTTTTCTATATTTAGATTCTATTATGTCATTATATAACTGAATATGGAGAAAAAAAATTTAATTATAGTGAGAAAAGCACAATGCATCTTCAAAGGTTTAGTATTCTGCATTGTGCTTTATTTTTTTTTTTTGTTAAATAGTAATAGTTGAATAGAATCATTTTGATGATTAATAATATGAATATTATAGCATAATAATGATTAATTACTATAATTTTTTTTTTTAATTCATTCATTAAAAATAATTTTACAATTATTTGTAATTATTACAAAATGTCAAAAACAATTGATTCATCTCATTAAAATATATCATAAAATAAATTTCATTATTACACAACAAGAATAATTGGCCTGACACATTATTTGCATTATCATTAATTACGTTAAATAATCATGTGTCAAGATTAATAATTAAATCACTTGATAAATACGATTAATTAAATCTGATATTAAATTCAATAACTACAATATTTTATAATAAAGTTAAAAATAAACTTTTTTGTTTCTATTTACAAAAAAAAAAATGTATTTATTTTGTGAAAAAAAATTCATTGAATCGAACCCAAACGAACGCTTGACAAATAATTCAATTCACTAAAACGCTGAATCCAACCTTTTTCCTATAACAAATAAAACTAACAGTGACTAGCCAATAAAACGGTACTTTTGACGATAATTCGATTCAGTTCAATATGAATTCACAGTTACTAGCAATTTTTTAAGCTAAAAAAATTATTTTATTCGTTAGAATATTCATTGAAGTAAAATAGAATCATTATTAATTTAATTTATATTGTTATAAAAATTATAAATAAAAATAATTATAAAAGATCAATGTTATGATTTATTTCTTTTTCAAATTAATAAATGCAAAATCCCAAAAATAGTATCCAATTATTCAACATTATTCCATCTATGTTTGAATAAATTGATGAAATATTAAATGAGAATAGATGAGAATAAAATTTAATTAATAAATCTATTTAAATGAAGTGAATAATCATTTGATTATTTAATTGTTATGTTATGATCTCAATAATAATACTCAATAAATCTTTATTGGAGAAAACAATTGGATTTATTATTTAATTATGTTATATTTATTGTTAATGCCAACACAACATTATTTAAATTTAATTTTATTGTACATCTGCAGATTATATTAATCATGCCCGATTAATTAATTTATTTTGTTATTTATTGTTTCACTAAAACAATATGTTTTATCAAATTACTGTAATTAATTTATTATTCAATTATTTATATTAATTAAAGGCAATCTTTTTTTTTTTATAAACTTATTTAGAAGTATTTTGATAAAAATAAATTAAAAAAGAATTAATTCTTGGTGTTACTGTTAAAGAAGAAAGCAATTTTTGCAGCAATATCACAGAACCATTGATGTATAATTGTCTTTGAAGGGTGTAAGTATAAGAATGTGTCAATAATAAAAGCTGAGGGGAATTTTGGAAATCAATGCAGTCATTGTTTCTTGGAGATGAAACAAAGACTTCAGTGAAGGACTTGAACTGTCTAGTCGTTGGAGATGAGTAAATTGTCTTTAACATGGAACTAGGCCACCAAGATCTACTATTCAATTACTCTGCAATATTATTATTATTATTTTTAATATTTATGAATAAAAATGAAATTTTCTTATTATCAGAAAATTTAATTAAATGTTTTTTTCTTAATGTATTTGATGTAATTTCTTAGATATTCACATAAACAGATTTTTATCACGAAGATAAAACTATTAAAAAAATTCTGAATAAATTCTATCTCAGTATTCAGAAAAAGCATGATGCTTTTTTATGATTTATTTTAAACAGTTTTTTTCTTTACTCAGATTATCAACCGTTGAAATTACTAAATGTACTGTGTAATAAAGTTTTAATGTAATAATAAATTTTCATGATTTTAATAAATTGTAATAATATTCAATCTCTCTAATCTGCATAGACTCTTTTTTAAATCATATTTCCTTTTTTTTCTGTCATAAAAAATGGATATTAATGAATATTTTTTGTTTATAAAAAGTTTAATTACAAATAAATAAAATTATTTAGTAGTCTAAAGTAATTTTTTTTACTAAAAATAATGTACAATGAGAGAAGGAATTAATTTAACAATAATTTACAAATCTTTTTTTTTCAAGAGAATTGAAATTGTTCGAGTGGAAAAGTGATCTTGTTTCTTTGATAGAATTTTATTGCTAAAAGTTGTGAAAGTATTTAGAATAAAAGTTTTAATGTGAAATTGGTTAAATTATAGAGATTACAAACTTGTAAATAGATCAATACAAGCAATATAAATAAACGAAAAAATTATTAAAAATATCACAATAGTTTATCTAAATGAGATCAATTTACATTAATATTATCTACTTATACTCGGTTATCAAATAGTTATTTATGACAAAACTTTCCATCCTATAAATTTATTACCCATATTTTAAATTAACTTTATTCGATTTGAATCAGTTTCAAAACTTTTATAATTCGTAAAAAAATTTTTCCATCAAAAACTTTTGATTTTTACTTTTAAAAATATTCTGAAAAATTATTCTCTAGAATCTCTAGAAGTTAGATAACATTTTCTGATGAATTTTAAAAAGAATAATTAGAATCCATTGTAATCATCCGAAAATAGACATTCCATCAATCTAATGATGATTGTCAACCAACCAAACCATTCATCCATGTCGTCATTTCATTAATATAAAACATTGTCTAATTCATAACATCACGTTATAATATCAATTAATTTTTTCTGTTAAATTGAATTAAAAGTTTATAATTTAATATTATAAACAATAAATAGCAGAAAAAAATCCAAATCCAAGCTTTGAAATATTTATCAACATTTCAAATCCAACATTGATTAATCCATTCCAAGTTCATTTTTCACAAGACATACGTTTTCACCTGTCTGACTTTATTCTCCAAGTATACAAAAACTGTTGGGAAATAAAGTTTACCTCGATATATATCTCAGAGTTGGGATTAAAGGTGTTGTTAACGGAGTGTAGAGATACGTTAAGATGTGGCAGACTGTGAAAGAAATTGGCTAGTTGTGGTACAGTATACTGTTCCGGAAGCTGTTGACCGCCTGCCATCGTGATGAACCCTTGACTGCCGAGACCCTCGTTGGAAAGTCTCTCTCACTTGTCAAGACATACTACAAAGCCTGCAACAATAATATTAAAGATTAGTTCAAAATGACAATAATCCAACTAAGGTACTTATTCAATACATGATCTCTTATCAGGTGAATTAATGGTTAGCTAATAGAGATTGGACTGATGCTGACGTGACAGAAAACCATTCAAGTCTAAATTGACATTCCTAGGTTTACCATCGATTTCAATTGGACTCTAAAATTACTAGTACGTGCATGTTGTATCTGTCATAGGTCCATTTTCCTCAACGTTCTAATCTCTATATTTATAGAATGTAATCCTACACGAAGAAGTGAACGACACAAGGCGTGGCGAGAAGGTGAACCCTTGGGAGTTAACCGTGAGCTGTAGGAATCGATCGACGGAAGTTACTGCTTCTCTCTTCCTCGTTAAGGCTTTTACTATCATGTCATATGTATAAGAGCAATATGTCACACACAGTATAGTACTTCATATCATCATTGATAAGCCTCTACTACTTGCAGAGTCACAAAGAATTGTTGATGATATTTAAAAAAAAAAAAAATTATCACTTTTCTATATTTACTGAATATTCATATCTAACCTTTGTGAATAATAGAATAAAAAATATTATTTGTCATGAAAAATAATTGGACATGTAGTTATAAAGTTTCTCAATTAAATTTCAATAAAAAAAATATAACCAGTAAATTAATGATTGACATAAAATTGTTGTGCTAATTAATTTAAAGTTTTTATTTTTTCTTTTTTTTAAGTACCAAGTTTTATTTTGACCTGATCTACTATTTTAATGAGACGTTTTTATATGCTAAGTAAAAATTTTAACAAACTATAAAACTTTTTTAATGGAATATTCCAGTTAAAGTATCATTAAATAAAAAATTGATAAAGCATGAAAATAAGTAAATAACAATTTTTTTTTCTCTTTTTTCATAAAAAAAAATATAACTTTAAAATACAGCTAATAAATATACTCCAACTTTTTCTCTAAAATATATTTTCTAGAGTGAAATTCAAGAGTGTGTACACACTTTGCTTATGAGCTAAACTTGAAGGAGGTTTGTATTACTTACAAAGTCACACAAACATTCCTAACTGACTCACATAAGTTTCAGGCTCTAAGAGATAGCACGTCCAAGTGTAGAACAAAGATGCAACACAAGGAAATCACGTGTGATCAATGATTCAAATGAATTATAAACGACAAAGGGGAGTTGTTATGCAGTATTATTTTAATATACTTCATCATTTATCATTCATTATTTGTGTATTTTATTTTTTATTTCAATAACATATCGATTTATCTCAACATCTAGTGACAAAAATGAAGATTTATATCACTAAATATTAGCACGTTTATCAATAATCTCCCTTTGTTAGCAAGAATACACGAGTCATTTTCTGCCCAATCTTCAGATTCTCCATAGCTGAGTTCACCCTTGTCCTTTATTATCTTTTATATTACCCCAGGCCTAACACAACAGCCCAACAGTGGGGCAGATGGCTGTTTTCTTGGCCAAGTCCATCTACAAAAGAACCCGGAATCCCTCTTAGCAAACAGAAATGCTTGCATCTCAGTCAGCTTCATACATCTTGTGTATAGTTTCTCAGTATGGTCACCAGATGTGTGGACGAATTTTTTTCCTCTTTCTAGTTTACTTCGGACTTTATATCAAGAAAAATTCAAGGCTTGTGTATATAAGATCCTACATGTGAGTTTTGTGTGACCAATATGATGAATGTCTACTATACCACTAGCATAGATGTTTGTATCATCAGATATAAATAATGTAGACGTTGATATTTTTTTTTTCATTTTTCAATGACATAATATACTGGTGTAAATATGATATATACTCCTTTTTCTATTGTTAATGAATTTTTTCTTGCATCTAAGTTGTGCTGGTAATTTCAAGGATTAGTGAAATATGGTATTGTTGAATTGATTAAATTAATGCGTTGGATTAATTGAATTGCAAGAAATATTGTGAAATAAATAAAAATTATTCAATAATTATTCATTAAGAAAATTTGATTTTTAAATATGACTTTAAAGTGACGAAGAATATTATCTGATAGCTATGATGATTATGATAATAACATCTAGCAGTTTATTATCAACATTTTTATTCAATTTATTTTCCTTCACTCTTATAAATGACAATAGTTTTGAAATTTAATTGCAATGAATTATTAAACAATTCTCTAATTTGAAAAACATACTCTAGTAGTCTTGAATGTTTTTTTAAATAAAAGAGTATTAGTAGATATAATAGCTTTAGTTTCTTTAACTGTTCTATTTAGAGTTGAAAGTCCACTTAAATTCCTAAAAACATCTAAACCCCCAGGAAGTAAAGAACTACCCAATTTAAAGTAAAGCTGGAGATGAAAAATAACCTTAACTGGCTAACAAGATTGTAGCTGATAAATGCTGTCAAGAAAAAGCTCCTGGTATTTGGTGTGAATCTGATTGATGGATTGATATCAATCCTAAAACTCTATTATTTTTATATTGTCTAATAACATTAAATGTATCAGAAATATTTACCATCAACAGTTGAATAATTTGAAAAGGACAAACCAATAAAATTTATATAGACAGCTAATGAATACTGAAGATCTTTATGATAGACATCACATTAGGGGAAGAGACTAAAAGAGAGTGGAATACTTAAGTGTTCAAGGATACCAACACTTTTCATAAATAATTCTCAATAAGTTTCTTCCACTTCCATTCATTAATTCTGATTCAAAAGTTTTATGAAATAAAAAGTATTATTAAAACACCTGGATTTTAACAGTCGTTTTAATTATTTTTAAATTATCAATATTTACTTGTTACCAGTTGACTTTGGAAAAATAAATTACGTTAGATTCTAATAATTGAGTATAATCATCCTGAATGAGCAGTATTTTATTATAATAGCCTATTCTAGGACAGAATAAATATGATTCACTATAGGGGAGTTTGTGGTAAACAATCTAGGGGACATTGCCCTTATTTACTTGTTTTGTTGAAAATTGTCTAAATATAATTCTTCCCTTATACTCAAAATTATATTTTTAAAAGATTTTTCACTGATATTCAAAGTAAATAAAAACATCGCTGCTAGCTATTGTTTAACAAAGAAATATATACAATAGTAAAATAGTCAACTAATTAGGATTGATCAAGCAAAATATGAAACAATTGATTAAATATTTATTCCTGATAAATTTGTTGGTTTAAAATCTTTTATTATATGTTGGAATAATCACAGATAATATACACATCATAGTTGAAATTATATTTTTATGCTGATTGATTTTTCATTCCTATCGACATTTATAGATCATTTTTTATCAAAGTAATATTTTCTTAGTCATCATCTGATCAATATCTAGTTAGGGAATCTCCAAGATATACTACTAAAAGGATTACTAAAACAGAAGCTACAGAATCTAATTTTAGGTGAGCAAATAGATGGTATTTTTTTAGCTATCCATTTGTTTTAGTGGATATAATTTACAGTTTATTTAGGAAATAGGCCATATATACATATACACCAAATAGGAAGCTAAAAATGCAATCAATAGTTGGTAATGGAGTGTTATTAGAGATATTAAAGTAGGCGTAGTTGAAAAAAACACAATTGCTTAAGGTTGAAAATTTCTTGATAGTTACAGTTATCAATAAATCCATGGAGACCGACACAATCAGTACGATTAGTAAGTTTTATGCTCTACTGTTAATGAAACAAATTGGTATTGATTTTCTATAGAAGTTTATTTTTTATTTATAGGATGAAAAAGAATTGAATATGAAAAAAATTAATATTTTTGATAAAAAATACAAAAGATTGTTCTGAATGTTAAGAAAAATCCTGGTGCATTTTAAGATGCTGTATTTTTAGGAAAATTTATTGGAATTTGATGAATAAGGGTGCATTTATGAGCCTGTCATCTCCAGTTACGAAATCTGATATAAAAATTTCTTATTACTTTTTTTTACCCTCTAAAAAAAAAATTGTAAAAGAATAGCTAAAATAATCCCATCATTTTTTTCACTCGATAAAAAAGTATCACTGATTTTTTTTTTGTTTTCTCTCTACTCTTTTTAGCAGATGTGAATATTCAGAAAAAAATTACCGCAAATTACGGTATTTACATAAGTTTCGGGATCTCCCTAACTGAAGAAAAATGCCAAGAATTTATCAATACTATTCTTGAGGTAATTTGAGAATGAAAAATATGACAATTTGTTTTTTAATATTCTAAAATTCAGGATTTCCAACTTTTTAATGATTTTTATCTTAGTACTATACAATATATTTTTTTCACGTTATTGGTATTCAGATTCTAAAGGAATGTTTTTTTTTAAACATTCAATAACTCTGTTAAAAAAAAATCCTACAACATTTGCTAAAAAGCATTTTAAAGGAAAAAGATCAAGCTTTCAAATACTTCACTTGGATTTATTCCAGAATTTTTTTCACGCTAGGAAAGCTTTCAAACTAAAAAAAAATTAAGGAATCATTTTTTCTCTTTTTCCAATTGTTTAGAGAGTGATAAAGGATGCTAAAAAAATTTTAAAGTAAAGATAACGTGCTTTTAAATATGCTCCAATTCTTAAAAACTCGGTCACTTTATGTAAAAACCACACTGATTTACTTATGAGCAAATAACATTACTTTGTAGACATCTCACACATTTATCAAAATAACAAATAAAAGTGAGTCAATGTAACTGATAGTAACTGAAAAATTCTTATCTAAGTGAGATTTTTAATATGACATAAACTATTATTGTAGAGTTGTAAATTAAATGAAAACAAAAACTATACATAAATAAAAATATAATTTCCAATGTAATGTTTAATATTCATCCTAGAATAATATTTTAAAAATAACATGAATAAATTTTAGCATCTGACAATTTCTCACTATTCCAAACTTTATATTTATTTAATCTTATTAAAGTTTATGGTACTTCATTTCTTAGTTGTTCTTGTTTTAATTATATCTTTATATTCTTATTGTTGTTACCTTTAATTATAAATGCTCGAGGACAAATTAATTACAACATTTCATAGCAAATTCAACTTTCAGAGCAAACAAATCATATAGTCTTATTCATATCTTCAATTTCTCCAGACAACTATGAAACATAAATTGAATACAAGAAACTTTCATTATTGACTTTAATTAATACTAGGATTATTCAAGAAGTAATTATTATTATCATTACTATTATTTTCACATAAAAAAGTTAACTGAAATGATTTCTACAAAATGTCTAATGACCAGATCCATATAAAAAGTGTAAACGCGTTGTAAGATAATTTGAGACTAAAAATTTAAACGAATGTGCAGGCTCAGTCAAGAGGGGAGGTACTCTTGTAAACGAAAAGACCCAGCCCTCGTTACTGGCACGCACAGAGTATTATGTATAAAGAAAGAATCGAATTACCCTTCTGTAACGTATAGAAAAAAAGGCTATGAAGACAGCTTTGAACTGTTAAAAAAAAACTTTTATCCATAAAATACCTCCGTTACTTATTAAAGTTTTTTTTTTATCCTTTCATTTTCTCTGCTTTTGTCAGTTCAATTTTTTACTCTGATAGAAAGCGCTTGATAAAACTTTTTCTAATGGATTTTAGTCTACTTTATAAATATTCAAAGTTCGCTGACACTACTTTTGCTGGTGTTTTTTTGAAGTTTATATGATAACTGATTTCATTAAGTCAAAGTTTCAATATGAATTATTGGTTGTTAAGTTATTTTAACAAGAGTTTATTAAAGTAACTTTATAAGCGCAATAGTGAATAAATGATGAATATAAATACCAAACAAGTAATCTTGATAGTAGTAGCAAGGTCGCGTGATTAAAGTATCGATCGCCAGAAATTTCACTGCCTCACGTTTTAATCCTTACAATTTACATTTTGTCGATTGAAGTGTTATTAGAGAATAAAAAAAAAAACGTGTATCATAGTACGCATGTTGCAAAGTTGTAGGTTTTAACACGCAAAAAGGAACCATGTAAATAGTTTCCTGTCACGCGATGGTCTCTCTTTTTGACATCGAGTATTGGTTTTAAGATCTGGACTTTGTCCAGGAAAATTTCAGAGATGAAAATTCCATTTAATGGATTAGCTCTTGCTTCGAACTAAAATAAGCAAAACTTGTCCATTGATATATCAATTTAGTGAGAGCTTAAGCCAGATAAGTTTATACTTGGCCTTTGAATAAATATAAAAGACGTTTCTAAAAATGAACTAAATTCATCTAAATTTAGTTTCATCAATAATTTAAATTAAGGCTTATTTGAGAGCCATTAGAAGCAAGTTATTTTCAAATTTTAGGAATCAACAAAAAAGCTTCCTTGTTGATAGAATAATGACAGAATTCAAACGTATGATTTATGAGGAATTAAAATATTTATTACGTTTGAAATTGTTTCCAAATAAAGTATTATTCTGAAAAAAAAAGAAAATAAAATTAGAATAGAAAGTTATTATAGTAAAAGATAATAAAAAGAAAAGAGAGAACTTACAGTTGAGTGGAAAAAAATATCGTTTGAAGAATCAAATAGAAGTAAATTTACTGCAGGATAAAAAATGATTGATAGATGAGCCATTCTCAATTACTTTTTAATTGAAAAAAATCTCTTCAAACCATTCATTTGGTTAGAATAATTCATTATTAATCCTTTTAAATAGTATTATTAAGAGAAAATAAAAAAAAGTAGGTTGAAAATTGAAATTTTAATCTTCCTATTGGAAATTTTTACCAAAACAATTTCTTATAAATAAAACATTATCAACCTTTCTTTGATATCACAATGTAATACAAGAATATATTATTTAAACAAAAAATCATTCATTCATTATTTCAAAACTTGAATTAAAAATTTATAAATAGACGTACTTTTAAAATTATTCTCAACAGGAAATAAAAGATAAACTGTTGTGTATCCAATCTTTTCGATAAAAACTAAATTCTTTATAAATCATGAAATGCATTTCTCTTTGTTATTATTTGATGATAATCACGTTTTGTTTGATGAAAAATGATATTATGTATTATTAAAAAAAAAAAATCTAGAAACAATGTTTTAGAAGATAATCAACCCTCTATCAACTTTTAACTATTGAACAGTTGGTCAATGCATAAAAGTTCATTAACATCATGTTGGTCTCTATTTATATGAAACCACCAGACAATACAAAACACTCGCTTCCTTGGCTAATTTCTTTCCGGTAGCCCGCATACATCAGAACTATGATGAAGTTGAAACTTGAAGATGAAAAGAGAATGAAAGAGAGAAAAGCGATTAGAAAGCTTTGAGGAAATAAAATTCCTGCAGAGCCCGCACAATTGATAATCCCACCCTCTTCTCATGCTGTCGCAACAAGGGTGTCGCTGCACGATGTGACCGTGTGCACAAGAGAATACCAACACTTACGCAATTTTATGCGTACTCATACTTTCAAGCTTTCTAGGATAAGCGATCCTGGATAGTACGTGTGTACACCCGTGTATCGATCCCTCCGAGAGTCAACTATACACACAAGTGCCAACTGTAAGCGCCACCTGGTTACGTCTTCCTCGAGGGAGCGGCGCTGACTTGTTGTTACGGATTACCCTGGGGATAATCCTTCAATGTATTATTACAACACAACTATCAAAAATATTTCATTTTCGGTCATTTAATCACGATATTAATGAAGCTCCAATATTTTGAAACTAGATATTGAAGATGATCCTTTGAGTCACAGATATTTTATTGTCCTTTGAGGTTTTATTGTTTTATTAGGGGTTTTTTTGTTTATAATTAATTAGATTTCATGCACACTAATTATAATGAATCATATTTTCAATGATATAATCCAGTAAAGTTGTTCTTACCCGACTTTTTAGTACAAAATGCAAATATTTTTCCATACACAATCACACACACGATGCTCATACAACGGAGCTCGGAGCTCGACTGACCGGTTGTGTATTTTAGAGGGTAAAGATGGCGTCATATCTCGACCAATGCAAGCAAAGTGCCAAAGTGGCGCCATTTAAGAAGAAAAAAGTAAAGTTGTATAGTGCAGAAATAAAAAAAAAATCTAATGAATTAGTTAATTAATTTGTATTCATAATAAAAAATATAAATAAAGTGGTAATGGAATATAAAAAGATAAAAGCTTTTTTATAAGGAGAAAGGTTATGTTGATCATAAAATTATTTTGTTGAAATATTTTTTTTTTTAAATAATTGTCGACTTATGAATTCATGTACATACATTTTATTATTAAAATATTTTATAATAAATATCTTTTCGACAAATTGTTAAAAAAAAAAGAGTCATTGACATCCAAAAAATTTAATATTTTTCAATAAAATAATTTTACTTTACAATTTTTAAAATGACATTAAAAATTGATCTATTTTATAATAAATGATTTCAAAAATAAATACATAATTATTTGTAACTTTAAATAAGTTGAATATATTGTTTTTATTTTAACAAAAATTTTTATTTATAATAATATGAAATGATCAGTCATATTTAATGAACATACATACAATGTCTAAAAAAGATAGTATAATGATAACTTTAATATAATTAAATATGATATTTAATAAAGGTGATTTTTAGCTACATTTTTATAAAGTGCAATTTTAAATTTGTCCGAAACATATGTGACTAGTAATCATTATTACTTGAAAATAAATTAGAAATGATTTCTACTTTATATGTAATTTATATTTACATATCTCTCATATTTTAGATATAAATTTTTTTCTTTCCCTCATTCTCATTAATAAATGTTTACTCTTCTTTTGGAATGAATTTTCCATATAAACAAACGAGAATGAGATTGTTAAATTTTATGAATTTAAAAAAAAAATATTATTAAAAAATTTTCCTCTATATGAATTCATTAAATAACAACCTTAGATACTAAATATTTTTCTTAAACTCCTAAGTTTACAGTTATATTAATAACTTTCTCCTCACTCTCGAATCATTCAAACCATTGAATATTTCCAATATCTACTGGGGAGGAAGAAATTTGTATTATCTGCTTTGTATCAACTAATTCACATTATATTATCATTTCAGACTATTATAGAGTATATTTATCATCCATAATTTGGCTCATATGTTTTTTATAATAAAGACTTAGTGCATGATATTAAAGAAAAATGCTGAATACAATATTTAGAAGTGTGAAAAAAATGATTCAAGTATAATTATAATAGTAGAGATAAGGCCACTAGTGGGTGATACAAATACAATATAAATGTTATGTCTAAAAGCGCGTTTTAGTCAAAGGAGATGTAACTATTTTCATAAAACGCGTCCAAAGAATTACATTCGCGTTTTAATTCACAGTCATGAAATATTTTGAAAAATTTTCACTTATAAAGTAACAATATACTTACAAAGTACTCATTCTGTCATCATTTATTCATTAATTATTCAAAAATCTAGTTGTTTTATTGTCACGGGTGCTGTTGAACAAGACTCTTTTAATCTATATACAAATATTTAAAAACCTCACCCGTTATTTGTAACAATTTTCACAAATAATCTGAATGACTCGCATTTTCATCGTCTACTAGCTACGAGCGAATACAAAATTCGTTGAAACTTTATTCCTTTGCAGAAAAATAGACTGCTCAATGAATAATTGATAGCTTTGACACAGCCAGAATATCATCTGGCTCAAATTGTTTGTTACAATGTTGATTCGTGAATAACTGCAGTCTCTGAACCATCAGTATTTATGTGATTAATTGCCGAGACTGCATTTGGCGTTAAAGTAATTGATGATGTTTTCCTAATTGGTTTAGGTGAAGCCTGAATCGATGAAAAAAAAAGAAAAAAGTTTAGCTAATTTTCTTAGTAAAATTTTTTGTCATCTTAAATAGTAGACATTTATCTTACCCATTCTCTTCTGGAAGGTGCTTCATCATCAGAGTAATGATCAATCTCACCCGCTTCAATCTCAGTTGCTACATTTCTCTTAGTAGGCTGAAGAGTAGCGTAATTACGACATCCACGATTAAAATTATGTATATTTTTTTCCTCCACTATTTTTTCTTGACAAAGAACTTCCTGAGACTTGCTCTGCTTATTATTGGAAAAGTTTGATGAATTTTTATTATTAAAATAAAAAGGAGGCATTCGTGAAACCCAATGGTCCAGGCCTGAGCCAGTTGAACTTGTAGAAGCTGCTGAAGAGTTTCCAGTTGAATTATTGGAACGTCGTTGATAGAATAGCATATAGGCCGCATTGGTAACTAAACTGGTTTCCGTAACTCCTTCAACTCGTGTATCATCAAAACAATACCATTGGGAATCATAAGGATTCCGACAAAAAGCAGTATAATGGCCACCTTGTAGATCTTGGCCATGATGATTACAGATCGCATACAAGTCATATACATTTTCATCGTACTTAGGAATATTATGTTGTCGTGGACGAGGTTTCTTCCATGGTGACCACCCAAGGCTTCCGAGTGTTGCGACATTTGTGTGATTCTGTACTCCACCATGAGCTAAATGTGGGGTCATATCGAAACCGTACAAAGGGAAATCAACGAGCATAGTGAGCTTAGAAGTTGACTGTTGCTTAGACTGTTGTCTAAATCTTTTTAAATGAATCACAAGGATGTCCGGAAGTGACCATAGCCCAAGTTTCTTAACGACTTCCTGCTTTCTATTACAATAAGGACAATGCCAAGCATCTTCAGCTCCAAGAACTTCTTCTCGCGTGTACAAATCGAAACATTCTTCAAGCGTAACAGCTCCACCCAGTTCAGAGTTTGATTTTAATTGCTTAACACTTGCATGCTCTTCTATCTGATCAGTATCATCTTGAATAATGTTAACTTTAGTAGCTTCATCCCACTCAAGTATCAACTTGACATGTTGAGGCCCCGAATCATCGGCACAAAGCGCAAGGGCTTGTTCAATTTGTTCAGTATAAAGTGGGTGCTCGACACAAGGATCAATACAAGGATGTTCATCTTGAATAGGCGTTGCCGCAGGATCCGCTACACGAATATTAAAGAGGCCAGGGCTTTGGCTTGACGTTAAAACATCGTCTGTTAATAATGTATGCATTTCTTTCAATAAAAGTTTCTGCAAATCTTCATATGAAGTTTCTCGTGACACTTGCATAGTATATGGACTACCAAATCTTTCCTTTAGATTCCCCTTCACCAGAACATTCACCCAAACCAGTAGAATGTAAGCTTGTTCGGTAGGTTCTTTCAGTTGAGGCAGTTCTATGCAATACAGAGGATCACTCTCTGCAATTACCGTGAGCGGCTGGCAGTCAGAAAAAGTTCTGAAAGGTAATAAATAATAAAGATAATATTAGCATTTATATAAAATGAAAAATAAAGTATGGCAGTTGATAACAAGTATAAAGATATAATTTACCGATGGAAGCCTTCGTCATGGACTTCAGTAAGCAGCATGTGGCTCTCATCAATGCCAGTATCACTAGCTAAGATCTCTCTAAGCTCTTTAACATTCGCCGTTTGATTTACACTGACCCCGATTCTTACTTGGCGAGGCTGTTGAGAAGTGTACAAAACATTGACATACAGATTCATCTGACGATGTTGCTGTGGTACTGGCACCGAAACACATAAGAATGGATCAAATGTATTTGATTGCCGATGACATCTTGGACAGGTTAAACTCGAACGAAATTGGGCTTGGAATACATCATGTACAAATGAATGATTACAACGAATGTGATTGGCTAGAGTTTCCGCTGCTACGTCATCTGGCTTCCCGAATGAACTCTGGAACATTCAATTCAATAAATAAATCATCTTTTTCAAAATATTTTCTTCTATATTAAGGTCACACTTTAGTGCAAAAAGGAAAACGTTATGTACATATATTATAAGTATAAACTTCCGTTTTTTTTCGGTCTAAAAATATTACTCCAAGGGAATCATCTCCTTCTTTGTCTCATTTTTTTTTTATTTTCAATCAAATAATCCATAATTATCGTTATCTATATTTATATCTAAAGCATAAATTGTTGTGGTCAAACTATAGACTTACATTGAATCAATTGTTTTTTTCGCAAATACGATTTCTACATCACTTCGATATTATTTATCTAGATTTCCGTATGTTCATTGACAATAGAAAAATTGTTAACAAATATTTGTCGTGCAACCTACCGATTTCATAGAACAGTTTCAAGGTTTCAACCAAGCGGAAGTAAAACAAGATATGTTATTGTGTAATTCTATAATTAAAAAACAATAAAATGAAACATAAATCCTTTGGTAATAAATTAGAGCTTAAAATGAAATAATTATTTAATAACTTGTGTTCTAGTTACACTAGTATATAATCACAGAGAAATCTGTCAATTAATATTTAATACCGATAATTGATGCTGCAATGCTTAGTCATTTTTTACACTACAATTAAGTTAACTCAATACATTCTATTGAATGCCATTTTAAAATGAATATTCTTTTTAAACAAAAATATATATCTACTGGAAAATTCATTTTTTACATATTTCATATTTTTACTTTATATTTTGGAGAAAGTTATTTTAAATTAAAGTAACAACTGTCATTTAAACTGTAATAGAAAGTTACTTAAAATCAAGTATATATGTAAATTCATAAAAATTAATTTACTCAGAAATTCTAACTCATATTTTTAACTATCAACTTTGATGACTGTTGAAAACTTAAATTAAATTTATACTTTATTTTTTCCCTCCAACAAATAACAATCAAAACTTTCATCAACGTGTAGAATTTTTTCTCTACTTATTTTATTTCAGTAAAAATAGTTTTTACAGCTCTTTCTTCCAACAGATGCTGCACAACAAATTTCTGTAATTCCCACTGATAAATTTGTGAAACATATCAAGACAGATAAGTTAGCAAAAATCAAAATGAATGATGGATATTTTTTTCCAGAACATAAAAATTGGAATATACTAATTTTTAATGAACATACAGACATCTAGATATTAACTTTTCATTGTTGAGTACACACACATAGGCACAAAAAGCTGTGTAATTGTAACGTAGTCTGTAGGTTTCATTTAATTGGATAGCTCGTTGACACATTGTCACGTGATTGTACATACATCCTTGAATCATCAAATGTTTTGGGGAATCACTCAACCGATAGTTGAAACTAAATACGATATTTCAAATATACCCAACGGCTTCATTCGAACTGTAATGATATTTAAAATACCCATTAATTTTTATCAACATCTTTTTCATTAGTTTCTAATCGAAGATTGATTTGATTGAATATTAATAACATTATTTGATCTAAAGAATGTCAGATGATTGTGTAGAAATGAACAAAACGTTTATTCCTTATCTCAATAGTTATTCGAGACGACATCAGTAATTACCAATGGAATAGTTTAATCAATGGAATATATGTTTCTGGAGTTTATCAGATTACACTTTCAGAATAACGTATATTATTGATTGAACCAAGAAGCTATGCAGTAATTAATGCCGAGTGCACAGTCCATGAAAATTTCACGACTCTCTCAGCTGTACATTTCAAGCTTCGACTTTAGTTGAGTAGTGGAGAAAGTGGTTCGTTAAATTGCAACGAGGAAAGATTCTATTGTTTCTCAAGTGTGGGCGACGTTCAATCGTTGTGAAGTCTGACTCACGCATGAAAGAATAATGAATTGAAAATAATTAAATATGCGAGGAGGATAAGTTTGATGATGAATAGATAATTGATTAGTCAAGTTACTGATGATGATGGTGATGATGGAAACAAGTGTGTAAAACAATAAACGATAGTTATATAGATACATGTATGATGTAGCAAAAGCTTGAATTATTTTTAGGTCTTTTTGTATTTCTTCAATAAATTTCAGCATGATTGCTCTTGTCATGAATGTCTCAGTGATTAGATAAATTGATTTACTTCAGTGCAGATAAACAAATAAGACTTATAGAAGAATTATTATTATGTAGGAAAATTTTAAGAAATGACTTTTGAAAGATGGTATATTTTATAGTGAAATATTTAAACGAAATATAGTACTGGTTTAATGAACATGAGGAACTTGTTGATTGGCTCTGGTGAATCGCACTCTCCAAGGCCACCAATCGTTTCCTCACTCTTCATTCTCACTTGTAAATGCATCACTTTGAATCTAAAAGCTTACTACCAGTAATGCTTGCTCTAAAAATAGAGCTATCTGCAGATAAAAAATTGTACTTGCCAATTTTTTTTACAATGTTATGCGTGATATAAATTTAAAATGATAAGATAAAGAGTGAACATTTAAACAGAGACTTTTAACCTGGACTTTTAAAAAAACAACATTTTAAAGTATGATGACCATGACCGACTTCCTCTAAAAATTCCGGGTTTTCATTGTAATTCATTGCATGGTGAAATCACTCATGCATTTGAATACTAAGTCAATACATAGATAAATATAATATTAATATAATGTGTGAATAAATTGTGTAGAATTATTAACAAAACATCAAGTCAAAAAGTATAGACAAGCTCTATTAAATAGAGGAAAAAAACAATTACTTTTTATGCGGTTATTGAAGCAATTGGAATATGTTAATGATCTTAAAGTATGTTATTAATAGATTATAATTCGAAGAAAAATATTTTTCAAATATTATGAAATATATGCTTGTATACTTGACATTATAGAATCTCATGTAAACAATAATAAAAAAGTTTTGTATTAAATTAGTAGAATGACGTCCAAGTTACAATCGAGACGGTTTAAGTTAAGATGATTCATTCGTCGTCGGCTCCAGTCATTCTCCTCCACACTATTGCGTCATTTGTTATCGTAATCTATGTCCGTGCACTGGTTATAAACAATGAGTATGGTTGTAGACACGAAATTCAACTAAATTACTATAAACAATAATTATTTAGACTTTAAACTAATGATTGATATCAAGATATACGATTGCTATAAAAAGATATGATTATTATAGTGTTAATAAATAAATATCAAGAATGTGAAAATAATTGTGAATAAATACCTTGATAATTTTATATTTTTTTTTCGTTGCCTGATTGAGATCTTCATGAACTTTATCCAACAACCAGAGAAGAAATTCTTGAGCATCATGCTGTAAATTACCTCTATATTGACTTCCATATTTGTCTACAACACTTTTAAAAGCTGTACTCATCTCAGGATCATACTGACAACTCCATATCGCTTTTAAAAGTAATGCTAGTTGTTCTGTTATTTCACCCTTAGTTCCATACTTTTTTGAGTTATTTTTATTTCTTCTCGAAAGATCAGCTTTATACTGATCAAGTACAAAATATTCAGCAAGTATATCAGTGTGCGAAAGGCACTGCAAAACAGCATTCATAAAACACGTGTTGCCATGATTCCTAAGCCCAATTACTCCAGGAACTCTATCAGGAGGTATATGGGCTGGTCTCAATGGTGGAACGCGAATGTCATTGGCACTTGACGTAAATTCATCACATCTTGGCGGTTTATGATTCTGTGTTCCTACATTGGACACTTGTTGTACTATATTTTTAAATATTTTCTTTAACGAGGGCTGACGGAAGACCTTTTTGATTCCTTGTCGATCTTGAAAAGAATTATTTTGAGATCTTGGTTGAATATTTTGATCATTCTGTGAATTGTTTCTTAAATTTTCCCGCGCACTAGAGCTTTTATTATTGTTTTCTTTCGATTCTTTTAACTTCAGTCGCCTTCGAGACATTCTTGTTGCGTTTTGAAATGGATTCTTAGGTAGTGTAAATGTACGCTTCAACCTGGAACTTGAGTCTCGACTTCTCAGCTCAGGTTTAACCTCTCCCACACCCAGCTCGCTTTCAGAAACGGATTTCATCACCGAGCTGGTGTTCTCAATATTCATCGCCGCTTGACTACAGCTAAAAATTAACTTAAATTTTCACTTCACAATCATTGAGTCCAACACTTTAGTTACTTTACTTATGTGTGTTACATACTGTTGATTTTTTAATGATACTCGATGCAATGCTGAGTACTAAATAATCTTTCCGACACGGCAGCCATTTGCCATTAACACGACACTTCCACGATTTCACTTGCTCGAGCGACCTCGAATAAATTTCGCTACAGTGGCTCCACTTTTGTCATTTCAATCATCATTCGAACCAACCGTCGGTAAGGTTAACTATTGTCGGTAAAATGATAATTTCTAATTTATTTACTATATCGACGGGAAAATTTAAATTCAAGAATTCTCAGAAAAAAATAACAAATAATTTTTTTATTGGTAATAACGACAAATAAACTTAGCTTGTGTTAAAAATTTAACTCTTTATTCCAAGTATGAAGAAATTAATTTCATATTCTAGCTGATCTGCTGAAAATTTTACTAGAATTGCTCATTTTTTATCAACAACAAATTTCCTTGCACAGCACATTTTATTGATGACTGAGCGTACGTGAATGTATATCACTTTTTTGTGTTTTGTTTATCAGAAAGTAAATCTCTTTCAAAGCATTAAATGAAAATAATACGGTTCATTAATCTTTAATAATGTTAATTTTATTTAAACTATTACTTATAATCATCACAATTATTACATCTTCAACTGCATGGAATTTTTCAAAGGTTAGTTTACCTGATGATGTACTGATTTGGCGATTTGTTCTTTGGAAGAATAGAGCATATCTAGCAATACCAAGGTATAAAGATAAATTTAAAAAATTCACGAATCTGTTCATAAACGTTAAGTGCAATGTCTTGTCTTCGAAGGTGGCAAAGTGGGTTAAATAATTCAGTAACATTACTGGAAGCTCCATGGATAGAACCGGAAACTATGTTCCTCATGAATATTCCACAGCCATCGGTTAAACCCTTTCCAAGTTTACAAGAGCAATCTTTAGGTGATGATTGTGATAATATTATTTCAGTAACTGGATTAGATATTGATAGTCGAGGAAGATTGTGGGTCTTGGATTCACCGACGAGTGTTGATTGTTCAGCTAAAATAATTATATTTGATCTACATCGAAGGACAGAGGTACTTTCTATTAACTTTAAATTATATATAAATTAAACACTGATAATAAATTAAAGGCACGTTGGAATAATTTTGTAATGATACCTCAAAACAAATAAATCACTAAGTATGGTCTCAATATATCAAAGTCTATTAATGATTAATTCATACATTTATTCATTAATAGACAAGAGAATTGTTAATTTTATTAATTGATTATTAGGTAAGCAGAAGTACTCTAACAGGAGTTGCTACAAAAGAGCTCAAAACTATTGTGATAGATCCAACGATTGGATTATATGGATATCGAGGATATGTTGGTGATCCTGGCGACGAATCTATAATTGTCTACAATATAGGTAAATTTATTTATCTATCCAATGATCATTTTTATTCAGATTTGGAATATGCTAATCAACTAGAAACATTAACAACTAGGTCGAACTGGTCAAAAGTGGTGGAAGCTGAAACTACTGCATAAATCAACTGTTCCCCGTATCTACACAGGCGATTTGGCGGTTTCAAAAAGGAATTCACGTCTTTATTTAACTGGATATAAATCTCTAGATCTATTTAGCATAGATCTTGATATATTAAGATATGAAGACTTTTTATCATTCCCACGAAAAGTATTCAGGCATAGAAATGCAAGCGTCACGTGGCACGGAATTAAGTTGGGTCTTTCATCTGGACTTTTGTGCGATTCAAAGGACGGCCTTCATTACTTCTTGGTTACAGAATACGCCAGTGTCCGGTGGGACACGAAATACGATTTGAAAGTAGGTGATCCAATATTCTGTTCTATTGCATTGTTTATGTAACAATAGTCATAGAGTTTGAATGATAAAACAAAGGATTTATTTGAGAGCCACACCTTCTGATGCTTACCTTGAAATCATGAATGATGCAATAGATTGATATTTATGTATTATTTTAAATAATAATGTAAGATGAAACTGATTTCTCAATTCTTTAGGCGACAAATCATGAAATTCTTGAGCAAAGTGAACAAGTTCTTAGCATAACCGATTATCGTACGGACTCACAGAAGAATGTATGGGGCTTGGTGAACGGACACTATCCTTTTAACAAGCGGAAAAACTTAATTGCAACAAAAAAATGGAATCCGACTAGCCGAGTAATTCAGATACTTCATAGCCGTTCGTTTAAACCATAAAAACTCATTCAATATGGTAAGTGTGCCAATTAGCAGCTCACTAAGGTTCAAATCTATTTCATATACTAATTGAAATATCGAAAAGTTGCCAGTGATTGATGGCGAACTCATTGTATGAGGTTATAATTGTAACATTGCATATTATGTCCATAGATTTATTTATAAGGATATTTTAATTGCACTTACTTTTCTAAATAATTTTCTCGTTAACGAAATTATAGCCATCCATCTTTTTGGATCTTTTATGGTAATTAAATAAAGTATTTCATGGTACAGTTAAATTTATTTATTTTAATTTTAAATTTATTGGTCTTGATCTATATCTTTTATTAATTCAGAGAGAATATTTTTGCAATTCAACTGGAATTTTTTATACCAAGAATTATTTGTTTCTAACCAAGTTTTTTTTCTTTAATCCGGTATACATATATAGATATTATGTAAAAAAAGTACTGATTCTAATAATTTTTTACTTTCCAAATTCAGTTAGATCGATATTTTATATAACAATTTTCTGATAGTTGTTGGAAAGTTTCAAATAAATTATTACTAAGGAAAACAAATGTATTTAATTTGCAATTTACAATGTACACCTTACATAAAATAACATGATTATTTTAATTATTTAATTAAATTGCTCTTATTATTCACAAGTTAATTAATTCATTCAATTTTATGATCACCAATTATCTTACAATATGCAATAAAAGAAACTATTGAATCATATTATAATGAGATTGATCTATTTAAATTCCACACTGGTAATATCTGTCCCTTGAAAAGATTCCAATCAATTCCTAATTTACTTAACTTTTCAATGTTAATTAAATTTAATAATTACTCCATGACTAGAGAAAGTTGTTAGTTAAACAAATATAATAGAAGAGAGTTACAGTATAGTCCTAGTATTTGAATTGCATTATTACTCAAGATACTTTACGATATGTATTTCCTATTTGGCAATCATTTGCACATAATTGATCATGAAACATCAATGTTTATAGCACCTTGAGTCAGAGGTGATTTTTGTTATTTACTAGACTTTATATTCATGTATTTTATGGTCATACCAATTCTGATGAAGCATGGATGATTTAAAGTGCATAGAAATATGGAACTTTCCCTCTTTTATCAGGTATGTAAATTGTATGAAATCATTGGACATTTTTGACAGACAAGTTCAATATTTTTAATTTTATATAAAAAATTATTTTAACAGTTTTTGAGTAAAGGCTTAACAACCATCGATGGACCTGATGCAGAAACAGTATTTTGAATGTAATCCTGGAAGTTACTTTCCAATGTCCACATAGTCTCTTTTGGTCCAGAAGAAACCATTGTAGGTAGACGACATTCGCTTCCTTTGTTAACGAGTACGAAATTCTCAGGACTAAATGCAGTGTTTGTATCCCACATGTATATATCTGATTGACCTGGAAAATATTGTGAGTGTTATTAAAAGCATTAAGGAGACAAGTCATGAATTATGAGCTACAATAGAATTTTCTAAAAATAAATCAACACCTTTTTTGTAAAATTGAATGATAAAATTTAAAATGCTCACTGCTAGCTTTAAAAGGCTGACATGCATGGAATTTTCTAATTAACTAACAAATTCTTGATATAACAATTCTCTAACGAACTATTTTATTGGGCAATCTAACTATGTCTATGCAATGTAAATATTTTTAATGTACTACACATTTAAATATTTGCTGGTTGATTAAATCAACCTTTGCATACTGATGTATAACAGCATTCTCATATATCAATCAACTTCAGTTTTTTTGACAGTAGTATTGAATTTTACAACCATAGTAAAAATAATTACATTGATTAGTATTCTTGTTATAGATAATAAAATTTCTTAATATTTTATTGTTTTTTTTTTTAGTTAAACAACTTCTCACCTTTGTATCTGAAGAATATAGCACTTCCATCATTCGTACCAAGGAAAACAATCTTGTTGGACTTAACACCAACAGTAGAAACTACATTAGTAGTCACTCCTTTTCTCAGATCTTCTGTTTTGATAGCAAACACTCGACCTGAGTTGAGATAAGTGAAATATAAAACTGTGTTGCCGTCGGGTTTTCGTATAAGAGCGGTGTAAAGAACATCTCGACGACTATTTCCCAAATTCACTTCTGGAGGAAGACTCACACGGAATCCATGATTACCAACGACATCGTAGACGATTATTGCACGAGATGCAGCATCAGCAATGTATAAAAACACACTTCCGTCTCCGGGATAGTCGACAGAAAGTTCTTGAAGTCGTGAAAGACTCGTAACTAGATGACTCAAGTCAATAGTCTTAACAACCTTTTAAAAGAAGAAAATAAAATTAAATTTACAATTGATACTTATATCATTGACTTTGATTTATTTATTGAAATAAATATATTGATTAAAAAATTACATTACTTAAATAAATAAAAAAATTCATTTAAGAAGCTAATATTGACCTAAATAAATCAATCAATAAAATTACTTAATCTATAAAAAAAAAACTCACCTTGCCAGTATTGACGTCAATTCCAACAACTTTTGGACCACAGCGAAATACTGGCTGAGTCAAGGTGTTGACTACTCCAACATCAAGGACCCATAGAATATCTTGAATATCAAGAGCAATGTCAACAACTGTTTGAAGAGCTTCGCAGTTACCTTCTTCTTGAATAGACCAACATGGAAAAGGTAATAAACCAGCAGATTGTCTTTTAGCTAAAGACATAATTCCAAGAGTCATAGGAACTCCTGGTTTAAGACGTGGTAAAGCAATGATAGCATTATCTTTATGAATCTTCATCTTGGTACCAATGATATTTCTTGGAAAATATCGTCCACTTGAAGAGAATATGCTTTTCGTATTTTCGTCGGGCCAAACTATACTTGTGCCTGTTAGTGAATATGAAAAATCTGTTGATGTTGGTTTTGCACATCCTGCTGAAACTGCTGATATTGTTGATACGAATAACAATGAGTACGCGAAAATTTTAAACATTTCTTTATTTTTTTTCTTTAAAACGAAAGTAGAGAGATAAAAAAATTATATGACTTTAAAATTCAACTGCAGCACATTTTATATCTTTTTACTTGATGTTTTATTTATGATTATTTTTTTGCTCTGTAATATCATTTCAAGGATTAATATTTTGTAATTTCTACGAATTTAACAATAAAATATACTTCACTTCGCAATACGGAAGTGTAGCTTCTTATAAACAACCGGAAGTTTTGAAAAATTTCAATATTTATTATTTTAATAATTCACAATAATGACTCAGTAATAATTGTTGATTGATTTCTTAATTAAATCATTTTTATACAATGAGTATAAATAAGTAATATGATAATGGAGGGATTTAGTACATTTAATTTTGAGCAGCCGTGCAAATAATTGACTTGATTAACTTTGAAAAATGAAATATTCATTGTCATTATTTATTTGTTGTATTGGACTCTCACAAGCAGCTCTCTACATACCAGACGATCGATTACAGTGGACGGCTAGTGACATTGATTGGCCATGTGAGAGTACGAAAAATTTATATAAAAAATATGGAAAATATGTATCAAAAAATATTATTGCTACTAGAAGTGTCATTTACAAAGATGATGCTATTGTTGTATTACCCAGGTAATTTTTTTCAAATGATATTAAAATAAAATAATTTTTTTAATTAACCAGTGCTAGCACAATGAATAAATAAATCATCTACAATGAGCTATAAATTTCCTTATCTTCTAGGTTCAAATCAGGTGTTCCAATAACTCTTGGAAAAATTCCATTAAAATGTAAGTTCGGTACTCCAACTCTAAGTGCATATCCCTGTTGGTCTTTACAAGAGGAAGGAAATTGTGAGGCTCTGCAAAATGCTGTCGATATCTTCTTGGATCCTCAAGACATTCTTTGGGTGTTAGATACCGGAGTGGTAGACAGTATGGAAGATAATCCAATAAGAAGATGCTCACCGAAAGTTGTAGCATTTAATTTGAAAAATGATAAAGTAAGTAATAAATTTCACCAATGAATATGTCTACATAATTGACTAATTTGATAAAAACTATCTGTTTCCTTACAGATGGTTAAAGTAGTGGATTTAGGTGGTTTAACAACCGAATCGTCTCGTCTTCAATATGTCATCGCTGACTATAGTCTAGATGGACGTTTGTTTCTTTACATAACCGATGCAGCAGCTCGTGCTATTGTCGTGTATGATGTGACGTCTGGTCGTGGATATCGCGTTATTCTACCTGAACAAATAGCTGCGGATAGTTCAACACTAGACGTCTTGTATCCGGCGTTAATTCGTCAACCTGATGGTTCCAATTCTCTTTTCTTCTCTTATCATGGAAGCTCTAGAATCTTCTCAATAGATACAAGACTGCTCCAAAGTGATGGAGTTAATGGAAAAATTGTTGATCTTGGCTCTAAACCAGATACAATGTTTTTCCTGGGAACAGACAATGGAAATGCTTTGTTCTTCAGATACGAAGGAAAATCAGACATTTATCGATGGGACACTAGTACTAACTTTTGTGCGGAAAATTTCTTAAAAGTTTCTTCCGGCAATGATTTCACCTTAGCAACCGAAGTAATTCCTGATTACAGAAGAGGAAGAATGCGTATACTAGAATCCAACTTCCCTGATTTTATTCAGGGTACAGTAGGTTGTGGAATAGAACACTCACTTTCCATTTTATAGATTAATTTTATTCACCTGATCTGTGACTCTTTTAAGGTATTTAAGCAAGTTTCTGTGGAGTATAATTGTCTCATTAGTTCATTTAGACTTCTGTAAACATCATTATTACTGAACTGATGCACATATAAATTAAACCAAAGACTGTTTGCGAATTAATAAACTCCATGAATTTATTTCTATGTTTATTTTCATTGTCATTGAAACTATTTTTGATTTTATTTTTAGCAATGTTACTTAAGATTGCATAACATATATGTGAAAGTAGCATTTTTTGTATCTCACATTATCTCTTTTAAGTCACAATGTTGACTATTTATATAAGTGTTATCAAGCAGAAATAACATACTTACTATTTCACATTATCTCATTTAAATGATCTGAAATGATCATGAAGTCCTTTTTTTGATATATAAAATACTTGGCCCACCATGAAACCACAAACTTCATCATTTTTTAAGATCTTGAAATTAATTTTTTTCTTGAACAATGATACATATAATGATTGATGTAATCAATTATAACAGTTATCTGCTATCTTATTTCTTAATGTGGTTCAAGATTTCCTCATCAGAAAACAAAATTCTTTTTTTTTCTTTTCTTGCCAAGGTGTTATATTACAAAAATGTTGATAGAATTTCATACCTAAGAATCCTATTACTGTTGAATTTAATACTTAATAGAGAAAGTTCAAAATTAACACACTATGATAGCTGATTATGTATTTAAATTTTTTCACAATCAAATTTGCAATTACATGCAGGGAAAAACGTGATATATGAATATTTAACTTCCTATGATTTATAATGGTGCAATAATTTAGAAACATATATACATACGTTACAGATGTAGCTTGTATGATGGTGAAATGCTTTGTTGATATATATCACTTAAATGAGTGAATGGGACTATTATCGCAATGTTTAATGATAATAATTAAACAGATACAATTTAAATGGTGAATGATAATACAACAAATCGAAGATTTACAAATAATTATAAACGTTCCAATCACATGGAATAATTTTTTCAAACTCAATCTCCACAACAAAAAACCACAATTAGGTTTTAACTTTCTAAGACATTGATAGTGATTTTAACTTACAAGGAGGTGTGACATAATTGACGATTGAGTGTTGTAGAATGCCTATTTAAATTTCTATCATTGATCATGTGAACTGTATGCCTAGTATTATCAAACATGTGTGTAGCTTGTGAAGATAAAAAAATGACCCATAAATAACAGAGAGTGAAACTGCATGCATTTTAACAGTGAAATTTTAAAACATTGTCTTTTCCTTTCACTGTTCAGATAAATCATTCGACCCTGATCAAATTCTCTTTAATCTTAGATTGTCTTGATTTTGCATACTTGACCGTTAATTTCGCCACGCGTTCAAGAAACATTTAGATATACAATAGGTTGCTAATTTTCTTATCAGCTACATGTCATATTTTTCACTTTTTCTCATATCATATTATTATTTATATTATATGGATGTAATAATTAACTTACAACAGGAAACTTTGAACTAGTTTTGTGCAATTTTTTTGCAATTTAATTATAGTTTTATGTGATAAATGGGCTAATGAAATGATAAATTGTAACATTTTTATGAATTTTTCACATCATTATTTGATAAAAAAATTTTTATTTTCAATCAATTATGTAAATATCAAAGCAATTTTTGGAATTTAATTATTGAGAAATCATTTTTAATTACACTTGAGATATGATTAAATGTTTATCATTGTAATTACAATTAAAATATGACGGTAATTTAATTCAAGTTAGAATCTAACCTCTATGAATGTTTAGATTAAAAAGATAAACGATAAAATTACTAAGTATAAGGATTAAGATGATTTAACGATAGAGAAGTATGTGTGTTATTAAAAATGTTTGAAAAAATAAAAGTTTACCACTCGTCGTATTACTTTTTTTTTCTAATTGTTTATTCATACAGTAGCATGTTCCATTACTATTTGAATCAAATTAAATGCATAAAGTAATATATAATAGACCTACAACAAACACTTTGAGTTTTACGGATGGATAAAAAAATTACATTTACTTCTATAATTAAATGAAATATACCTTCTTCCTCATGATCTTGTGGTAATTATAATTAAACTATTTTTAATGTAGAGATTCATTGATCATAAACCGAATAGTTTCTTGACTTTTATCTGATTTTTATATAATAAAATAAATTCAAAGAATTGTTCTTAAATCATGAATTCCTGAATTAAACAAAAGGAAGCTTTTATTCAAGACCTACCTCATGATCATTCGAGCAACATTCAAATAAATAAAATTATTTTTTCAAAATCCAAGTCCAGTTACATTTTATTGATAATTCATCAACATTTGTCTCCATACATCTTGTTACTTTTACCCTTCGAAGCAGGGTAAGAATTCAAGCCTTTCTGTTAACCTGAAAAAAACAACATTTTATAACCTTTCGAGCTAATGAATGACTTCTATTTTAAATAAAATATTTTATTAGCACAGTTAATGATAAAATAAATCTAATGTATGTCTAATTGCTCTCATAAATATCACTGATTACAAAAATCATTGTTTTAATTGATTTGTTTGTTATCAAAACTGTTTCCAAATCATAAATTAATTTTATTTATCATACAGAATTGTATAGAAATGGATCTCAGTAGCAAACATCTAATCAAGATATATTAAAAGCAAGAAAAATTAAACTATGCCACAAAAATTCTATTTTTTTGATTCTTTAGAATGAAACTTCAGCAAACTATTACTTCTGTATGTATAACATTATTATGAATCAGTATGAAGGAGTATCTTGAAATAAGCAAGTTATGCCATCATGGGACATGAATATTCGTCATAAAGCCATCAGTGGTAATACACAAAGATAAAAAGCTAAAATATGCAGTTTATCAATTGCGTAAACAGAGCATTCAATATTTAGATCCGGTTTTCTGAATGGTGTAGATATTGTTGTGTGTCATAACATATGTACGTTGGTTTTTTACATAGAGGTCCGGAAACTTTGGTATCAAAGAAATGGGTTTGGCCCGCAGGAACCAGGACGTGAGACTGCGAAAGTAAGAGGAGGACGGTGTTCTCATGACTTTTACACCAAGTTAGTATTATATTGAATGTGCACAATCAAGTATATGTATAGGGAGGGGTTTTGTTAGATCGACTGATTGACCTGTGTTTCTATACTCACTACCCCCCAGTAACCAGTTCAGTCCTATTCAACGATAGAAAAGTGAAACAGTAAAACACTGTACGCAGTGGTGTTGTGAACGCATTCAACAAGTAGTGCCACAATAATTGTTTGATAACAGCTTTGAAATTTGACATCAAATTGTCATTTGGATATCCAACAATGAGGTGATTGATCAACTTTTATTTTGTTATTTTATTTTTAATTCTTTATGTTTCATTGATTAGACCTTTATGACAATTAATTATTCTATTTTGTTTAGAAGTTAAACCTGCTAGAGTTATCAGAAATTGCGAGTGAAAAAATCAGTGATTTATGGAGATATATGTGTGAAAAAAATTTGATATAATGATAATGATCGGAAATATTTTTTTCATAATACTTTAGCATGTCTGATTATACAAATATGATAATATATAGAAAATGATACTTGCAATAAATTGCTAATTATATATAGAATTATATTTATATAATGTTGAAATATTTTTTAAGTTAAAATATCTGTACCACTTGTGGCTATTTCAATCATTTTATTCGGTTTTATTATGAATAATTGTCATTATTATTATTATATCTCTTACTTTAGTGGTTACGAATCAAGTTAAATGCTATTTCATAATAAATTAACTTCATATTGAATAATTACACATCGTACAACTACTTATTAGTTAATTAAATTAACACGAAATAATTATGTTTAAATACTCCGTTATTAAAAAACATAAATAAAATTATGAAATGATAAAAATGTAAGAATGTATGGTTTGTAAAAAAATGTTTTTGAATTCATTGAAAACATTGATCTTCAAATAACTGTGCTAAATTGAAAGTACAAACTAAACTAGTTTTATAAATAAAGCATGTTTTGTGTTTTATTATTGGACTCATTAAAAATCAATCGACTTAGTATATTCATATTTATTACATATATCGGCGTTGAAATACCTTTTCCTTTCGAACAAGCGATTGGTTTTCCAACGGATTATGTGAGGAATGATCGTCTTTCACAATGCAAATGACATTTGATGTCATTCAATATAAGAACAATGTCATTCAATTATTGTTTACATGATTTGAAGGTTTCTTAGCAAATTTAATGTAACGTAATATCATGTCTTCAGCCACTTTCTTTATAAAATTCATGGTCAAGTGAAGGTCTGACGATTTATTACGATTATTATAAAACTAACCTCATGTTTACAAAACTAGAAAGCTCGTATAAGTGGAATGTACTTCCGTTGACCACAGAAAAACAATAACATAAGGGAGTAATATCTGTTTAAATAAATATAACAATAAAAATGGAAAAACATTAAATTGTTACCATTTATGTTCTTTTCTTACTCTATTGAATATTTTTGCCGGACTTGGTGAATTGATATCTTCATGAAATTGAATTGCAAATATTTTTTATGCTAGAGATGATTGATCTGTAAAAATGGTAATTATTTTTGTAGAATTTTTATTGTTTTATTTAAGAATTTTTAACATCTTTCATTTATTACAATTGTAATAAATAAACAATATTAAATATTTTATTTAAATAAAATATTTACCTTAATATACCTTTCGTTTCTTTATTAATTTATTTTATTTCGTGTTCATTAGATTTTATCTAATAGAGAATTTGTTCAAAACGTGTAAATATCAGTTGAACGACAATATTTCTTAACGACAGCAAATTATAGGTGATAATTAAAAATAAAAATACAAATATTATGTAATGCTTAGTAGAGAAATATAATTTCTAAAAGTTGTTTAATGTATCTAGAGTGATCAAAAAATTTTTTGTTCAATTTATAAATATTATTTTAATTAGCAAAAATCACTTTTTTATCTTTAATCAATGGGAAATTCTGAGCAACGCCAAATAAAGGAACGCCATTTTGAATTTGAAAAAAATCAAACTGCTTCAATCGTGAAGTTATTACATTTACAGATAACATGTCTTGTGCACGAAACTTCGTGCGGTTACTAGACAAGCCTTCAGATCAAATGACAGTTTCCATATTTGTTTTCGTGCAAAGAACATGTAGAATGCAACTTCATGCTTCAACTTCGTGTACGTGATAATTTGCCACTTCTGTTATATATTACACAATATGCTCTTTTTCATTATAATTATAACTTAGGTTAAGTCTACTAATTTCTCGAAATGTTAATTATAATTATCAATTATTTAATTTGTAATTTTTAATTATTATTTTTATCTTTATGACAAAGAAATTATTGCTTCAAACTAGTGAAAGATTGGGATATAAAACCAGTTGTGATTTTAGAGCATTTTTAAAAAAAACAAGACTGAAAAAGCTTTGGATTTTTTTGGAGTAACTTGGAGTAGGTCCAGTGCAAAGCAGTGTTTCATATCTTTGCTAATAAACCCATGGGGAACCAGAAGAACAGAGTTTACTCAGTTCTGCTACAATGGAATAAGAAATTGTAACAGATGAATTATGTATATCTACAAGGGAGGAGAAGAACGTTTTTGTTCCAGAAATATTTCAAACTTATTCCAACAATGGTCTAGATGACACCATGCTGAAGAAGAAATTGATAAAGTAATTAACAGGTGTCCACCATTCAGAGATCATGTATCTCTTCTAAAATATATTAAGTGCGATTTAAATTATTTGATTAATTTATAATTAACTTAAAAATACAACTAAAACAATATTGTTGCTGGTCTTTGTTACGATTGACACCACCATCATTATTAATTAATTACACAAACATGTCTCGTGACGATAATTAAGACAAGTCACCGGTATTGTTATTCAATGTATTCCTCTAAAGTTTTTCATCATTGAGGAAAGACAAGATCTGAGAACAATCTGGAATGTTGTTGTAATGAGAAAATCTTTGAATATGTATGAGGTCCAAACACTAAAATACATCTCACACAATCATAGACATGTTTTGAAAGAGAATTCAAACAGATAAAAATTAATGGAGTTGTCACCCGCGTGTTGCACGAAAGTAGCGAAAGGAAAGTGCAAGAAAGGCATAGAAAAACGACTTTCTATGTATTCATATCCTTGAAATCGTTTTTATGTACCTTACACACGACAAGAATATATTGTTTAACATTATTTTAATTAGAAAAAATATATTGTTCACTTCCTTTACATGTTGTAATTTTTAACTTCTTGTAATCATGAAAAGTATTTTTTGTATTCAAGTTGTTTGATTTCTACGTGATATATTCAACAAGGTATACTGTACATTTATAGATTAAAATGAATAATAAATTATATTTATATCAATTATAAATAAAATGATGAATAAGTATTGATATAAAAATTATAACAATGTTTCAGGGAACTTTTGTGGATACTTCTGATATCAGCATCAATCTTCATTGGCCCTTCTATCGGAGAAGTATTGGAAACAGTAGCTCAATGGTCATTCTTAGATTTTGCATTACCTTATGACAGAGAATTCATCAATGCATTTCGTCCAGAGAATACTGTACCAACAGGATTTGAAGCTACTGAGCATCGAGTTTTTGTGAGCATTCCTCGATTACGTTCCGGTGTTCCTGCGACATTAGCATCATTTTCTCGTAACTTACCTCGTGGAAGTAGCCCTCAATTGCAAGCATATCCATCATGGGATTGGCATCAAGCTGGGCGAGGTGATTTCAACTGTTCTGGTTTGATTTCTGTGTATAGGATCCGTATTGATCGATGTAATAGACTATGGGTTGCTGATAGTGGTGTCAATACATCTCTTGAAGATTTTCGACCTGTTTGTCCACCAAAACTTCTGGTGTTTGATCTTCAAACGGATCAATTAGTTCGTCAAATTGTCTTCCCACGACAGGTGTGCATGGAATTATTTTTTTTTAATTTCACTTTTTAATAAAAAAAATGAATAATAGAATGATTTTAGATTAATAATGATTAAAAATGCAGGAATGGAGGAAAAAAATTATTTGAAGAGATTAAAGAAGTTGATATATAATTATGAAGTAAAATAGAAGTTGTACGCCAAGCTTTTTAACATTTTAAAAAAGCTTGTTGGTCTTCATTATCATTATTTAATTGTTGATGTTTATCCAATGATTATAGAATTAATGGAGATTAAAACGGTTTCACTTCCAACTAATAGAAAAAAAACTTTATAAAAACCAACTGTTAGATTGAATATGACTATAAGAAATATGTCTAGCTTGATATTTTATGGATAAAAACTTCCATTAAAAATAATACTTATTCTTTGTAGCACATTATTTATAAACGTACTTTCAATCCATGTTTTTATGGACTTCATGAATTTAAAAAAGTTATTTCTTTATATAAAAACCCATCTAGCAACTCAGAAAGTTTCACTTCAACTATGATAAAAAAGTTAAAGAAATAATTCATCTGTTTAAAGATGTAATAAAAAACAATTACAAATACTTTAACTTGAAATAATGATATTAATAAAAATATTCATCATTAATTAATAATAAATCATTCATTTGTTTTCAGGTCCGTCGTCCAAGTACTCTTTTAACAAATTTGATCATTGATGACACAGAGGCAAAATCTTGTGATGATGTTTTTGTTTATTTAACCGATACCATTGCTGCTGGTAAATAAAATTTATAATATTTATCAGAACTTTAGCAGCATTTTACATGATTTTGAGTACTCAACAGGAATTCAAGTATTCGATGGACGAACTGATAGGAGTTGGAGAGTTTCGCACTCCTCTATGCTTCCCCATCCAGATTACACAAATTATCGGGTGAGAGATTTATTGACTGGAATATTTTTAATGCAATAAGGAATAATTACCAACAATAATATAACATAGTACAGAAAAATATAGAGATAAGTTTATAAGCAGCTTTTTATAGTCGTTTTAGTAATGATAATATAAAACTTACATCTATTGGTTGGGAAAAAATAGAGTCAAGTGATAGTTAATGATCATTAAATTAATATTCAGTTGTAAGAATATCTTATGCAATGTGTGAGAAAACTTGGATTAAAATAGGGTGGAACCAGAAACTATGTATTCATTATTTTTTTTTAACGTTTTTCTTTCTACTTGTTTAACAATATATATATAATTATTCGTAGATTATGTGCAGAGTTCATTGTATATTAACTTTTAATGATACTTTGGTTGATATTTATCACAGCGCCATTTTTTCAATCACATGGTATTTTGGATGTAATAAGTGATATTAATAAATCAATGATATTTTAATTACAGATTGGAACAGACACATTTGAATTAATGGACGGAATAGTTGGCTTTGCATTTTCACCTCGAGAAGGCATAGTTTATTATCAGCCTCTAGCAACAGACCGTATTTTTAGTGTACCAGCATCAGCACTCAAATCAGGACCTCTACCTTTTGGTCAACAACTTCCAGTAACTCTAGTAGGCAAGAAGTCAAGTCAAGGATTGGCATTAGGTGTCGAACCTCGTGACGGCACAATTTACTTTTCTCCTCTCACTGAAACTGCCATTGCCACTTGGAACCCCAGAACTAATAAACAAAGGTAATATGAATGTATGAAATGGGTCTTTTACTTTAATGAACTAATTAAGAACAAACAGAAACTAGCAATTGACATAAATAAGACCCATTAAATAAACTACTAATATCGTTTCTTTAGATCTTTATAAAAAGGTGAAATAAAATATAAATCAATATAATAAATATTTAAAAATTTCTTGATTTAAATGTGACACTAATTACGTGATGTCTAATCTATTTAGTATTAGATGATAATTTCGGCACCTGTACTCATTGAAGTGTAAAATTTTATAACCGGCTGCTGTCATAAATAGCATGCTAGTGATATCACCAACTTTGAAAACCAGGAAAAATTAGTGGTTATTAATTACATAATGATCTCGTGCGATATTTGATAACTCAATCAAGTTTCGTATTCATAAAAATATTCTTTCTTTTCTTTAGATTTGTCTAATGAACTTTTTCTAGTAAAGTTGAACTTCATATTCCGTTATTTATGTTAGAATAATTTTCTGTTCTACTTTCTTTTGCTAAACTAAGCAAATAATATTCTATAATCTACTCAATTATATATAAATTCTAGTTTCGAATGCTTAGATAAAATTGTTTTCTAACATAATCGAGATCAAAGCAGTCTTATTTTTAAAAAATATTTATTGCTCAATAATCAATTTGATTGCTCATATTTTTTTTTTTAAAATAATAATCAGCTTTTCTATGCTCTAAAATTCAATGAAACTATTTCTGTTTCAGAATCATCGCTCGAAGTCCGAAAGACTTACAATTTGTAGCAGAAATCAAACCAGTGGATAGTGATAACGGGAACTTTTGGGTTTTATCAACAAGATTTCAAAAGTTTTACATTCAAAACGTCGACCCGCAGGATATTAATATCCGACTTATGAGAATCAAACCAAATGCTGCAGTAGCACCACCACCACCACAAGCACTCTATCAACTTGGCCTTCATTTCCCTTACAATTTATACAACACATCTTTTTTTCCGGGTTACTTTCATTGAAAAACAAAACATTAGGCAACTAATAGTAAACTAATTAAAATCACTAGCAACTATAGGATTAATAATCATGTTTAAATTCTGAATGTAAATAGAGAGATCACCGATTGCAAATACTAACCGTTCAATTGATCAAGTGTTACTGCAGGTATGGATGATGAATGTAAAATAAAAAGATAAAATGTAAATATTATAATTGACTAACTGATTCCCTATAAAATGATATATTTTTTGAACTCATTTATTAGCATATTTATATATTTTCTTTCAATAAACAATTTCCTTTTGGAAACTTAATTAATTCATATCGGCAATTAATTTCATTATATAAACAACTGTTTAATTCCTTTTACTTAAATAGTTACTTTTAATTACATAAAATCAAATATATAAATGATAAGAAGAAAAAATTGGTATGTTTTTATGAGAATTTAATTATAAGATTATTTCAAAAGAAACGTCAATGTCTGATGACCTTGGCCATGGTTAATAGCAGTTCCAGATTCCAACGTAATATCTTGAACTACTGAAATTTTTTCCCCAGTTATAAGGCATTAGCGCACTAGTTTAATCATTACAGAGAAGGTTGAAATTAGAAAGGTATGAAGAAAGAGAGTTACTACTGTGCTAAGTTAAATGACAGTATTTCGTTGACCATTCAACTGGGTGGATTCACGATAGTTTTGTTGGAATTTATTAGCTACAAAATCAGCCAAGATGAAGGATTAAATAAGATATTATATTCTCATCAAGTTAATTAGATATTTTAAAAGAAATAAAATTCATCAACCAACCGGAAGCATGTCGCCATGCTTTTTCCTCATTTTGAGCTTCTGCTTCATCGCAGTCAATTCAGCTGGAAAATTTAAAACCGTGTATAAGTGGTCATGGATTGATTATCTCTGGGAAAGCGAGACCCAACGAACTTTAGCTATTTTATCTGGTGAATATAATTACACTAAACCAGTTCTAATTGACGTCGATGTCTGGAAAGGTATACTATGTAATTTACTTTAAGCCTCTTGTAGTATAATTGTCAAGTACTTAAAAGATAAGAACATGCTTTGTACTGATATGTTATGTATAGGCGGGAAGATTTTCGTAACCACAATACGAACTGACGGAGTTCCGGCTAGTCTTACAACAATCTCAGGAGTAACAGGACATGGTGGACCCCTTCTATATCCATATCCTAATTGGCGGTGGGCAAGAAAAGGAGATTGCAATGGTATTACTAGTGTATTTCGAGTGGCCGTGAGTTGAAGATAATTATATATTTATTCAACAAAACAGAAACATGTTAACTCTCATGTTGATAAATGATTAATAATCATTGAATGTAAAACATGAGAAAATACCATGTAGAGTAAACAATTTTTTTGTTTTTATTACTTTTAAAATTTTCATAGCATGAATTAAAATTAAACAACAAATTAATTCACGTTGTCTGCTTTCAGATTGATGAATGTGATCGCTTATGGGTCTTGGATACTGGAAAAATAAATGAAAATCACGTTTGTCCAGCTCAATTGCTTGCATTTGACCTTCACACTGATCGTCTCATAAGGCGAGTAAAAATTCCCAAGAGTGTAGCTCAAAATAACTTATCAAAGCATGGACTATTGGTTACCCCGATAATTGAGACAAGTGGCGTGCACTGTTCAAGGACGTATGTAAGTTTATAAAAAGAAAAAGTAGAATGATTTTAAATTATTGATTGAAAATAATTATTTAACATACAATTACGTAGGTTTATATGGCTGACGTGACTGGAAATGGTCTTGTTATTTTTAATGGAACAACAGTCTGGCGTTTAGAGTCTCCAGTATATGCCCCTCAAGAGATAGCAGCTACTGTTACAATTGCAAATGAATCATTTTATCTTGATGATGGTATTCTAGGGATGGCTTTGAGTCCCAAGATGAGGAAGAATTTAAGATATTTAATGTTTCGACCATTGGCTTCTTTTGATATGGTCTCAGTTGAAACAACCAACTTGCAAGAGTCTTATACCGGTGATCCAATCCATTATATGCTAGTATCCAGAGCATTACCTAGTCAAGCAGCAGCTATGGCTTTCTCTACTGAGGGCACGCTTTTTTTCGGGCTCACTCACGATCTTGCAATGGCTTGTTGGCACATCGATAAGCCTATTACAAAAGAAAATATTGTATGAATTTCTTATTTTTTATTAGCATTTTTTTCTTCAATATTTTACTGCAATTTGCATTGAGTTATAACTGGCGAATAAATTTTAATGGTTTATGTAACTATGTTGAACACATTTTTAACAATTATTGGAACATAAATTATACATAATGAAGTGGTAATTACATATAACGATCATTAAAAATTGTTTTAACAACAACATTCACTTATGTTAAAAATGAAACAATTATTTTACAGCTATAATTCAATGCAATGAATTTTTAAAAATTATTTATAATTAATTAATGTAATTAATATTTTTTAGGTAATTCTTGATAAAGATGAGAATGCTTATCAATTTGTAAGTGGAGTCAAAGTAATTCCCTCATGGATTACGAAAAATCATGAAGAAGTTTGGATTGTAACAAATAGATACCAAAAAATAGCACTTGAAACTCAAAATTTCAACGAAATAAACTTTAGAATAATGGCTAGTAGTGTAGATAAATTAGTTGATAATACAAACTGTAGTCCTTTACTAGGATATAATTTTATTAAGAGTTATGATATTCATTTTTGAGAATAATTGTTAATTAATATTTTAAAATAACTTAAAGTATTTTTCAAAACAACATATAAAGTTGTTTCATCGATAAATAAACTCAATCATTTGAAGACTGTGACTAATATAATAACATAAATAAACGAAAACGAAGTTAAATGTAAGAAAATTTCTCTAGTTTCGTCATTTGCATAATGTCACGCTTCTATAGTTTTGTCGTAACGTCAATGATCTCAAATACAGTTCCTACCAAAAAAATTATTGGCTTAGATGAATATACTTTCACTAGAGTAACTTGGTGTCCATCAGTCTTCCTAATCTGTTATGTTAGTTTACATGTAAACCAGTTTCAGAAAAGTCATGTTTATTTTTATCCGAGTTTATTGTAGTATGAAAGATAAAATTTCAAATTTACAAAGAGAAATGATTTAATAATTTTTGTCTTAATTTGCATTCGTTTAGTAGCGGTACTTTTTGATTAAGTCTAATGTATCACGCGAGTGAGAATATGGAAAGGAAGTTAAATTTTACAAGTGATCGAGAAGAAATAATAATAAAATAGAATGCACTTTCTTTTTATTATAATTTAACAAATTCTATTCGTGTAATAAGTAATTTATGAATAATATTAATAAACAGTTTTAATATATTAAATTATATTAATATATTTATGTGATTAAAAAGAATAAAAGCATTATAATTAATAATAAAATTCATAATGGATATATTTAAAAAAATTATCCAGTGGCCTTGATATAATGTGAATTCAGTAAGAGATTTCTTCGTAGAGAAATTGCAGACTGACCTCTTTTATCACTCACATTATAATTCCATTAGTTTGAAAACCGAATGTAAATAATCATTAGATAATTTTCTATAGGATCCTTAAGAACAAGGAAAATGTTAAAAATAATAATAGGCCAGCGGTCATATAAATATTAAGTATAAAATTAATTAAATAATGACTGTAATTAGAACACATTTTTCCGCTTTTCTTTCACTTGCACGTGGCCATAATTTACTCGCGTAATTGTTACGGCCCGTAAGTTTAATCCGTCTGGAGTTCCACTAACACTTTCCTTAAGTAAATTAAACAAGACCAAGTAGGAATAGTGATTTCCTTCAGTGTAAATCGGGTCGAGAAGTAGTCAGTGTTTTTTCGCATTTATAGTGATGTGCATCTCTGAGTAAAGACATGTCGATTCATCGAATATACGATGAGAGTAAAAAATAGTTGAGTTGATTAATTAAAAATGGGAAGAAGAAGAGACAGAAGCTATGAAAGTTTTGATGACAGTTTTGAATTTGACCGGTCCGATGAATCTTCTTGGGAGTCTCCGTTTTTTAAACACTCAAAAGATTCACTGTGGAGACGAGAGTCTTTCACTCAATACAATTTCCATGGTTACAATGAAATTCGTAAGTTAATGATCTTCTCTTTTTATCTGAAATTAAATTAAAAAATAACTTTTGAAGATTATAATGTTTATTAAATGACATATTAAAATTTTTCATTTCCTTCATCCTTACTATACGTTATAAAGTTAGTATGATATTTAATAAAATTATATAGTTTTTGTTAATTAACACAAAAAAATTTGTAGATTGATTATAATTAAAAATATAAATAAATAAGTATTATATTAATTCGAAAATAATTTAAGTTCGTTCAGTGAAAGGCTACTTGATACATCTTAGAAGAATTATTTTTTATCTGTCTTGAATATATTAATTGCACATACATCTCAGTGATTTTCGGAGCAGTAAATTAGTAAGTACGGTGTTATTATTATTAAAGTACAGCATTGTACTCGTTAATTTTAAAAGCATATCTCTCCTTATTTAGATTAATCAGAAATTATCACATATATGTATTAATGTCTTCCTTTGCATACAATTAAATTTAAAAAAGGTACACACAGTGTGGTAAATTACAGTAAAGTATTTAAATTTCATTTCCAGTTTCAAATACTATTCAAATAATTACCAACATTCATCATGAGAAATTAAATTTTTTAATTAAGAAAAAAAGAAATGTCATTTCGCATGGGTTTTATTGCTTTAGAATTTAATAGTTAAGCTTGTATTAAAAAATAAATCAATATTTTTATTTTTTATGAAACATAACATCAATTAACAGCTTAAATGATTGACATATGCCGGCCAATAACTAACACTTGTATGTGTTTATTAAAATTAATATAAATTATATCATGAAGTAATATTGAAGCGTAATAGTATCTACTATTAGTTATGCACTAACAACCCATGTCACTACTTCATTGGTATATTATTAACTTTTATAATTTATTGAATTATGAAGTAGTGATGAAGTACAAAATTGAAGTGCATTAATCTACGTAATTTGATCGAGATAATTTATTACCATATAATGGAGCTGTTATCATGTTAATGACATCGAGAAATACAAATCTAATTTTTAAAATGATTAATAGTATATATATTATGATTACCTTTGTATGAAATAAAATGGAATATGACGTGCTTTAATGTTCACATAAATATTAGAAAAATTTTTTTATTTCTTTACTATTCCAAGAACTCACCACGTCCATCACGATAGCAGTCAATAGAACGTTGAAGCTTTATCACGCAAGGATTGCTACCCTTTCATGTCAAAACTTTTTCTATAATGAGTAGTTAATAATAAAATAAACAATAGCAAATTATTTTGTTTAAAAAAAATTAATTAAATAAAACAGTTTATAATTTATTCTACACACCATTACCCCTTGAACAATATATTATCTGAATGTGCTAAGTATTGTAGGTTATATGGTGTAAAAAATGCATTAGAAAATTTTCCGAATAATGTAATTTGTTTTAATGAATACAGAAATAAAAGATGAGATAAATATACATAATAACCATAATTGACTTAGTATATTTCAAATGCAAAATAGAAAAAAAAAAATAAAATTCATGGATATTCATCAGCTTCAACCTTTTTATTTTTTTTAATGTATATGTATATTTATATGCTACTTGTTATATTGAGTGAATTTATTGTCGACAATTATATCCGCTATATTATCCACCACACACCTAAATAACGAGTTGCAAGGAAATGGCAGAGACACTTCCGTTAAAGAAATTAAACAAATAGCAAAAGTACATTGACAGTTTAAAAGAAACGAGGAAATAGAATAAGAATTTTTAGCATTTATTTGTGGTATCCCACACTTGTGAAAATATATCTTGAAGTCTATAAACCTTAGATCTAGTGACCTATCAACGGAAAGACGAGTGTAAGAGAGGATTTCCTTTCGTGTATAAAAACCAAGTAGAAGGGGATACAACTCTTACTCTCAGACATGTTCAACCTGAATAGAATGCAGTGATATCAGAATTGTATGACATACGGTTGGATCCGAAACATTCCCTGGATACGTGTGATTGAAAGCCATATAATTAATCCATTGATTAAGTGACTTGATAATTATATATTTGCATCAATTTAATTAAATTCATTTAGCCTTAGTGACATCAGTAGCTAAAATGATTCAGGGTAATTAAGTTATTAAAAACTATAGTATAAAACACTAGTCTTAATTGCTTACTTAATTAATTACTAGACCTATAAAAGTCTGAATCATCTGTATTTTTGTTCAGGTATCACCAATGTCGTCCCGTTGCTGATGTCAATGACTCTATTAGGACTCAAGGAATTTAGCGCTCAAAGCAATCCCAACTTGCAGATTTCACAAGAACTTGAACCACCAATAGGATACAATAAAGAACCCGAAACTACTTATAAAGTGGTATGATATACTTTATTAAATTTTATTTAAAAAGGAAATTGAATGTCGGTTTGTTTAATTACTTTAATGAGGTTTTAAATTCTTTTCCTATTTTACCAGTGTATCAACTTGTATTTGCTTGCAAATTATTTTCGAAAAAAGACTTTTTTTCCTGACTAATTGATGTTTCGTAATTTATAAAAAGATACTTTTTTTTATTTTAGTTACGTTTAAATGTAAAGTTATAAACAAAAGATTAACAAAGAATTAAATTTAATCGTAGGTTGGATTGCATCTGATATAATCATGTTGTTAAAAATGCACATATATTTCTTTTGATAAATTTATTATTACTTTGTTAAATATTATTTTAATGAGTCATATAAAAAAAGATTGGAATAAGTATTTATACAATAATTTCTGAGACGTTAGAAATTGAATTCGTTCACGCGATATTCCAATAAAAATAAATTACGTTGAAAAAAATACGATTTATATAAGTTGGATATAAATAAAAATTTTTTTCAGCAATTAAATTATGATTTTTTCAACTTTTTAATAAAATAGTACAGATAAATAACAGTTTGTTACCGGGGAGTAATTATCTACAAAAGTTTATATTAAAAAATTTAAATAAATGCAGTTTTAATGTTAACATAGATCATAAAAATATACAATTATTTTCTTCGCTTCATTTTATCATTTCATAATTTAACATAGAAAGCTGGTTCACAACTAAATTCAAGTTCACCAATTAAATATCATCACAACTCTATCCACAATATCCTCATGTTGCTAAGAATAAAGAAACTACAACTTTTCCACAAGTTTCTACGGTTTAATATTTGTAATTTCATCTATTTTTTATAACTTAACTGAAAATCTTAATATTTTTTTTACCTTCAAAGTGCCACTATTAATGCATAACATAGTCCAACGACAAAAAAAAAACAAAACAAGACAAGCTTGTTTTTAAATTAGAATTTTAATGTACCTCATTCCAGTGTGCTTGTAATCATTTATAATAATTGTAGTATGCATACTGTTTCTTAGTTAATAGATAATCCATAAGTTGATACCTAATTATAGGCCTCTACGAGTTCACTGAACGCTGACATACTGAATGCAATGAGATCTGGTCGATTATATGAAACAATTAATCATCAACAATCAATACTCCAGAATAAAACACCAATAAGTTTTAACTATAATAATATAATCATACCAAGTGCAGATTTTGAGCCACCCCTAGATGATCTCCCTGAAGAACAAAGTCCAGGTGCAGCAATGGAATTGGTACTTTCCAATATTTTAATTTTTTCTTGAAAATCATCTAAATACATTACCATCTGATAAATTAGTAATTTGAGAAAACAATTACAGATTTATGCTTGGAAAACTGTGGACTTTGAATTTGAAAGTGAAAATGACAGAGAGTTAGCAAAATTTGAGGAAAGATATATCCCGGAAAATAATCTTCCTCTAGGGCTTGAAGTTTGGAGGAACAAAGTATTTATCACTCTTCCAAAGTGGAGATCAGGAGTGCCAGCAACGTTGACTTCTGTGCCTCGATATTCAAAGACAAAAAGTCCCAAGCTTCGGCCGTATCCTAGCTGGGGATGGCATCGTCAAGGTGAAATGATCAATGAATATTTAAAACTTATTTTCCGTTTATCTTTCATAAAAAAATATCTCTTCATATGAATAATTGTTTTTTAATAAAAACTCCTTTTAGTAGAATGGGGTAAATTATTTGCAACTTATTAACACGCTATAGGCATGATTATTAATATTTTTCTTCTCATTCTGAATAATTTATTTCATATTTTCTCACTCAGAGAATATTTAATTCTGATAATTTTGAAATTCACTCTACTTATATTTTTTAATAATTTTATTCATGAACTTGACGATAAAATTAAAGAACATTATAATCTATTTCTTAATAATTGATGATATTTTCACAGATTCCTGCAACGGAATGACATCTGTTTTTCGGATTCAAGTTGACGAATGTGATCGTTTATGGGTGTTAGACTCTGGCACAGTGAATTTAACCAAAACTCCACAACAAATTTGTCCTCCAGCCATTTTTATCTTTGATCTGAGAACAGATAGATTGCTAAGAAGATATCAACTACCAGAGGAGCAAGTGAAACAAGACTCTCTCTGGTCAAACATAGTAGTTGATATACGTGATGGAAACTGTGATTATGCAAGAGCTTATTTATCAGATGTGTGGCGGTTTGGAATGGTTATTTACGACTTATTTAGCGATTCTTCATTCCGAATACAGCATCATTTTTTCTTTCCGGATCCTCTTTCTTCAAGATATGACCTTCATGGTCTTCGATTCCACTGGATGGACGGGATCTTCAGTTTAGCATTGAGCCCAATTGATATCAACAATGACCGGACGTTATTTTTTCATCCAATGTCCAGCTTTCGTGAATTCGCAGTGTCAACATCACTCTTAATTGATAAAGAATCTGTAGATGCTAATATAGAAAGCTTTGTGCCTGTTGGTAAACCAAGAGCAAAAGATTTTGGCCACTCCTCTGGTGCTGCAATAGATCGAAATGGTGTCATGTTTTTTGATATGGTTACCAGAGATTCAGTATGGTGCTGGGACACTAGAAAAGAATACTTACCTCAGAATTTAGGACTCGTTGGAGTCAGTAATGAAACTCTTATCTTCCCAAATGACTTGAGAATGGATAATGAAGAGCGACAGAGTTTTTGGACCATTTCGAACAAGCTGCCAATATTTTTATACGGAGTTTGGAATCCGGAAGATATTAATTTTCGAGTTTATCGGGCTTATGTTGATAACGCGGTGAAAGGCACAATTTGCGACCCCGATTACTTAGTTTCAGAATCTGAAAATATTTATGATGAGACTTGTTGATAATTAATTTTAATAAAATATTTTTTTAAATTTGTTTCTTTCAATCATTTCAAAATTCAATCCATGAACTATAGAATTAATTGACTAGATGTTGAAGGAGATATTAAATCATTAGCTTGAAATTCTGACATGTTGCTTTGATTACTAAAATCACTTAAGCTATCTTGTTTTTTAATGTATTTTGAAAAATAATCCCCAGTAGAATAAGCCTCATTAGACCAATCACTATCATCATTATCATCATCATCGAAATAATGAATTTTTTTTTCCCTTCCAACATGCAAAAAATTATTTCTATTGTTTATTATTGTGTCATTAGTATCTTGAATTACAGTTAGATCTTCACAGCCATGAATATTTGTTACTTCCTTTGCATCTTTATTGAATAATTCATTCTTATTATTTTCATGTATTGTTTTCCAATTTTTCAAATAATCCTCCCCAAAATCTACTTCTTGGGTTGAAGGATAATTAAATAAGTTATAGGTCATGGCTTCGATGCGAGCTGTTTTTATAATCTCATGAAAAACATTAGGAATTTGTTCTGATATGGAATAAAAATCTGATGATGCTGGTCCTAAATAAAATCCTCGAACATTTTCATGAGGATCAAAAGAAAAAGCACTTTGCAATAAAGGAATAGTATCATATTCATCAATAATATCAGTTGCTAATAATTCTGATTCTAAATTTATTTTCTTGGATCTATTAGAATAACCTAAATTATTAAGAGGAAATGTCCAATCAATATTAAAAATTTTTGTTTTTAAATCGATTAAATCTTTTGAACTTTGAACTACTCGAGTTGCTGAGATATTTTTGTCAATACTTGAATCATTTTTGTCTGTAGCTTCGAAAATACTCATTTTATTCCTGTCCATTTTTGTTGACATTAATTGATTATGTGATGAATTCATTAACAATAATCCAGGAATATTTCTACTTGCTCTTGAGCGATCTAACTTACGTCCTACTTGAAAATCATCAAATGTTTCACGAAAACTTTCAAATGTCTTTGAATTATCTGCCATTTTTTTAGAAGTATTAATTTTAAATTTATCCGACGTTGAAGCTTCTATTGTATTTAAACTCATTTTATCTTTTTCTTCTTTGTATTTCCATAACGTCATTGCATTATAAACTTTCAAGGCTTCCAATTCTTTCTTTTCTCGATCTTGAATTGTTTCACGCGTATTGTCTTTCCTAGACAAATCCATCAGCATATGCAGATAATATGAATTATATTGTGATGAAGGTAATTCATTTGAAGAAGTTTGTGTTGTACTTGTCTTATAAGAATTATTTTTAGCTGTCTGAGTCTCTATATTTTTCATACTTATTTTAGGAATATTATTTTTATCTCTTTTGAACTTTGATTCAATCTGTAAGAATACTATTGTCATTAAATCATTCAAAATTTGCCAGCATTCCTTCTGTATTTCTTGTTTCTTTTGTTCATTAATTTCATCGTCCAGTTCATCCTCTGATGATGACCATTGACAACACTTTTCATCATAAGTTATTCCAATGTCATATTCAGTTTCTGATTCTTTCATTTCAACACTTTTGTAAGATCTTAGCATACTTTCCAAGTTCCAATGTCTAGACCACTCTGAATGATTTCCTTCTATATTATCTTTACTGTATGTCTTAGCTCTTGATGGATGGATATTAAAACTTTCTTCAGGTGATGTAATAACATTCTTTTCACCTGTATCAGATAAACAAACGCAAGTCGAAGTTTTACTATCAACGTCATCACTTTCATGTTCTATAACATGAATTACTTCGGATACAGAATCATCAGAAAATTTATCATCAAATTCATATTTGGATAATGAAAATTCATCGGTGACATTATTTGTAAAATCCAAAACTTTTAAAACTTTATTAACTGGAGAAAATTGTAAATCATCAGTGATATTTGAGTTACGTTTGCTATCAAACTGATGATTTTTTAATGATGATATTGCAGTCAAGGACTTGGATTCTTTTATTGTTTGCTTATCATCAGAATCAGCTAGAGAATCAGTATGTAGATAATTTAGGTCTGGAAGACTTAGAATCATTCGTTTCTTATAAGCATCTTCATCTAACTTTGAACGCTGCATACTCATTCCTATCATGACATTGAAAGGAGTAGATAAAGTTGTCAACCTGTTCTTTCTTTTGTCATTCTTTTTATCTCTCTCCTTGAGTTTAATATAAAGAGCATTTATAGCATTCCAATTGTGAGCTGCTAAAGCTATAGACGAAATATTTCAAAGTTAAAAATAAAATCATGCAAAAAAACTGTTTTAATTTTAATTTAAATATGTTACCCATTGTAATTATTTTTTCAAAAACAGCTGTGCTAAATAGAAAACCTGAAAGATTCCCTTCTAAGTAGAGTAGAATAATTACAAACAGAACGATTGATTCCAGAATAAAATTTTTAAAGGCGCTCATTGTTAACCAAGGAAGTAGCATTTTTTCTTGACTCCAAGTGATGATTGAATAGAAATTAGCGATGTAGGAGATAGTGTACAAATGGGTAATGATTATTCGTGACATTACGACCCAGGATAAAACTAGAAAAGTGATAAATTAATAATATCAATGTTAGATAATATCTTGTAAAATATGTGAACATGAAATCTTTGTAATAGAAATGATTTATGTGATAGATATTAAATTCGAACTCGTTTCACCAGTATTTGTGCAATTGAGATTCAATCATCAGACTAGTTCCTTTTCTTGTAAGAATATAAGCTATAATTTATCGTTTTTTAATCATTCTTTTACGTTTTTATCTGCTATTTCATGTGATCGGAGTTGATTATTTTTACATATGTAAGTGGGAGTATAATTAAGAGTGAAAACTCACTCACAATTTAATCGACATGTCGAAGTCGATATATTTAAATTTATCGATTGCTAGGTTAGAAAATTAATGTACATATGTGAACACCTTGAAGGGTTTCGAAAGATTAAAAAAGCATGATAAATATTGATTAATCTAACTATTTATACAAGAATTATAAGTGTTTGGTGAAATCAAAGATAAACTTGATGATAACTATAGGTTATAACGAACCCATCTTTATGTATTGTTCAAGATAACTATCTGTTTTTTTTTGACATATTGTAGTTTTCCAAATGGTATCGATTTTGTTAGCCCAATCAAATGATCCCCACTCCCATAAACTATTGGCCTGGAAAATATGTTGGGAATAAAATTATTACTCAAGTGTAATTTATTTGTTTTTCATCAATTGCACTTACCACATCAAAAAGAGTCATTATCAGAAGCTCACTCCGAAATGATACGCCACATAGATAACAACAGATTTTGAGAGTAATAGAAAAACAAAGGGTTACAATTTTTATCGCCAGTTTATTTTTATTTTTATTCACTTCTTTGATAGATTTTTAAACATATTGTGTTAAAATATTCATCTAAAATTTCTTTACAAAAACTAATCTATTGATAGTATAATGAGTGGCCTAAAGAAAAAACAAAAGATAAAGAATTTTAATAAAATTAATTTCTTTGATTATTAATTATTTAATTTTATAATCATATTTTTAATATATTTTAATAAATTTTGATAAATATAACCTTTTTTTTTTACAGAGTGACAAATTTTTATAGAGTCCTTCTAGACGAGTTGATTAGTTTTATATGTGAAGTGAGCAGTTTTGGAGTATTAAAAAGAAAAACAAAAATAAATAGAATCCCAGAATATTTTTTTAAATATTATAATTTATTTTAAACAATGAATAAATAAATGAAAAAATTTGATTTTCGGGTTTCTTGGAAATTTCTAATCAATAAAACATTATCTATAATTATTATCTTAACTTCATCACATCAAAAGAAACAATATATCGACCGTTAAAAAATTTTTTCTCAGTTTAATTTAATCAATATTTTTTAATTGAGTATTTTTTTAATTTGTTTATACTGCGACAATACGGGGATTCCACGAAAGATAACAAACGAAATACCCCAAAAAATAATATAATATTCTTTAATTTTATACAATAAAATGTCTAACAATCCGATTATTTTTGTAGATAAGTGCCTATAAATAATTATAAAACCTAAATACATAAAAAAGAAATAACTATCAACATAAACGTGAAAGGTAAATATAATTATTTTTATTCCATAATATAAATTATAATTTATCGTGTTTGAGTATCATATAATTTTTTATAAAAATTATTCAGGTCCTATTATCAACATCGATAACATGCGTCGTTTATATCTCAGAATTTTGTGAGCACCAATGATGAGTAATTGGATAAAACGATTGATTAAAAAAAAATCCTCGAGGTCGAAAACATCAAAATTTATCTTGGATTTTCATTCGTCTAGTAGGAACTGACACAGAGTGTTGTAAAGTGGATTATGGAAATATTGATATAGTTTACAAAATTGAGGTTAATTAGTTTTTTAGTAATATCCCATAGAAGTAAAATCTTTCTCTACAGAAATTCGTTATTTGTTTACTAGAAAAAATTTTCGAGTGGCATAAACAAGTGTCGAAGCAATTTTGTATTTATTCACGTTGACATTATTGTTTTATAATGACGATCTCAACGTGTTGTGGGTGTTTTTCTTTACAACATGGATCAATAATTATTGGATTTCTACATTTAGTATGTCAATTTATATATTATTTTTTTAATTTAAACAATACAAATCACATTATAATTAATTAATTCTTCAATTATTTAATACGTTTGTGATTTTAAGATATTTGGAAGTGCAGCAGCAATATGGACATGTGTCGTGCTTGCAAATTCTTCTATGTCAGATGATTTATATGTTCTGATGAAAGTTCAGAATGTTGAATTTCTAATTTATGTTATTATTCAGTTAGCTATAACTGTATCATTCATTATTGGTGCTGTTAAAGTAAGTTAAATTTTTAAGTTCACAATTAATCAAATGAATTTCAAATAGTTTTAAGTTATTTATATTTTAATATATTTATTTCAGAGAATTCCTAACCTCGTTTTCGTTTTTAACTGCTTGAATGGAGCCAATATTATCGTTTCCCTTGTATACATCATCGCCTGGATAGTAATGCAGATACTTTATAAGCGACCATTGCATACCATATTCATTTTCCTCACTGGCTCAATAATAGGAATGGGTAAGTTAAATATATTATTAATTACAATAACTATTGAAGTATTTTTTAATAAATTATGAATTTTTAAAGGTCTCCAAGTCTATCTGTGCCTCGTTGTTTACAACTTCTACAAAGAACTGATCATGGAAAAATATCGGAAATTGTTTCAACCCAATGCAATAAATTATCCGCATCCAGTAGCTCCAGGAATGATTTACAGTTCTTAAGAAATTTTTCGAAAACATAGATTTAATCAGAAAAAGATAAATATTTAAATTGAATGAACAATAATGCCACAGCATTAAGCAAAACTCTAAAAAATATTAATAAATTTATTTAATAACTTAGTGTATTTAATTATGTACTTATAATAAAAATTAATATGGAGACCAAGTTTAATTTTAAAACTGCGGCTTTTTTGCATTTGTAGCGCTAATTTTCATCCAATCATAATACGTGTACCGACAATACTGACAGCGCTGTCTATCATTTGATTGATTAACTATTGCAATGTTTACATGATTTGCGAATAACCATTTGTCTCCGGTATTTTTTGTGAATATCACTATTTAGTCATATTCATGTGATTTTGTTAAACAATATCAACTGTAATATTCAAATAAATAAACGAATATTAACTAAGAAATGTGATAATTAATAATTAAAAAGTTACTTCCTTATTCAGCATGATAAAACTGTTGAGAAACGTGTGAAGGTTACAATCATTGTTTAATTAAATGTGTTTGACATAATATGCATGATTTTTTGTACTGATGACTTGTATGGATGTTTATAATTATCACATTATTCCATTTAAATTATAATATTTTTATTTATATCAATAGTTGCAGTAATTGTAATGAATACATCCAGAGACATCATCAATTACCAACGTCTTGAATGAACATAATTACCATTAAATGTATAATTTTTAAACAACTATGGATAAAAAGACTCCGGAAAATAATGAAAAGGTTGCTCCTCCACCTGCTAAACAAACTAAAACTGAATCATCAACATCTGGATCATCTGTACCAAAAGGATCAGTTGGAGGTGCAATTCTTGTTAACACAAAACAGGTAGACATATTTAATTACTTCTGATGAATTATAATATAATATAATAAATAATTGTTTGCTATTTATAAATATTATAGAGAGGTAATCCGCTGTTGAAATATATAAAAAGTGTTCCTTGGGAATATGCTGAAGTTGTTCCTGACTATGTGATGGGCGCAGATGTATGTGCACTCTTTTTATCAATTAGATATCATCAGTTAAATCCTGATTACATTCATGAACGTCTGAAGCTTCTTGGAAATGCTTATCGACTGAGAGTATTATTAGTTCATGTAATTATTTGATTTAAAATGATGTATTTCAAGATTTACAAAATGACTTAGTTAGATTATTTTTCTTTAAGGTTGATACAGCTGATCCTAATCATGCATTAAAACATTTAACGAGAATCTGTCTTCTAGCTGATCTTACATTAATGCTAGCATGGAGTAATGAAGATGCCGCCAAAATAATCGAGACTTATAAAATATTCGAATTTAAACCCCCTGAGATGATTATGGAGCGAAGTGACATGAATCCACAGCAGAAGGTATTTTTGATGTAATAAAATGGTAACTTATGTGATTATTTAATTGTGATAGCTAAATTTTGGTATTTTTACAGCTTATCAATGCTTTGACTTCTGTAAGGTCTGTAAATAAAACTGATGCCATGACTTTATTGAGAACTTTTGGTACAGTAGCAGATATCCTTAAAGCTACACCAGAAGCATTGGCACTTTGTCCTGGTATTGGAATACAAAAGGCTAAAAGATTACACAAAGTTCTTCATGAACCATTTCTTCGAGTTTCTACTACTAGTCCTCAAAAATTGGATCAATAATGCTATTGATATTCAAAGTATTTCCTTTGTATTATTTATTATATATAATTAATTATTTTTATATTTTTATATGAAATTTATGCATGAATGAATGAGTATTTTAAAAATATTTTGATATTAAAAATAAAAAGAAAATTTAAATGATGTTTAAACACAGAAGCGAATATATCCGATTAATTAGATAATTAATAATTAAATTAATTAGAGTTTGGTGGGTTTTATGGTCTATACAGATCGTAAGACCTAATTTTTTATGTTAGTTTTAAAATTTTTATTTCAAAATATCTAAAAACAATTTTTCGTATTCATCAATCAGTTGGAAATCTTCTTTACCTACTTTAGTAGGTTACTTATCAAAAGCAAGTAGAATCAGTAATTGTAGGCCGTGAAACAGGCTTTGTTGTTAGAAAAGAGTAAAAAAAAGCTCAGAAGAAGATGAATAATTAGCAAGAACTCATATGAGAAATAAAATGAGAATTAAAAATGGTAGAGATGATAATAAAAAGATTTCTGGTCAATAAAGAGATTTTAAAGCTGAACAAAAATATAGAAAACATATTGATATGCTAAATGGTTCCAGTCAGTCTCATCAAGGACAAATTGATAAACGGAAGAGAAGTCTTTCATTTTGAGCGAAAATAGTATAGTAATAATTATTGAAGGAACTACCAGCGAAAAAATTACTCAACTTACTCCATATTTACATTAAAGAGGTTATAACAAAAATGGAGTAATGGGGCTGAATCAAGAAGAATCATTGCTATAAGTGTTTCTGATTGAATAGATTCTGTTCTAGGTGATAAAATTGTTTATGCTATTCAATTTGCAGATTGTACTTGAAAAGACACTGCAATTAAATACATGACTGATGATATGTTATTAATATTCAGCTACAATGGACTCTAGTAAAATTTTTTCGGCAATGTATGGGTATGTTTAAATACTTTGGAGAACTTCTACAGTCAAGAATATGCATACTACAACTCTAATGAGGATTATATTGTCAAACAAATGTTCCAGATTCATCTCCAACCAGAAAATGATGTTTCAGTTTTTATGTTATATCAAGAAAATATCAACATTATATGTAAACTTTTTTAAGAAAGACTTTTCAACCAACATCATTAAAATATCACTAACTGCTGATAATATTGACTTTATAGCTTATTTTAGTTATTGTAAATTAAAAGTTTATAGTCCTCATATTAGCATTTGCTCAGTGTCTAACTAACGCTAATCAAAGATCTAGAAGAGCTGGTTAAGTCGACCCAAAAGTTCATTATCGACTTGACACCAGGAAACTATATCTCGATCAACTTTTACTGATAAGAGCACCAGAGATTTGAAGAACTAATTTAGCTAATACTGTTTTCTTAAATCTCTTGGTGCTCAAGATTCATTACCATTTCATTTTGTGGAAAAGAATATGAAGTCCAGAGCAAAGCAAAAATTAAAAAAAGAACAAGTTTTTGATTGCAAGTAGAATTTTTCCAACGAAATAAAATTGTTTTCAATAACTAAAAATTAGAATTTAAAAATTTTTAACTATTTGTTATTTTTATCAAGTTCTAATTTGTTAAACTCAAAATTTTAACTCTATGAATGAGAAAATTAATATTATGTTAAACATTTCTGGAAGATTTGAGCTGTAAATATATTTTCAATTAACAGATATTTTTTTAAACTAATATTAATGCGAAATAAAATATTTTAAAGAATATTTTAATAAGGATAATTCTGGAAATGGTATAACTAAAATTATGGATTTTCTTTACCTAAGACAAAAAATAATTCAAAACTAAGTTGTGTTATTATAATATCAAGTAAAAGAATTTATGTTAAAAATATTAAGTATGATTTACTCTTAGTATTACGTAAAAAAAAAGTATATTACACACTGTATCGTAATGAATTATTTTTTAAGTAAAGTATCAAAAAAATTTGTATTAAATAATTGAATATTCAAATTCATTAAATAATTTTTATTGTCAATCGATAAGGCACGTGTTATATAAATGTGGAGTTACACAAAATTTGTCAATTTCATTCGTATTTTAGATATAAAATTTTATAAAATGCGTTATGTCATAAAAAAATTCAATATAAATTTTATAAAATCCTGGTATGATGTATGTAGAGGTTCTTCATGCCCAATTCTGCATAATTTGACCATAGTTTGTAGTACTCGTCTGAAGTACATTTATAGATAGTTTCAATTTTTTTCTGTTATTTTAGTCATGATATTTGTTTCATTCGGCAAATTTTGGTCAATATAAATTCAACGTTCTTCAATTTACGTCATTTTCATTCTCAAACTTGTCTTGACATTTCAGCTAAGGCAAATATTTCAAGAATTTCGAAGATTCGTCTTTTTAGTTCTTGAGCATCTTCTGAGTCAGTTTCATCATCAGTAATTTCTGTATCTTGTTCGTCGGAATCATCTTCTGAATCATCTGATTCAATTTCACTTACTGTTCCAGTGGCTCCTGAATCTTTTTCTTCAGTGTTTTCTTGTGAATCTTCTCCTTCAGTGTTTTCTTGTGAATCTTCTCCTTCAGTCTTAGTTTTTGTTTCAGTAATTCCTGAATCTTTTTCTTCAGTATCATCTTGTGAATCTTCTGATTCAATTTCACTTACTGTTCCAGTAATTCCTGAATCTTTTTCTTCAGTGTCTTCTTGTGAATCTTCTTCTTCAGTCTCAGTTTTTGTTTCAGTGATTTCTGAATTTTCAGTTTCTTCTTGTGAATCATCCGTTTTTGCTTCAATAATCTCCAACTTTTGTAAATGTTTCATATTGACATCAATTTCTGCATCAGTAGTTTTTAAATGTTTTCCTTCAGTTTCAGTTTGTAAATATTCTGCTCTAGGAATGGCGAAACCATATCCAAAAGTATATCGTACATATTCTCTTTTCATTAAATTCTCATCTGGAATTAATTTTGCATTTTGATCTCCAGCATTACGAATTAGATCTTTTCTTCTCTTTTGATTTTCCTTTTCAATGAACTTCAAATTTTGATCCATGCAGTCTGAATCCTTTCTTAATTGATGTAAAAGATCTTTCCTTTTTTGAATTGCTTCTTGACTTGATTCCGAATCACTTTGTAACTTTTTACTTTGTTGATCACTTCTGATCTTCTTATAATCTGATAAAATACATCGTAAATCATGTCTTATTTCTTTGATGAGTTGACGTGTGCTGATCACTGGAATCTCCATTGTTCTTGGTTGAGTTTCAATTGAAACTCAAACCGTTTTCGAACTTGAACTTGGATGTTATCAAAACAGAGGAGAGTCCTCAAGAACACAACTTTAACTAGTGCAGAGTTGTTGTCAAACTGAGGAAAGGACATTTTTTGCCGGCTTGATAACTTAGTTTACCCCACTACGGAAATTTAACCCCACTATGCAAAATTTACCCCACTATGCTAAATTCATCCCCAACTAAGTCGTGGGCGTGTGCTGAAGAAAATAGTATTTACAATTACCAGTCACCCAATAATGGGAAATTCCCAGAGTCTGGCCCATCTTAGGTCTGGCCTTTTTCGGCTCCGCGGACAATATTACGGTTTTATTAGGAGCTATTAACTATTGTTAAAAGAAAACTCAGATTCTCAGTTGATTCAGTAACTGTCATATTTCTTTCACTTATTGAAACCAGATGTTACCAGATGAATTTTCTGGATAATTGCATCTACCTGGGGAGTAACCAACGTAAAGACAATAAGCGTGCTCAACTACAATGTAAGGTAGGCAAATGGTGCTCTTCAAAGCTAAAGTAGCTCCTCAGGTATAATTTTCGGAGCCATTTCTCCTTAAAATAAAAGTGAGAAGTGTATAAGACTCTACTAAATAGGTAGCTTTTTTTACTGGTACTTTGCGAAAGTCAAAGTTTTCCCACCTTTGCACTGTTTGCCATTGCGTTAAGCCAAAGATGAAATTAGTTTGCCCATTTAGGAGACAACCTTTCCATTACCGGCGTCATTGAGTGACAAAAGTTCCAAAAATCTTCATTCTAAACCAGGTAGTCTGACAGTAGTAACAATTGACCATTAAGTTGTTCATGTTAATTCATTTGTCAATTGTTATAATGATTCTGAAAATAAATGCAAAACATCACGATAAATCAATATATCTTTATTAAAAATGATTAGTTAAATATTCATCAATTACATGGATGCTACTGAAATGATTGGATTCCTTGCCGAAATCAAAAATTCAAACGTGTGATCAAAAAAGATGGAGTCACGGCTGAGTCAGAGTGTACGTTGTGATGCGTTCACGTCAAAACATTTCACAACAGGTCGTGATAAGTTCAAATAGATACGCAGTAAGGTACACTTTGAGGAAAGAACTTGATACAAAAGTAAAAGGTATATTTTCTATTTTTTAATGAGCTATTGAGAATAATTATATAATAATACAAAATAGAAACTAAATAACCTATATCTACGAATTTTATTCTAACTTTGTTTAAATTATTTTTAGGTTTTAGAATTCGTACCGTATTTATAAAATTCAGGATCACTATTTTCTTTTTAAAATTTTTGTTTTGTAATATTTAATGGATCACTAGTGCGACAAAAAGGGCATATTGAACAAGTTTTTCAACATCATGTCATGAATGTAATTTTTTAAATCATTAAAATAAAATATTAAAAATGATGTTGATACTACTAATTTTAATGGCAGTATTTCGACCATTGAGTAAGGAAAAATTAAAATATAAACTTAAATTGAATGTAGTAATAAATAGTTTTTATAACATGATATTTTAGCATGTTGCTGGGATGACTTAGATAGTAATTATAATTACATCAAATTCATAACAGTTGAAGAAGGAGATTCATTAAAACTTGCGTGTTATGATAGTGGTGATCCCCATTTACCTATTAAATGGTATAGAGAACCAACACGAAGGAATTTCACTTTACCGAACGGTGAATTACGTTGTGAATGGTAATTAATTAAACATTTTTTTTTGAATTTATGTAACGCTAATAAGTAATTTATACCAAGACATTTTATTTGAAAATAAATTTTCAGTGGCAATGTTCTAGAGTTTCCATCCATCACTAAAAATCAACGAGGGAGATATTTTTGTAACATTGACAGTATACCGCTGAGTACTTCCAGGTACATTAAAGTTAATGTCAATTTTATACCAACCATATTAGAAACACGTCGTATAGATAATCTTGGAAGTAAAGAACTCGAGTTGGGTTGTAATATAGAAGCTTATCCACCACCAGAAATTTTGTGGACAAAGAATAATATAATTTTGTATACGAATAAACAACATCGAGTAATGACTAATTATGACTGCAATGATGTGTATAATTCAACTCTTATAGTATCAACAGAATCTAATTATTATGGTATTTACACGTGTCGAATTATGAATAAAGTCGGACAATTAGTCATGACTTTTGTGGTAACAAGTAAGAGAGATTTTAAAAGTGATAGGATTCAATGATTGTAGAATTATAAATTTTCAATTCTTTTCAGCTCCAACGGTAAAAACAAATTTGCCATCTGCTTATGATGGTAGCAAAGGACCATAGGATTTAAGGAAAATTAATTATTTGTTCTACTTCAAGATTACTTTAAAAATAGGTGTCTGTAGATATGATGATTTAAATAATTAGTATTTGAAATACAAATACAAAAGTCTCATGCATTGTCCAGGTCATTGTTTTATTATAAATTGAGATAAATTATATTTAAAGTTCCAACAGCATCACTCAAGTAAAGCAATTTAAATCTTGTGAAATTAATTTTAATATAAACTAGAAAATCAAAAAGTATTGCTTGAAAAAAATCATCAAGGATCAGTTTCTTATTTAGGATATCATTAAAATATTTTCGATGACAAAAGAGTTTCTTGAAAAACGTAAGAAGAAAGAGAAATTCTACTTTTCATACACACGCAAACAATATAACTTCAGAATCGTGCTCTTATATAAATCATTCTCACATCTATTCAACTTATTTTTGAGTTCCAAAGCTCACACCATAAATATAAATAATACCCAATTTACTAATAGCGTTGAGATTTGTGTTCTTCTCTTCAAGGTAGCATATAGGTTTATAAGAGAACGACAGAATCGGAAGAGCCATCAGTAATTTCTGAGTTGCAGACCAGTGTGTTTAAGCAGAAATTCATCGTTTTTAATCATGATGTTGATACCCTTCGGCCTCATTGCAATACTTTTGCCATCAAGTAAGTTAATATTCAATGTAAAAATACCTTATTTCATTTAATAATAAATAATTTTAAATGTCTAGAGTCTAAAATCAAGATATAGAATTGTGAGAAACGAATTTTGACACATTATTCTCTGTTTAATCCTTACTGAATAATCGTATTCTCATCCAAGGTCTCATAAAATCATAAAATTTGCCTATACCTTGTACACTTCAAATCCTTAGATCTCCGAGAAAATCTATTGTATTTAGACTTAACCTGGCTAATTGTTATGTTTCAGTATCTTGCTTACATTCTTTAGAAGGTCCCTATATTTATGACAACCATACCGGTATTGTGAGTGTTGAAGAAGGGAAGTCACTAAAACTTGAATGCTATGCTAATGGTGATTTACCCATTATCTGGCAAAGAGACCCACTTCATGCCAGGAACAACAATCTGTTTTTACCAAATGGAGAATTACACTACACGTAATTAATTAATATTTTTATTTTAATTCGTAAAATAATTCTAAACACTTTATATACATATATAAATCATTAATAAAAAAAAAAATCATTTTGCAGTGGAAACATTTTAGAACTTCCATCTATCACCAAAGATCAACGAGGAGAATATGTTTGCACCACTAGGACTTCAACTGGAAGTGCTTCCAAATTTATTTCAGTTTACGTTAATTTTGCTCCGATTATAAAGGAAGCGCATTATATAAATCATTTTGGAAACAGAAAACTCGAATTGCGTTGTAATGCAGAAGCTTATCCATTGCCTGATGTCGTGTGGATCAAAGACAATGTAACATTGTCTACCAATGAGCATCATCGGATTATTGCTGGTCCTGTATTCGTGGATAAATTTAATACTAGCCTTATAATATCAACAGAGTCGGATTATATTGGTACTTATGAGTGCCAAATTGACAATTATCTTGGAAGTTCAACCATGACTTTTGAAGTTACAGGTAAAAAATATTATATTATTTATCAAAGTTCTTTGAATGATAATTATTCACTTCTTGATTCATGATAATAAAATTGTATGATTTTATTCTTTTCCAGCTCCATCTTTAAAAAGTTCAAACTAGATGATATTTAATTAGAATCTACGGAAAACTGAAGCTCTTTAATTCAAGACTATCTTAAAATAGAAATAGATATTAATATTTCAGCGGTCATTATATTTAAAAATAATATCTTTATATCAAAAGATTTAGATGTTTTGCGTCGCATATCATGATAAAAAAAATAGTTTTGAAAAAACTAAAATATATTTCATGTATTGATCATCAATAAAAAAGAAATGGTATTTATTGTGGGTTATTAAAAACAAATCACCATAAATAAAACTAACTTTAAATTACTAGACGACTTATTTCGAAGGTGAATGTTAACAGATGTGAAAATTTGGTCGAATCACCCAAGTAGTGAACAAAGAGTGTCATGATCTGAGTCTTGTGAAATTAACTTCAATATGTATTGTCAAGTCAAAAATTATTAAATCTTATTTGTTTAGAAATTTATGCAAATAACTTAAGCTCTTTTTCAATGGATTGCCCGGACGTTTTTCTTTTCTTTCCCACTTTGCTGTGTCTATTCATTCAAAACTCTTGGAAAATACATATGATAGAAACTATTGGTCGTCTACACATAAATTATTTATTAATGTAAGAACCCAAATATATACATTTACGAAGTTAACCTCGATACATTTTGACAGTTATTACGTTTTATTTAGGAAGTTTCAATTGATAGTAAGAGTTGTATACTTTGTTCTTCTTCGAATATTTTTTCACAACCGATTCAAATTATTTTTGGGTTTTGGAGCATGCTCCATAAATATAAATAATAACTAAAAGCTTTAAAAAATATTTTTTTCCCCCAAGGTAGCATATGAGTTTATAAAAGAACTACGGAATAGAAAAAGCCATCAGTAATTTTTGAATCACAGACCAGTGATGTGTTTGAACAAAAATTCATTATTATCAAACATGATGTTGATATATTTTAGCTTCATTGCAGTGTTTTTACCATCAAGTAAGTTAATATTTCATCCAAGAAAACTAAAATTTATTTAATAACAAATAATTCTTCTGTTTCAGTTTCTTGTTTAAAGGGTCCATATATTTATGACAATTCTACCATTGGTGTGGTAGTTCAAGAAGGAGATTCACCAAAACTTGAGTGTTATGCTAATGATAATTTATCTATTAAATGGCATAGAGATCCATCACATGGAAATAAACAAAATCTTCTTCTACCAAATGGAAACTTAAGCTGTGAATGGTAATTAATTAGTCATTTCAACATCATCTAGAATAATATTAATTAATCCATGCCTCAAATATATTGTTAAAAAACTATTTTACAGTGGTAATATTCTGGAAATTCCATCTATCACCAAAGCTCAACGTGGAAGATATGTTTGTAGTGCTGAGAATAGTCAAGGAAGTGCTGTTAGATACATGAATGTTGTGGTAGAATTTGCACCAGTTATGGTAGAAACACATCGCATTGATCGTATTGAACAAAAAGAAATTGAATTATATTGTGAAGTGATTTCTTATCCACCACCTGCACTTGTGTGGACTAAAAACAATGTACAATTGTATGCAAGTCGGCATTATAGAGTAATTACTCATCCTACTGAATTAGATGATGAAAGTAAGACTACTCTCATAATATCAACAGAATCTGATTATAATGGTACTTATGCGTGTCGAATTGCAAATAAACTTGGAGTTTTAGCTATGACTTTTGAAGTAACAGGTAAAATAAAATTTTTTATTTATTTATTAACCAGAATAATTACACAAAAAAAAAGAAATACATGGTTGATTTCTTGGACAATGATTATAAAATGTCATGCTTTGATTCTTTTTCAGCTCCAGCTATCAAAAGAATACTTGTTCCTGAGGCAGTCGAATGAATTAATGAAAAACTGTTTTTTTTACTTTAAGATAATTTAAAAAAAAAAGTGTGTTCTACAATTGATACTATGCTACAATATTTAGAAAATAAAAATATTTCTTTGGAACAATTCTGTTTGATTAATATTGTTGAATATGTAATAGAAGAAAGATTAGAAATTATCATATGTAAATGAATGTAATTTAAAATGACTAAACATCTCTAATTTAAACATAATAAAAATCTTACGTGTAAACTTCGAAAAGTTATAAAAATTCACTCTTACAAGGTAAACGAAGTTGTAACTTGTGTTAAGAAACGTTTACTACTGTTAATTCATTTATTATTATTATGTCGTGTATGTTAAAAAAATTTTTACATACTAAAGGTACAACTTTCACTATGAATAAAATTGTAGTGTCCTTCTACTGATATCTTCATAAATTTTATTTTCTCTCTTCCAAGGTAATCAAAAAGTGTTTAAAAAAGTATGAAATAAAGTAACCATCGTTGATATTCTTCAGTTTAAGGTTGAACGTCTGTCTGATCGTTAAATATAAGACCAATTCTTAGTTGATAAAATTAATTTTACTTCTATTTTAAAAATGTGGTTATTATTAAGTATTGTTGCTGCATTTTTTTCACCAAGTAAGTTTTCTTTTATTACAAATTTCAATATTTTATTTATGAGAAATCTCCATTTGTTTTAAACTCATAGAACTTGATTAATAATATTAAAATAATTTAAATATTGAAGATGCTCATGTAGACTCGTTAGTTATTTTATTTATTAACAAAAAAATTCACTTGAATCTATAAAATATTTCATTAATCACTTATGCACTTAATAAGTCATAATTTATTAATTTAATTTGTCTTTTAATTATCAAATAATTTTTGATTAACAGTAAATTTTTGGATAAAAACTAAATTAAGAAGTATTTTTAAAACATTTATCTAATTTTAGTGAATTAACATATTTCTGAATCAATACAAAAATTTATTGTAATTATTTTGGAAAATATTTTATTTATTAAAGTAAATATTATTCTCAACAGCTACAAATTAATGATTTTTATAAATTTTGTTTTATTTGAAATAAACCACACATGTCATTCAATATTATTTTAGTTATCTGCGATGAGAAGCCAATGTTTTATAAAAACTTAACAACATCCATTCTCGCTAATGAGGGAGACTCAGTTCAACTTGAATGTTATGCAAGTGGTTCTCCAGTTCCTAATATCTCGTGGCTAAGATATGTGTCTTATGGAGACACAACTAACAAAATCTTGCCAAATGGTCATACCATGTTCAAGTGAATATTATTTTATTATTTTTACTTAATGACTATGGGTCTACATTACCTTTATAAATCTTATGAATTATATAGTGGAACCGTTTTGGAGTTTCCATCAATTACTAAAGACCAACGTGGACGATATCTCTGTATAGCTATGAATGGAATTGGGGATTCTATTCAAGAATTATTTAATCTCCAAGTTAGAAGTGCTCCAATAATCACACAAATGACTCGTATGGATTTTGGAACAAATGAAATAAGATTAGGTTGTGAGAGTAAAGGCAATCCACCTCCTGGTGTCACTTGGTATCATAATAATGAAATAATAAACAGCAATAGTGATTACAAAATAACTGTTGGAGGATGGTCTGATTGGAGTGATAGTGCTGACTTCTTCCTTTCTATTTCGAAAAATAATCCTAATTATCGTGGAACTTATAAATGCCTTATTTCAAATGAGCTAGGACAAGTTGAACACACTTTCAACATTTCTGGTAAGCTAAAATATTTGTAGGAATTCGTTTAAAAATGAATCATTTTTTATAAGAATTTTTTAACTTACTTAATAATGATATTATTTTCCAGACGCCATGAAGATGTGAAAGTTTATTATTTAATTTGTTAGTTTAAATTGTACAATGTTTTATGCTTTTCTGAGCAAATATCAAAATAAAAAAAAAAAATATTTTCAAATATGTTGATGTTTTATTTATGAGCCATTAATGCCTATTTTTATGTTTACTAACACACATCTTTTTGAAAGCCGAAAATAAGTATAAATAGCTTAAATATTAATATAAAGAATAGAATTTGGAATAAATGCGTAAACATTTTAATAACTTTGAATTTTTTATTATAATTGAAATATAGATTTGTTCAATAACAACTAATAGCTTGTGTGTTTAAACTAATTCTCAGCTTTTTGTTCAGTCACTTTTTCAATTGCATACAATACAATGTTTGTAATAATTAACAACAATAGAATTTCTTATTATTCGAGAAGATTTAGTATGGCTTATTTCACAGCGAAAGAATAATCGAAAAGTATAAAAATATCGATGAGATCGAGATATCGTTTTATATTTATCATTGTTGATAAACAAAACAATTTCGTAACCTATAAATGAAGAAATCTTTAAATTATAAATATTTTTATTCATGCTTTTTTTTTCTTCACAAATCTGTTGAAAATACTCCAAAACAAGTTATTAGCTTTTACGATGAATAGAAAATGTATTCATTTACTGATATCTTCATTACTTAAGTCCCACCTTTCAAGGTTATACAAAAATACTTATAAAAAGATCTTCAAGTACATTTCGCTTTCATTATCAATCAGTTTAGAGTCGAATAAAGAGCTATAAACTTCGCAGAAAAAAGAATTAAAACATTATTTTCATAGTTTACTTGAATTTTACCGGACATTTTTTTATTGAAAATGTTTTTCGTACTTTTGAGTATCACTGCAGCATTTATTTCTCCAAGTGAGTTTTTTTTTTTTTTTAATTTACTATCACTTTGTAAATACATTTATCAACGAAAATCTATTATTCTATTTCTAGTTACCTGTCTCCTGTTGCCAGAAGATGGGTTTTCTAGTGATCTAGAATCTAAATTAATTCGACCAAAGATTTATGAAAATACAACAACACAAATTTATGCTGATGTTGGAGATTCAGTACAATTTGAGTGTTACGCTTCGGGGTCTCCAGGTGCCAATATAACAATTGAATGGTCAAGACCAAAATATATCAATGTATTTCAGTTCAGCAACATAACTTTACCAAATGGAGAAAAATTTTACAGGTAGAAATATTTTGTTAATTTATTAAATACGATTTTAAGACAGAGATAATTAATTATTGAATATTATTTTCTCATGTAGGGGTAATATTCTCAAGTTTCCATCTGTAAAACCAGAACACGCCGGATCGTACGATTGTACAGTCTATGAAGAACATACATTACCAAGTTCACGATCATATCTTCTTAGCATCAAGTCAAAGCCAATTATTAACCAGGCAATTATTAAAAAAGTATTTAAAGAAAAGAATGTCTTGTATGCCATTGAATTGTCAACTCAAAGTGAAGCTATTCCAGAGGGTGACATAGCTTGGTATAAAGATGCTCAGATATTAAATATTAGTGATGAATATCAAATATCTTTTTATAGTGGAACTTCAACCCTTACTATTTTAACAGAAAATAATGACTATCATGGAACTTATAAATTTGTTATTAAGAATGAAATAGGACAAACTGAACATTCTTTTGAAATTTAAAATTAAATTATATTTGTTGACAATAATAATCTGAAACGTGATTTTTTTTTGTATACAACAATATGTAATAGAATTTTATACAAACTATTCATTTTCATTAATAAAAAAAAATATATTTCACTACAACTATGGTTTTAATTATTTCAATATTTCTTATGAATTAAAATAATCTTAAGTACACACATTTTGACACCTGATCACTATATCAATTATTGTTTAGTCATTAATTTATATTTGTATTAAAAAAATTTACATTTCTAATTGGGATATTAAATGATTGATAATGATATTATTTAACTATTATGAATTGAATAAGCCTAGTAATAATACATGTAATTTCCTCAAGATATTGAAATTGATAGAATTTATTTCACAACTGTGCAAGATAAAAACTAAAGAGAGGGGGAGGGATAATTTTGTATTGAATACATACAGTAAGTAAAAAAAATTCAAAACAATTACTCCCATATTGTAAAATTATTACAATGTAAATATATTTAATAAATATTATTACTTTAAATAATCAGAACAAAAGACTAGCGTTGTTATGGAGTTTTTTGTGCTACGAGTAAATCCCAAATTTCACAATTCTTTAAAATCTTCACTCAAGGGCATATTCAAGCAAGCCTCTAATAAAGAAATCCCTCAAGACATCTACGTTTTTTATTTATGGTTATTTTCAAATTCTATAATCACTATACTTGTCTAAAAAATACGGATTTTACGTCTCTAACACTAGATGAACACAATATTTTTGAGTGATATCCTCTTTTCTTTGATTATACCTTCCAAGGTTATGAACATATTTGTAAACAAGTATAAAACATGGAAGACCGTCTCTCAAACACTCAGTTCAAAATTAAATGTTCAACTAGACACGTCAAATAATATTGATCAATTTACTACGTAGTCTATTGTTTTTATTTTAAATCAAACAATAAAACATTTTAATTTTTATAATGGCTTTCATACCTTTGAGTATAGCTGTTTTATTCATTTCTTCAGGTAATTATCATTTTTTTTTAAACATAACAATCATTGGTGATATTTATTCTTTGACGAAAATTTTAATTATGATTTTAGCTTGCGGGTTCAGAAGTTTTGGATTAGGTAATTTATTTTCTTTCTTTATGATTTAAAAATCATGAATGATTTTTTTTTTACAATCATTGTTTTTATGATTCTAGATTCTGAGTTGGGAGGTTTGGGACCGCATTCAGGTAATTTATTTATTTTTTTATCTGTCAAATCACTTTAAACTTTCAATCTCGGATATTTTCCTTATTGTTAAACCAATCATCCTCATCTCATTTCATTCCATAGGTTGTTGTTGCACGAATTTATTTTATTTATTTACCTAAAATTAGTGTGTAAAGGTCCATATACTTTTATATATCTATATTTTTCTGCTGGAGGCACCTTAAACGTAAAAACTATTTATAGTATATTTCTTAATCAATTATATTGATTCCAGTTCCTATTTCTGATGCTGACAGAACTAAAATTGATAAGAATGTAACAACTCATATTATTGCTAATCCAGGAGATTCAGTACAATTTGAATGTTATGCTACTGGTAATCCAACTCCTACGATCCGATGGACAAGATATTTTAATCCACCGGATCCTCTTTTGCCAAATGGAGAAAAAGAATATAAGTAAAAATCAAATTTTATTACCTTTACTTACACTATGAAGTAATTCAATTTTTTTTGCAATGTTTAGATGTTATTAATAATCTGTATTTTAGCGGAAATATACTAAAAATCCCATCAGCGAACAGTCAAACTGCCGGAGATTATATTTGTGAAGCTGAGAATATGAATTCTGATGATTTCTTACATTATAGTTTGGAAATAGCATCAGAACCAATAATCACAGAAGTTTCTCAAACACATGTATTTGGTTCCTATATTTTATTGCAATGTACTGCTTCTTGTCATCCAAGAACTACATTCCAATGGTATAAAAACGGTGAACTGCTTACGATGAAAGAAGATGATCCAGCAAATGATCAGTTTGTGCCTATTGGAATCGTTCTCGGTTCATTTGGTTTTTCAACAAAAGACAATGATTTCGAAGGTACATATAAATGCGTAATTGAAAATCATCTTGGAAAAGACGAAAAAGTTTTTGAAATTAATGGTAAGCGTTTTTAAGATATTATTTATTATAATTTTGGAAAATCAATACAATTTTGAATTATAACTTTTTTTCAGGTTCAGCAATTGCTACTCCGAAATAAATATAAAATTTATACATCACACAGCGATATGATTAATTGATAATATTAATTTATGAATGGTATATAGTATATTCTGAATGATGATTTATTTGTAGTATAAGAAATAGTAATACTCTATAATAATAATATACATTGGAATAATATGTATTCTATATACTTTTAGAGAAATACTAATACAATATAATTATTAAAATCATTTCACAAGGAATATTATCAAAGCTTAACATATTTTTTAGTACTATTAGATATAAAAAATTGAAGTTATAGATGTTTCCAAATATATCCATAGGATATTTTATTGTTGAAAACACTCAGTTCGAAATTAAATGTTTAACTAAATGCCTAGAATACAATTCAACATTTTAATCTAGTGTTGTCATTTTCAAGCAAAGAAGTCGGTTTTAAAATTTTATTACTCTTAGTTAAACCGAAATCATCATGGATCATAAAATCTGCACTTTAAAATCGAATTAGTTCTCTGATTAAATAAACTGAATGGACAGATAGCAACAGAATTTACAATACTGAAAAAAAAATTAAATTAGTTGACATAAATCATCTAAAATGAAACAGTTAAAATTTGTGAGTTTACTATACGAACAAAATAGGGCATTTTATCTGGGTGTATTATTGCTACCTTAGCCACAGAAGGATGACAAATAGCCTAGTAAAGTGCCCTATTTTGTTCTCTTCGTAAACAATATACTATTTTAAATGATAACTTATTTCTAAATACAGTAAATTGTAATACTGACTTGGAATTATTGATGAATAATAAACATATTTCATAATGTATTTAAAAAAATGTATATAATTTACATAGACATATTTTTTCTCAATCAAAAAAATTATTATTATTATTATTATAATTATTTTCTTTCACACAATAAATATTACTGTGTATAGATTTGATTTAATTGTCATTTCTATAGAATGTTTGATATTTTATTTAGCGCTATACATTATGGAATTTTAAAAATATACATCTTATTTAATTAATTGTTAAAGCTAGAGATGATTTTGAATACATACATAGGACGTGATGTTTGAAACACATTAGTTTGATGTTAAATTGAATTCAATTAAATGCTTAGAATACAATTTAACATTTTAATCTATTGTCATGATTGTATAAATATTTATTGTATTAACAAAAATTAGTATTTTGATTTATAAAGGAGTAGGTGAAGGAATTAAATTGTATAAGAATGAAATAAAAAGATTATAAATCTGTATTTATATTATTTATTTATGTAAGATTATTATTTATTTAAGAATTTTTTAGAGATACAACTTTAACGAACATAAAATAAATATTTCAATATTTCTATTGTAATAAAATACAAATAGGATAAAAGGAAAGAATTAATTTATCAATGATTATAACAAAAATAAACAAATAAACTTATATGAACAGAGTCTGTTCATAAACATAAGACAAAAAATATTTAATTAATTTTTATATAAATAAAATATAAATCACTTTTTTTTGCATATATAGCAACAATTTCTCAAATATAGCATTCACTGAATACAATTACTAATATTACTATATAATTATGTAAGAAATATGACAGAAATTTGATTCAACTTGCTATCATTGTGGTAAGTTATCCACAAAAAAATATAATGTTGCAATAATAATTAATATAAAGAATATAACAAAACATGTTGACTGTTTTATACTTAATATTGATTAAATTACATAAATAAAATATGACGATAAAAATAATAGTATAAGATTTATTACAGTAGAAGGTAGTCTGTTCATATCATCAACATGTTAAAGAGCATTCACTCTCTCCAACACTTCAGCAAGTGCTTTGATTAGGTACTCAGGTGAAGGACGTGCGCAATTTATTGGTCCTCTGAAAGCTCGACTGTGATCTAAAAATTATTATACACATAAATATTTAGAATATCCCATCATCAGTGTTATTTTGAATTATTATTCAACATCAGATATTTCAATTATATCATTACATTTATGTTCATGTTGGAAAAGACAAGGCGTTGGTCTCGATCCATGATGACGATGATGATGCCCTTTTGATTTCTTCATAAAGTGATAAAGATGTCGTCCATGATGACCATGATGACCATGATGTCTTTCCATCATTTTATGATGATGACCTACTGCCAGCAAATGACATTTTTTGTTGCCTCTAAATTGTCCATGATGACTTTTTTTCTCCATCCAACGACCACGAGATCTTGAGCGTGACCTAGACCTTGATCGTGAGAGTCTTCCGCAGCACATTTGACTACCATCCCCTCGCTTTTTTGTAATATTATGGTTCCGTGACCTTGAACGAGATCTTCCACGAGACTTCGAACGAGATATTCTTCTTTCACAAGATTCATGTGACATTGAAGGACATGCTGGTAAATTATCAGCACACAAATCATTGTTATTACCGTTTAATATTTCAGGAGCAGATGAAGATGAATCAGATCTAAAAAAAAAATGTTTAAAATTATTATTATTGTTTATTAACAGTTTATTGTTTGATATTATCATTAATTTAATTTGAATATAATACCAAACGTAATCAAAACGTTGTTGTCTGTTCAAACTTACAATTCTTCATCCAAAACGATAACAGGGTACCAAGCACGATGATGTCCACACTTTTTCATGATTAAAACTTTTACAAATTGGATATCAATTAAATATTCTCTTTTATGATGGATTAATGAACTTGATCAATAACAATTTAATCAAATTATCAATTAGCTTTTAAAATATAATATTCACTTTATCACAGGGGTAATAAATAAGTAAAGTACACCTGAACACTTTGCCAGACGTCCAACGACTAGCTTATATGGATTCAGAACCGCGACAGTTAATCTCTGTTTCACACTCGCGATAATCCTGAGCAAATTACATTACAAATTCTAGGAATAGATGAGTCATATGTATATTTATATCTTTCAGACAATTGAAAAATTCTCCTGATAAAAAAAAACAAAGTTATCTGTAATAATTACAAAAAATTTTATTTATATCGAAAAATATAGGAAAATAAATGTTTGTTTATTATTTGTCAATAATTAATAAAGATTGATAAATGATGATAATTATAATAATAAAGCAAGAAATTTAGCTTTTATTTAATTTTGTGAAAAGATAGTTATTCCTGGAATAATGATAATTATTTATTATATAACATTATGACGACAGAAATTTCATAATATGATGTAATTGTTAAGAGTTTATATGTTAGATTGTTATTAAAAATTTTTAGAAATTAATTTTAAGACTTTTATACAAAAAATTAAATCTTACAAATCATATGATATTTTTATATCTGATGTCTAAGTAATATGTATGTAGCAAATTTATTTGCATTGTATTGTTTTCAACGTAATTGTACATAATTAAAGAGTCAAATAACCAAATAAATTGTTTAAACTTAGAAAAAGGGTATTGACCGAATTTTGATGATAAACATATATTTCCTTATAATTGTATGGTTAAAAAACTCTCATTTTCTTTTTTTTTTTCTTAGTTAAGATAAATATTAATTGAATAAATATAAACAATGATAAGTTAACCTAAATTTATGTCATTTTGAGTAAAAAAAATTTTAATCGATAAAATTATATTAATTCAAAAATTTCTTTTCAAACAGTTTCAAAATAGTTATTTCGTATATTTTCTTATTAATTAATATTCAAGTAAAATAAAATAATATAAAAATCCAAACACGAAAAATGTATGGAAAATACGTTTAATTTCATGTAAATTAATATCTCATTGTTTATTTCTGCTCAATTAATATACAAATTAGTGGTTTTAATCATTTTCAAAGGCCATTATTGTTAATTTTAGATATAAATTCTACAGGGAAAAAACTTGAAAAAATTTTTTAGTTATTGTCATTTAATAAAAATATAAATACGTACAAAATTTCATGGCATAAATTACACTGGTACTTAATTCTATTAAAATAAGAAAAAGATTAGTGCACATGGCTATCTAACATACGTATAAAAAACATCATTAGAAGATGAGATAATTATTTTTTATTTACCATTTTTAATAGTAGTCTTTATTGCTCTAAGAAGCTTAAGCTCTAAGGAATTATATCAAGAATATGTATCACACTTTGTGAATAATAAAGAGTTAGAATAGCTATTAAATATATAAATTTTTTGTATTATATCTAGTTTAAATTTTTTTATACTCATGATAAAAACAATACATACATAATAATATATTCACTATATTAATTTACGATATTCGTTTTTTGAGTATTGCAAATTAAAAAATTAATTACCCAATAATTTTAAAATCAGTGTAGGAGAAGTAAAATAGTTCCTTAAGGTTTAAAACAGGATGTGCATGCAGTACATACTTTGTAGGTATTTGAAAATAGAAAATGTGAAAGTTTTGGAAGTCGTAAAATAGAAGTTAAAGAGAACATTGAGGTCAAAAGCAAGATATTTTCAATAAAGCGAAATTTTTGAATTTCTTTTTAAAAAATTATGAATTAAAAGAAAATAAAAAGAGAATTTAGAGAATAAATGTAGGATAAAGAGAACTGTAAGAATCAAAGTAGAACAAATATTTCGACTCGGGTAACTTTGATAATTTTTGAATTTGAATTGATAAATAACTAAATTTTTGAGCTTTACGTAAATGATGTTTTACAAAATTACCGTAAATAGGAAACATAACTGTTAATTCATTCGATTGTATCGCATTTACTATATTTTCATTGCAAGCATAATACACTGAATTTCGTAGACTTTTCTTCATAAAATTATAATAAGTTATATAACTTTGATCAATATTGATAGTCTTCATTAAATCAACCTCTTTTTGACATTCACGTTCATAACGTTGGATCCATTCCGATTGATTTACATTATTTACTTTATAAACTTTATTTAAAATTTTTTCACTAACCCGTAGTTCCATAACTTTCATTTTAATTACATGTTGTGTGCATAGTTCGAGTGTTAAATTTCTAGAAAAATTGTTTAATGCACTGAATTTATTAAATATTGATTTATGATCGGTATCTTCGACATTAATGTCAGCACCCATATTTAGAAGCAGTTCACTCCTAATCGAAGAGTAATCATCTCCATCATACCTATTTTCGACAACATAATGTAGAGGTGATTTACCGAATTTATCAACACAATTAACCAATAATTCCTCCTCAATAAATAGGTTTAAAATATCTTCAGTTTGTATTTTTCTATAATCCTCAAACTGTGGTTCAGGAACGTGAGATGTATTAACCATACATCCATAATGAAATACAGTTCTACCATCGTTATCCCTCAAACTAGAATCAGCTCCATTTTCAATAAAATATTTAGCAACTGCGATATTTTTGTTTAAGCAAGCTAAATGAAGTGGACTTATTAAATCTTTATCAACTGCATTAACATCAGCTTTGTGGTCTATAAGAGTTTTTATGCATTCAATACAATTTACATCCCAATATTTTAATGATATCAAATGAAGAGGAGTTCTTCCATCAAAATTTTTTGCATTCACATCGGCATTTTTTTCCAGCAAATATTTGAGAGTATTAATATTACGCCTAAAAGTTGCTTCATGGAGAGCAGTGTTTCCAAAATCATCTTTCCCATCAATATCATCAATAAAATTTAAAACTAATTCAACAATTTCTATTGGAATGTTATGTTCTGATGCTACATGTAAAAATTGTGGAAAATTTAATTTTCTATGAAAAAGGTCCTTTGCAATTTCTCCTATCTCCAATAGTTTCTTTGCAAAATACGTTTAAAGTGTGCGTGTAGCACTACATTGTTTAAAAAATTATTACGTTACAATAGCTCAGAGGGTATTACAGGTCGGACTCACATGATATAAACTAGACACTACCGGCTGAGCATCAATTCCTACTATACCTACACATTCGAGGCGCCATTACACCCAAGCTCGAGGTAGTTCCGAAAAATCAGATTTAGGGCCAGATGGTGATACTTTGATAGTTTTTTTCATGTGGAATGAGCTCTCTCAGTCTTTTCTCTGTGTATAAGATGAGATGAGAGTCGGAGAGTCATCATGTCGGAATCTGAAAATAAAATAAAAGGAGAAGAAAGTCAGAGTCTTCAACTCGATGATTTTGATGTAACTCATTTAAATGAAACAGGAAATAATGAAGGTAATTTCTATACAAAAAATTTAGTTAAGAAATTGTAAAAATTTACTCATTTTTTTCCATTAACAGATGCTTCTAAGAAAGAAAAAGACCTAAGCTCCCCACTTAAGAGAACATTTGATCTGATTGGTAATAAGAAGAGTGATCTAGCAGACTCAGACGATGAACCAGCTTCAAAACTTGTCAAAATCTCAAGTGAAACTACATCTGAGACACAACAAAGTAAAGATGAAAAAGTTGATGAAACTCCAAAAACAATAGTAGAAGAAAAAAGGAGTATACTAATTGATAAAAAAATTGACACTGATTCAGATAATGAATCAACAACTAAATCCCACGAGGTATCAAGTCAAATTATTCCGGAAACACCAAGTCAAGAAGGTACAGAAAAAGCTGAAATAGAAGAAAATATAAATGTTAATAGTGCTGATAAGAGTTTGGAACAAAATGTTAATGAAACGAACAATTCATTATCTAGCAATAAAGAAGATAATGAATCTTTTGAAACAATATCACAAACATTGGAAAATATTTTGAATGATGGAAATAAAATGGAAATTGACCATGTGAAAGAACCTGATGGAAAAACCGAACAAATTGATAAGGTAGCAACTACAGAAATAGTAGAAAAAGAAAATACTACAAATGATGAAAATGGTTCAGACAAATTAACTGATACATCTAATAAAAATTCGATCGATGAAAATGTACAGAAATCGAGAAAAAGTATAGAAGTAGTTTATGATAAGTCTCTAGCACCTCCTCCAAAACCAAAAGAATTTGTTGAACTTGATGAAGATGGTGAAAAAATTGTATTGGACTCTTCGCAGGAAGACGCAGATCCAAGTGCTTCTGTAAAAAGTGCAGATAATAATACATTTAAAAGTAGCTCGAAAACGACAGAAACAACTGAGAGTAAAATGACAAATGGAGGTAGTGATTCAAACAGAAGTAATGACAGTGATCGTACAACAAGTTTACCATCAGATTTAAGTGAATCAACTATTACAGGTATCATTTCTAAGGAAAAAATTCCTGAAGTATTAAGTTTAATTAGCGATAGTGAAGGAGAATCATTCATATCTGAAGATAAATCAAAGATGAAAACTCTTCCAGTTGAAAAAGAAATAAATGTTTTGTTAAAAGTCAAATGTCTACTTCACATTGACGAGACTTCAAAAGAATTAGCTGGTAAAGAGGTTTTAGCAGTTTATTGTGAAAATATAAGTGACTTTCATTCTTCATCAAGAAGAAGAAACAGCGATACTTCTAACATGGCAGACATATCTGATAATAAAGATCCAGCATCTCCTGGATCAGTAACCAGTAATCCTCAACCATTTCCTTTACCATCTAGACTTTCTGTAATGTCTTATGCAAGCTCATCAAGCACTTCTTCCAGTGGATCTTCGAAATCTGCTAAAGATAATCCATTTTCTTTACCACAAGGTGTTCCAAAGCATGCAAAGAAGCTACAAGATCATGTTTCTGACGAATTTACAGAGAAGCTAAAAAAAGAATGGAAAAATATCAATTTAATTTCATCGACTGTTATTAATTTTATTAACAGTGAGTTGATGACGACTGATTTACATAATGGAACTAATGACCAAGGAGATAATATTTTAGAAAGATTCAGATCTTCTACTCCAGAAACTGTTAAGACTTATCCACCAGTTTTAAATTTAAATACTTCAATGAAAAAAGCTACAAAACGAACGAGGAATCAAAATGGTCGACCTTCAAAATCAAATGGTATGAGTAAAGCATCATCAAGTATAATATCAAATAATCAGGAAAGTGTTAAAGAAAAGAAAGAGGAAAGCAAAGTCTCAGCATCTCCATCAACACCAAGTAGACCCAGTGGACGATCTCTTGGTATTTTAAGAAGTTATACACCTGTTTATGATCCAAGTGATGCTTTAATCGGGAAAAAATGTTTTGCTAAATGGTCTGATAACAATTATTACCCAGGAACTGTAGTTAGTAAATCTAAAAGCAAGTTCAAAATCAATTTTCTTGATGGAAAAAATAAACTTCTTATTGAAGATTTTATTATTCCAACTCTTTCAACGTTGCCTATCAATCTATCTGTTTATGCCACAACGAAAAATGATGACTATGGATCATGTGGAATAATTACAGACATTGAACACAAATCTGATGATGATAATGATCCTTGTTATGCTGTTGAAACTGATGAAGGAGAAAAATTAAAGGTTCAAATAAAAGATATCTTTTTAACGGCTGATCAAGCACAAATTTTAAAAGAAATAATCAATGAAGATTCTAAAGATCCATCTACTCCGCATGCTGAAAAAATGTCACTTGATAATAATGAAGAATTACGAAAAACTAAATCAACTCCAGCAGTTTCAACACCTAAATCATCAAAGGATAAAGCTCGAGCTGGTAAATCAACTAGTACAGAGCCATCAGTTTCAGGAACTGTAGCAAAAGTTGCTTATGAAGATTCATCTGAGACTGACGCGAAAACAGATGACAATGAAAACACATTAGGTTGGATTCAACCAGAAATAACAGGAACCTCAAATGCTTCTTCAACAAAAGGGCCTCAGAATCGTGTAAAAGGAAAAGGACGAAGCAAAAAAAAAGTTGATAGTCCAGAGACCATTAATTTATTGGGACCAATACCTGAAGATTCTAATTTATTCAAAGGAATGTCGTTTATTCTAACATGTGCTCCTATGGAATCTTTAGATAAATATAAGTCAGAAATCCAACCAGACTCTAATTCGGAACTTGGAACAGATTATGAAGTGGAGTGGACTAGAAAGCCTTTTATTCGAGAACGATTAACATCTCAAATAATAGCAGGAGGTGGTAAAATTTATGAAACATTCGAAGAAATTCCAAAAGAAGAATATAAAAGTGTAAAACTTATCACCAATGTTCCAAATATTACTGCAAAAAGTCTACTATGTCTGTCAGTTGGAATCACTCCTTACAGTCATCAGTGGGTTATCAGATGTTGCCAAGAAAATAAATTGCTCGATTTATCGTCAGATTCACTGCCAGCAGGATGGAGTTTAGAGAAAAAATCTTACGTAGAAATGCATAAACGTTCTTCCAATTTACCTTTTCAAAATATTAAAGTAATAATACCAAAGACTTATGTTGCTGAACAGTCTTTATCTCTGTGGCAAAAAGTTATTGAAAATGCTGGAGGTATTGTACAATTGATCGAAAATCCGTCAGACAATTTTATTGATGGAGTGGCAGTACTTACTAATCGTAAGTGTCCAAGTTGGGTATTACAAAAAGCTGAAAAGTGGAACATTCCTTTGGTATCATCGACATGGATTACTCAATGTCTTATTGAGGGAGAATTAGTTCCTCATGATTCTCAACAAGCTTATTTATACAATTATTATAATTAATATCAATCAATTTACAATATAAATAATAAAAAATGAACTACAAATGAATTTTTGATATTTGAACTGTGTACATGTAATATAAATACGTTACTTTATCATATTTCATTATGTAAATTGTAGCAATTCTGTACAATTGTTCTGGTGATATAATAAGAAATATATTGGCATATTTTGGCAAATATATTTGTAACATTATTTCATTATTTTCTTATAAACTTACAAAAAATACTATTGTAAAAAAAATTTTAACTTCAATTAAGGATTGTACCAATCCAAAAAAAGAAGTGAAAAAGACATAACTAACAAAAAGAAAAGTATCCAAACTCGTAAACCGGCATTTCTCTGAATTGCTTGACGAATTTGTTCATTTGCATTTTTAACATTTTCGGTTGATCCTACAACTGTTGTCATTAATTTATCTAAATCACGATCTTGAGTCAATACTTTTTCAGTAAATATCTCCTGTAATTCTGCTATATGAATAACTTTACTCTCAATTTGCTTCACTTCTTCAGTTATGGTATTCAATTCTTTGTAAAGCACTTCATTTTCAGCTTCAAACATCTGAATGTCTTCTTTTGATAATTCTTCTTCATAAGACATAGAATTAACATCACCATTCATCTCTTGCACCTTCAAAGGACTTGAATTTGATGAAGAAGAATTTTTCTTATCACTTGAATCATTACTTGTACTAGTGGAGGGTTTATTCAAACGACTGTCAATAGATTCCGATTTTGTATTCAATTCCAATTTTGCTAATGATCTTAATTCCATTGATTTCTTAACACGGATTGCTTTTTGTTCAGAGTAGATTTTACAAACACTTTTCAAATATTCTTCTATCAAGAAAATCATAATCTCCAAGTGTTCATGGTTTTGTTGTGATACTTCTAGACTTGCAATCTCTCTTTTTAATTCTTTTGTCATCTGAGAGCATGTTGTAATGATTGTTTGAACTTTACTGTCAATTTCATCTCGTTCAGCATCACTCATACGACTTATACTGCTTAAATGGCCAGAAAAATTTAAATAAGCTGCTCTATTTTCTAACAAAAATTGCTTTAGCTCTGTTATTTGTGTGACAAGCCCATGAGTTTTTTTACGCATTGCTGATTCAATCCGTATTTGTCTTAATGGAGGTTTGGTTTTATTGTTGTTTAAACATTCTTGACGGAGACTTACTGTTTTTACACTTGCTCTAAACAATGCACTGACGTCCATGGTTAATTTAAGTCAATATACCGAATTATCTACAAATAATAAAACACATTCTACATTATATGAGGTTAGTTGAATTAATTAATAACATTATAATTTACTTACATTAAATAATTATTAAATAAAGAAGTCTAATGGTAATTCTAATAGTTATTTTCTTAATTAATTAAAAACATTTCACTTATTTAATAAATTTTGTAAATACTTTCAAATATTTTACAATCATGCTTATTCATACATATGTTTTTTTAAAAATTGTTCTATTCGAAATTGTTATAAAAAAATAAAATAATCAGTGATGTCAACAATGTCGTTAAAATCACGGCCAAACAACCAACTTATGGACGCATCCAAAATGATGAACACTTCCGAAGCGTCTAGAGCGTCTAGAGTCACGGACAGGACCACCTGGTCCGCCATTTTGTGAACTCAGCAAACATTTCCATAGTGGACGTGATCGTGTGCGTATCGTGTTTGTTAGTGATCATGATCTTTGCGCAAATTATTGTTGATTTAAATTAAAATCGTGTTACTAATTTGTTCTCTGATATTTCAAAATTATTTTTACGTAAAAATAATTGAAATATTACTAACGTATTATAAATAAATAACGATTTAAAAAGAAACGTATTAGAATAAAGCCAGACAACATGGCTGAAGTTGACGCGAAAATAAATATGTCTCTTGGTAAGTGGTCCAAGTACCGAAAATTTTTAAATACCTGCAATTTAATACCTCCGTGAGCGTACGGTACTATATCGTTTTACTATTATCGATTATCATACAACAGAATACTAAATATTTTATATGTGTAATACTACATATCTTTATTTATGCTAATCAAACGGCAGGAGGCCGTGAGCATGACCAGATACCTAATAAAGGCATAAAAGTGTGACACCAAAACAGATAAGTTATAATGTCGTAGTGTGGATCTGATGATGATGACAATAATCAATCAATTAATCAAAAGAAGTATCAATATCGATTACAAGATAATTATCTAGTTTAAAAACGACATAATATGGAATACATGGATGGGCCGTAATTACTCAAAATGTCTTCAACCATGCACTATTTGAGATATATATTTTCCGCGAGTGCATAACAATGTTTTTACATTGTTCATTGGTTATTTCACCAGTGTAATTATCTATTTTATTTACTATAATAACATATCCGATAATCCTGGGGAATATTTTTGTATATGCTATCACTTATTTGAAGGGTTACATGAAAAATACTTACAAAAATATTTGATACTTCAAGGTTTAAAAATCAATCAATAAAAAATAGTGAAGTGCATGATGAGTAAAGATATTCCAAATTTACTTATTTATGAGGAACATAACCCCAAGGATATTTTTTCGTTTAAATTCTTTATTTATTAAATTTATTGTAGAGACCGTACGCTCACATAGAGTTGTACACCAACCCATGACCGACAAGACCATGAAAACCATTTTTATTCCTTTTAAGATGAAATCATAAAGCTGGAGCGCAAGGAAAAAAAGAAAAACTCAAACGGCGTCAGTGGAAAGAAAATAATCAAGAGAAACATTAAAAAGAATGTTGGAAATGCACAATCTCGAAGCCCTAATAAATCATTCAACACAAATTATAAGAAAAATAAAAAGAACACTGCTGCTAATGCAATTAAAAAACGAAATCAAAATTGGAGATTCCAACGACAGAATGGACGTCAAACATCAAACGTTGGTTTCGTTGGTAAACGTTATAAACAACAAAATGGCGTTACCAAACGTACCAAGAATGGAATTAGTATAAATAAAAACATCAAACAACAACTCACAAATAGAGACAGTGGCATAATCTTTCGTCGTACTAAAACTCCGAAATTTGGATTAACTCGTTCAAGAAGTCGTAATAATCTTGCGTCAAATACTCTCAAAAATTTAACTACAAACAATCGAGGACTTAAACGAACAAATAGTTTACCAAATCTTCGTGATCCGAATTCTGTTCATAATCGTCTGGGATATCAAAGTTTAACTCAAGTTGCCTACAGAAATCGTGTTAAGCGAGCTAAAAAACTTTTACTTCAACGACAGAATAAACAAAAGTTGTTATCTGATGATCAAATGGTAAGTAGTTTTAATTTCATTATTATTTTGAAAAAAGTAATACTTTTACACAGAATAATATTAATAAATAATTTTGTTGATCAATAGCTATACCGTCCTGCTAGAGGATTAACCAGTCTTCAACAACGAGCTTTGGAGCGTCATCAACAACAGCTCATGACTTCTCAGAGGAACATTGGCACTGGAGGACTTCGATCTGATCAAATCCTTCGGTCACAAAGGCGTGCACAGTATACTCAAAAACTCATGAGAATGAAGTAAATAAAAAGATTCTATGAGCTATCGATTTGAAAAACAATTAAGATCATCCATTATTGTGATGATATTTTTATAATTATTTATTTTTAATTAAAAAAACAAAAACGATTGTTCTTGATATTAATATAATTGTTTTTTTTCTAGTGCTCCTCGAAGAAATCCAAATAACAACGTCAATTTTATGTGTACTTTAAAACAAGTCTATGATAATCATCCAAATTTTAATCCACATCTTAATCGCAATATGAATAACAATCTTCGTCAATTACCACGAGGACGATCACCTTACCGCTCAGAAATGCAAAATTCAGTAAGTAAAACAAGTTTATTTTTAAATATTCATTTTTTTCCTTGAACCTGTTGAAATATTTTTGTACACTGCAAATAAATTCATACATATTTAATCTTTTTATTTGAAAAGTAAATGTTTATTTAAGTCATTATTATAAATGCGCTTTTTTTCTTTTCAGATGGCACGAACATCTCAATTCATGAGACCACGTTCACGTTCACGTTCCCGATCCCGTTCTCGTATTCAGCCATCATCATCAATGCAGTCCAACATCAATGTAGATGATCGTACATTCAGCCAAGTTATGTACAGCGTATCAAATAATTTAGGAGTCACTGAAAGAACTCTTAATGATAGATTTAGTTATTAACAATATTTCAAAACTATACTATTGAATACTGCATAACGGAAGTAATAAAAATAAAACCGAAATGCAGAGATTCAAGATGTGCATATACATACATATAAATATTAATTGTTGTGTGCTGTTTAATGCACAAATGTAAATTCATCGATATAAATCACACGGTAAAACACAATAATATTATTCATTAATTTAACATCAATAGAAAATTTGTAATTGATCATAATGTCATTTAATTATTATTTCACGATTACTCAGATAGTCGGTAAACTATGTATTTTTTTTTTGTGTAATTATAGACATCTTTAATTGATAGAATAATTGAAAATACTTATTACCTATAGTAAAATCACTGTTATGATTATAATTTTTTGTATTTATCGTAATTTGTAGATTAATTGCTGTATTGATAATTAGAAAATTTATATTATTTTCATGGAGTGAAAATAAACTAAACCTTGGAAAAAAAAAATGTATTTTTCTTGAAATATCGATAACATAAACAGTCATTAATCAATGTTTATTGTAGAAATAAACAAAAGTGTAAAATAACTTTATCAATGTTATATCAACAGAGAAACTCAGGCGTTTTTTTGTATCTTCCACGTGTCTATTGTGTGCTCGTGTGATAAGACAAACATCAAAATAGATTCTTGAGTGTTTCCCATCATGTGTAAGTATAGAGTTGAAGCATGTATTGTGAATCAGCGACACTGACACATAATTGATTGTGTTCATTCGTGTATTTATACACGAGTAATACACATACGAGTATATATTACACTATAGTAGAAGAGGAAAAAGAACCAGCTGACAATCAGTGACAGCAGTCCATTCCACCGCTACACAAAGATGGCTACCATGTTGTCTCGAACAATATCAGTTGCTGAAAATCTCGTTCGTTTAAACAGTTCTAAGGTAATTATCCATCTATTTTGATATTATTTAATATTTTTGATAAATACATTATTATTATAACCTTGAATTATTGAAGAATAAAGCGTAAATTAAATAATTAGATCATAGTTATTGTGTTAAGATGACCGTGCGCCATATTAGATTGTGTCAAGTCCGCTAAATTAGACGCCAGGGTCAGGCAATTTGAAGCCAAAGTTTTGGCTCATCAAAAACATTGCATACATGACCTTGTTTTAAATTATAACAATAAATTATTTCTTATATAACATTTCAAAAATTATATTTCTAACCTTCTAATCAGTTTCATTTATAATTTTTGTCAAATCGATGGTTTTCTCATGTAACCGCGTATCTCGAAAATGATTACTTTACAGAAAATAGAAAAACCTAAGTAATTTATTTATCCTTTTTGTTAAAAAATTAATATTTCGTATAATCCAGTATTGTACTTTCCACTTGATACTCTATTTGAAATATAAGTAAATTTTAAATAGATTTACATAATAAATTGAAAATTTGTAAAAATTTACTTACGCGGTGGCGTCAGAAAACCATTGATATCTAATAATACGAAGGTCAATAATCAATGACGTATTCTAAACTATTTCTTATTTTTACAGAATATTAATAGAATTTTTTTATCTGATAGATTCTCTCACGAACAAATGGCGTAACAAAACAAGCCGTTAGAAATTTAAATGTTCATGAACATATTTCTTATTCTTTACTTAATGGAGCTGGTATTCCAACTCCTAAATTTGGAGTTGCACGAACTCCTGATGAAGCAGCTAAATTTGCTGCTGAACTTAATACTAAGGATATCGTCCTCAAGGCACAGGTTTTGGCTGGAGGACGAGGCAAAGGACATTTTAAAGATAGTTCCTTAAGTGGTGTCAAAATGTGTGAAACGTAAGTAGTAAATGTTTCTGAATGATAAGTTGATGATTCAAGAAATGTTTCTATGTATTTTATATTGTAATACAGACCAGAAGAAGCCAAAACCTTAGCTGCTGGAATGCTAGGAAAATTATTAATTACAAAACAAACTGGCGAGGGAGGCAGAATCTGCAATGCAGTCATGGTAGCCCAAAGAATGTTCCCTCGTAAAGAATATTATCTTGCAGTGATGATGGAACGAGCTTTTGGAGTAAGTAAGCAAAAGTAAATGAAGAGAATCAATGGATAGAAATCAGTATTTAATAGATCTAATTATATGAATTATCTAGGGCCCAGTTATTATTGCTTCAAGTCAAGGCGGTGTAAATATTGAGGAAGTAGCTGCAACAAACCCTGATGCTATCATGTATGAACCTATTGACATCAATAAAGGCATTACAAAAGAACAAGCTGGTCGTATAGCTGAGAAACTGGGTCTAGAACATGTCAAAGATTATATTGCTAATATTATTCTCAATTTATATGATCTTTTTGTCAAAAAGGATGCTCTTTTACTTGAAGTTAATCCTCTTGCTGAAGACATTCAAGGAAATTGTAATAATAATTTTTAGTGTTATCATAATATAGACTAAGATAAATAGTTGATTAAGTAATATCAACTTTTAAAAAATATATCTTTATTTAATTGCAGACTTTGCCCTCGATTGCAAGTGTAGATTTGATGACAACGCAGAGTTTAGACAGAAAGATCTATTCGCTCTTCGTGATTGGAGTCAAGAAGATCCTAAAGAAGTTGAAGCGGCCAAGTTTGATCTCAATTATATTGCTCTAGATGGAAATATTGGCTGTATGGTAAACGGAGCAGGTCTCGCTATGGCTACCATGGATATTATTAAATTACATGGTGGAGAACCAGCCAACTTTCTTGATGTTGGTGGCGGAGCTACTACCTCAGCTGTTAAAGAAGCTTTTAAAATTATTACGTCCGATCCAAGGGTATAAATTACTCAACTATTTTTTAGATTTTTATTTTTATTCAATTAAAATTATTCTAATAATTTATTTATTTAGGTGCATGCTCTACTTGTTAATATTTTCGGTGGTATTATGAGATGTGATGTTATTGCTGAAGGAATTATTGCTGCTACAAAAGAGCTTGACCTCAAAATTCCTGTTGTTGTTCGGCTCCAAGTAAGAATTTTATATTAATTTCGATTATCAAGCTCTATTATTTTATTTTTAATTATTATTATTATTATTTTAGGGAACAAACGTAGATGAGGCGAAAGCTTTGATTGCCAATGCTGGATTGAAAATTGTTCCAGTTGATGATCTTGATGAAGCAGCGAGAGTTGCAGTCAAATTATCAACTATAGTAAAATTAGCTCATTCGGCAAATCTTAGTGTAAATTTTGAAATTCCACAAATTTCATAAAATAATTATAATTAAATTAATTAATTGAAATTTAAGCAAAAATGTGGATTTTTGGGAAACTAAACAAATCGTTCTATGTGATATAATAACTGAGAAGATGAAAGCTAACTATAATAATAATTTCAAATTAACATGCTGAATTGAATATGTCCATTAAATTATTTTTTTTGAGTACTTTTTATTGATGATGAAAAAAAAAGGAATTATTTTTTTTAATCAATGTATTGCAAATTTATTTATAAATTATATAAGGACACATTTTTAGCTAATTTACAAAGAATAAATGTAGTTTTAATTTTTAATGTATGGTAATAGTTTCTAGATCAAACGATCTGCGACTCAGTATTAAAAAAAAAAAAATAAGATTTTCCTCATTAACCGTTGATTCTGTTAGCGTATAAAAAAACAAAACAAAATTTTAATTATTTCAAAAAATTAATTAAAACAATGTATGTAACATGTATATCTATTGTTTTCTATTATAGTAATCATTTTAACTTAATCAATTTTATTTGTCTATTTTATTATTTATTATTATTATTGAAAAATAAAATAAATAAATAAATAATGTTTAATTTTTTAAAAAAGTACAAGATATTCAATAATTATTTTTTAATGAATATTTTTAACCGTTTTCCTATATGATTGCATGCAAGTGCAATCAATACAATTGCATATAGTTGAAGTGGCTTTTACAATTATCGATAAAATAGTTTTTATGAAACAATTTAGAGTTATCATTCAAGTTTGACACCGGAAAAGAAGAAGAAGGATTCAGTCACACCTGATTATTTGTCAATAACATAATAATAAATATCTCAAGAACATTTCAAGAATACTTATATTTAAAAATGTTTGTTTTTTTCGATATATTCGTCCTGAAATTTTTCCCTTTTTATTATTTAACTTTAATTGAAGTCAAAAATGATTTGAAAGCGTAAATGTTTTGAAATGAAATTATTTTGGAGTAAAAATTAATTCAAATAATGATACTTTTAAAATGTAAATAAAATATTTATGTATCATAAAAAGTTTATCTTTTTAACAGAAATATTTAAAAAGAAAAAACAAATAAAAGATTAAAAACGTTTTTGGAGCTTTTATCATTCAATCACAATCAGATGGGCTTCCAAAAACAATAGTGAGTAGCACTTATTAACCAGTTTTTATTTTACAAAAATAGCATTGAGAATAAAATAACCTTCAATTATGTCATTCAACAGATTAGGATATTATTTACAAGGACCTTTCCTAGAAGTCTCAATATTGGGAAAGAGGTCTCATCAGGTAGTATGATATTCTTTCAAAGTAAATTTTAGAATAAAATTTTCATGGTAGGATGTACTAAATTTTCTTAGCAGAAAGCTATAAAATTTATTTTAAAAAACTACTATCAATTAATTAAGTGCTTCTTTTTAAACAATTATAATTGTTTGAAAAGAAGCACTTAATTAATCGATAGTAATTTTTTAAAATATATTGTATAGTTAGTTCTACTTCAAGGTAATCTCTAGATATTGCATTTCCGATAGAAAAACTTATCATCATCTTCAATTATTTAAAATCATCATGAAAAGTTAATTGAAACACTAATTAAAGTGTTATTAATTTTTTTTTACTCTATCTAGTGAAAAATAGTATACAAATCTACATGCAGAAGAAAATTTACCTTACCCTGATGGTTTATGTCAATTATTAACTAATGAATAATAAATATAATAAGATATAAATAATCGTAAATAATAAAATAATAAGAGTTGCAATTGGATTAATTTCAGCGTTTACTTTGAGTCATTTTAGGATCATTTTATCTAAAATCGACTATGAATAAACCGTTAGAATGTGCGATTTATCAATTATGAGTCAACCATTTATAAACGATTGCTTAAGAGTCAATTATTGATCAATTAAGCTTTTTATTAACTTGTAATAAACGTATTATTTTATTGATTGGCTTAATTGTAGTTCAGAGTTATTTTTTGCAACCGTTGCTTTATATTTTTTTGAAAAAAAGAAAGATTGCATTACGATTAACAATTGTTTAAACGTTAATTATCAATTAACTTACCATTTTTTATGCACATTGTGACCGTTTTTCCAAAGTTAATAAAAAGTTCTTTTAAATCCATTAGGGTAATGAATAACATATAAAAATATATACATATATAAATATTAACTTAATTATAATTATAATTATTGTATAAAGCATGTGGACGACAGTAGTTGTAGTTCTTAAATAAATGAAGAGATGAATTATTTATTAGAAAACATTATTCAATGTTTACATTTCAATTTTCATTGTTGACACTAATTGTTTTTTTCTTCTTTCTATTCTTTAATCTTTGATGAGTTATGACTCATCAAGTTAAAAATGTTATGTTGAAAATGGATTTTAAAAACATTTATTAAAAATTATTTCAATTGTTAGTAATTAAAACAAAATGTTAAAAAGTAAAATAAAAATTTATTTCATTTTCAAATTAAATATTACTTTAACTTATCATTAATGTTCTAATGAAAGATGATCAAGCTTTCATAAAAATATCAATTGATTTTTTTAGTCAGTCCAAGGTAATTGTATATTAAACTTACTTTTTCGGAATAATCATCAATTAGTCTTTTAATTAATCAATGATAAAAAAAAATTATTACTCCAAAACAACGTATGTGAATTGTTATTCTAAAAATAAACGAATAATTCCAGATCAATCAAAGAATATGATATTGAAAAGTATTGAGTATAATAGCAGATAACTATGTATCAATGATGATATAATTTAAAAAAAGAAAACAAAAATCGTTATCAAATATCTACAATCTTAGATACCGATAAATTAATTGAGACAAAATGATTTTACTGTAATGATAATAATAATAATCATTCCAAAGTCTTTAATAATGAAACATGATGCAATGATAAAAAATTTGCATAGAATAAATTCAATCAATCAACTGCGTTTTAAAAATCTTTGACCACCAAGCTACTGAAATTCCAGGTTTTATTTTATTTATTGCAAGTATCAAAATAACTTTTTGATTTTCCTAACTTCTCATGAAATTACTGTGTAGTTTTACATCTAAAAATAATTATTTACTATAAATAATATTACCTATTTTTTTTAGCAATGTGCTAAAAAATATTCTCCATGTGTATCTATTTTTGAAGATGATCCAAGATGATACAGTATATCAATAAATGACGATGTACTCCACTTGTGACGCATTACCCACTCTCCAAATCATTCTAAGGTCGCCAAGCTTATTGAAAACCACGTCTGTCACTTGATTATAATACATTGTCAGTAGTATTTGCAATAATTCTGTGTAGAGTGTTTGATGACATTTATTGTTAATGTAATTCAATCCATTAATTGAAAATATAATAATGGAAGTGAACTTACCAATCATTTTCACAGCTGTTGTGGGATTATTAATCATCTATTACTATGTTATTGAAAAGCGATTTTCAAAATATGGAATACCTTATCAACATCCATTGATATCCTTCTATTACACTATTCTGGTAACTTTAAAAAAATTCTCATTTATTTTGAACATGCATCAGTTATATTATATTGATGAAAAAGCAAAATACGTTGGGGCATACGACCTTTATAGACCAATGGTTCTGATTCGAGATCCAGAATTAATCAAAGACGTAACAGTGAAGCATTTTGAAAATTTTGTAGATCGTCGTGTGTTTATTGATGTTGATGCAGATCCATTGTTTGGAGGTAATCTATCAGCATTGGGTGGAGATAGATGGCGAGAAGTAAGAAATTTATTAAGTCCAACTTTTACATCTAGTAAAATGAAGACAATGTATAAATTAATGTCACAGTGTGCTGAAACATTTACTGATTCGTTAATTAAACAATCAGCCAAACAAACTGACTTTAATTCTAAAGATATTTTCAGTTATTATACTAATGATACTATTGCTACGTGTGCTTTTGGAGTATCAGTTGATTCAATGAAGGATCCAGACAATGAATTCTATCGCTTCGGTAGAAAAGCTACGAATTTTGAGTCATTTAGTATGTTTAAACTTTTGATATATCAATTATCACCAAAATTATACAAATTATTGAAATTAGAAATCATTCCAAAAGATGTTGAACGATTTTTTTATCAACTAATTCGTGATACAATAGCTATGAGAGATGAAAAAGGTATTGTCAGACCTGATATGTTACAATTGATGATGGAGACCCGTCATAATAAACCAGGAAGTAAAAAACCAGAATTGACAGTTGCAAATATGACATCACATGCATTTATTTTCTTCTTTGCTGGATTTGAATTAATTTCTAATCTCTTGTGCTGGGCAGTTCATGAGATTGCGTCTTCTTCAGAAATTCAAAAGAGGCTACAAGAAGAAATTGATGATGTTTATCAGCGATGTGATGGAGAACCCACCTATGAAGCCATCAACAGTATGAAATATCTTGATGCTATTATTGATGAGGTTTTGAGATTGTATCCAATCAGTGTAATGACTGATAGAATGTGTACTAAGGAATATGAATTACCTCCTGCTCTTCCTGGAAGCAAACCATTTGTATTACGAAAAGGTGATTCGATAATGATACCAATCTGGGGGCTACATAAAGATCCAAATTATTTTCCAGAGCCAGATAAATTTTCACCCGATAGATTTCTGGATGAAAATCAACAAAATATCAATTCATTAACTTACATACCTTTTAGTGTTGGACCTAGAATGTGTATTGGTAATCGGTTTGCACTTTTGGAGTCTAAAGTACTTCTTGTTCATCTTTTCCGTACGTGTAATGTTGAACCTTCAGAAAAAATGATTTTGCCAGCGCAAATTGATTGGACAAGCATGAATTTGATGGTCAAAGGTGGATTTTGGATTAAAGTTCAACCCAGACAGTTTTAAAGCAATTAATTGTTTATCTGTTTTGATTATTAATAAAAATGTTAAAACTTTTATATTTATATGTCATTCTATTTGTGATGTAGAAAAGAATAAAAATAATATATTCAGACTGAAATTATAATTTAAAGAAGGTTATTAGGCTTCAATTGATTAGAATTATAAGATTACAAACTTAATTATAAGTTTAAACTTTTTACCAATAATTTGTTTAGCTAAAAAATTATACATTAAAAAAATATATTCTTTTTACTGCTGTACAAAAACTTCTGATCATTTGAGATTTTCAAGGCGATGTAACTAATAATTAAAATTTATTTATAAATAATAAATCTTCAGAAATAAGTAATAAGTACTTTGAATAATAACATTAATTTATCATGTGAAAAACATTTTGTTAAATAAATATAAAAATTTTATAAAGTTTGTAGAAATTAGAAATAATTTTTATCAGAATTTTTTTATCTAACAAAAGTCTTAATGATTCAATTGAATTTCCGTGGAATTATTGCACAATAAATGATTATGTTATCGAGAGCCAGATAGATAAAAGTTAAACAATAATAAATAGCATAAACATACACTTCAAGAGTATCAAATAGAATCCTGTTTCCAACGAAGGTAATCAAAAGCACATTTTGGTTTGAAGATTCTGCAGATGTAATCTCTTTTATCAACAGAGGTTATTTCACAAGTCCACATACAGGTCGATAGATAAAATTTCACTTTCTTTATCAAAACAGAATAAAAGGTGAGAGAATGTAGACATGATTTATTATGATTAATTATCTTGTTATTTATTTATACGACATATGTTTATATTCTGTAAAAAATGTATTCAAGATTGATGGGTTAATATGTAAATTAAATTTACCCTCTTTTTACGGTACATCAGGATAATTACATTGTAAAAAAACTGGTGTCAATTTATCCTACATGGCTGATTATTGAGTTGTTTAGTTGCAAAACCTTCAATCATATTTTTTTCTATAGGATCTTTTGTGCATTACTACTTAAAGAGTGCATTTTAATGGCTTTTAATTTTTAATTCTTGACTTGTTATTCATTTTTTGAAGTGTTGAAAGAGTACTTAACACTTACTGATGGGCCAAATTTAAAATAATAGAATAATGCTTTCTCATAATAATCTAAAATCTACAAGAGAATAGCAGGATGATAATAAAATAACCCTGCTAAAATTAAAATACCTATTAATATTATAATATTTTTCATTTTACTACTTACTTTCTTATTATCCTGCATAGTTTAGATGTTAAATAGTTGACGAAAAAAAAAAATAATTGACACATTCACATTTCCTGATATCTATAAAAGGCATTCAATCCACTTTACTACAAAATCAAATTTTTTTCTTCATTTCTAGTTTCCTTATACAAACAGAATAGCAATCTACAAAACTAGCTTCACATCTTGGTTCTTCCCCGATCAAGCTACTTTTTTGTTATCATTGGAATTTTTAAATTTAAATTTTAATCATCAGGTAAGTTTTCTTATTCAGTATGCTTTTTTATTGGTTGCATTATATATTAAGGAAGTATTTTTTCTTTGAACAGATTCGATGCAAATATTTTATATGATAATATGTATATTGGTGCGTCAAAAGTTGGGCACCATCCTGGATCCAGGCGGCCTCCATTCAGAAGGTCGACAACTCAAATCGACTGTCCGGCAACAAAAATGATTTTTCGCAAAGGTGATGATATAAAATGTAAGCTGTGTCTTTAAATGTACAGAAGTGAATTTCACTTTCAGCTTATAAGACTTAATCATCTAGCATCTAATAATTCACCATGAATTTATTTTTGATTTTCTTTTTATTCTTTAGTGCTTATATTAGTGATTTTTCTGTGATATCGACTCCAGTGCCAATTGGTTTCCTGTTTCCAGGACCTTCATCAGACGATTGTGAGACATAAATAATTTTTAAAAAGTGTTTCCTTTTAGAAGAATTTTAATTTTTCTTAGTATGGGATATTTTTTATCTTCATAACTGGAATGTTTTAAAATTATTAGTTTAATTAGGAGTTTATATATCGTTATTATTGATGTAAATAATTAAAATAATTACAAAAATATCATTTTAAAGAAAGCAGTTAAAAATTAAACTTTTTACAACTTTAAAATGACTTTTATTAGTCTTCTTTACAAAGGGCTTGTTAAAATGAGAGAAAAAGTTTTTTTTCTGGTTTCTTTCTAGAGTTCTGGAAAGAAGAGTAATAAAAACATTCCTTGAACTTAATGGTCCATACTTATGCTATGCGAATTTAAGGAAGAATATTCTTTTCACCAACTTACTGAAAGAAATATTTAAGAAAAAGCACAAATTACAATGAAGATTCTTTTTGTTTTTTTTTATTAAATAAAAAGAGTATGATTTTTTAAAATGTTTTTAAGTGGATAAATTTGAGAAATTTGATTGTCATGATGATGAAGATTAATTTTTTTACAACAATCTGAAATTTCAGTGCAGTATAGAATATCAAGTTAAAAAGAAAAAATGATAAAATCAGATTCTTTTAAAAGGACACGCAAACATTTTTCCGAATTCATGACTAATTCATATAAACAGCAAACATTATAAATTTTTACTTTCACGACAGATCCTTTAAATCGGTATGAAAGTGGTCCTCAAGGCCGGCACTTGTTTCACAAGAAGAAACATCATGGGTTTCCAGGAGGTCATGGCTGCCGAGGTCACGGTTGTGGTGGAGGCTACGGGTTCGTTGAACGTACAATGCTAATGAACTCTTTTCTTCTTCCTCCATATACAGTATATACATACTTGTTTTTCGTCTCCCTTTCTTCAACACACACACACACACACACACATCTATGTACTGATGTGGTCTTCTGTTAATCTCCAAATATGTTCCCTCTGGCCATTCACATTATCCTGTTTTTTAGATGGCAGCCGGACTACGAGGGTTATTACCCAGACAATCAGCCTGGTGGCTCCTTCGCCACAGCATCCGCAGGATCCCTTGGCCCTTCCCCTTATGGAGGCTCAGCCAGCCAAGCCAATGCTCAAAGTGCGACTTTTAACTTCGGACCTATTTCAGCATCTTTCAGCAATGCTCAAGCATCATCTGGTGGTTATTCTAGTTTTAAAAAATAATTTTATATAAATAAATACATTTGCATAATTATTTTTTTTAATCTTTTTCGAGGGTTAAATCTTTTTATTTCATCAACTCTGAATTAAGATTAAAGTTTATTTTGACAGTAAATGAATGCATTTGTCTGAAATGTTGAGACCTGAGGGTCAATGTACTTGGGGAGGAGTTATCTTCACAAATGAAAGAAAAAAAATATATTAAATAAAATGAGACACGTTATGAACTTCATTATAATTTATAACAAGATCGTTTAAAATTAAAAAAAAAATGGGTCTAATTAAATATAAAATATTACATAAATTTCATGTTAAATTTATTTTAAAAGGTTTGTTTTAATGTCTTTTAATTGTCAACTGATTTATTTTTTACTTTCTATGATAATTTAATTAAATAATCAATTTAATGAGTACATATATTAATAAATGTTGTAATAAATTCTAAAAAAATGAGATATTAACAAATATTAAGTAGTATAACTCAATATTTGACATGATTTTATTTTTATTATGTTTAAAATAAATTAGAATTAATAATTTTCTAATCAAGTGATTATGTAAATTGCATATTTCTAATGCAATTAATTATCATTAAAAAATTAATTAACAATTGAAGTAGAAAAAAGAATCAAATGTTTGTAGATATATGTATAGTAATCAGATGAGCATGATGTATTTGGTAAGTCCAGTATCAAAACAAGAATAATAAATCAGCAATGGATGACAAGATTTATCTCATTTTTCATAGATTCACCTTAGGGATTCATCTATGTAAATATGTCAGCAGTGTTGATTTACGTATTCTTTAAGTTAGCAAGAATGTGAGAGTTGTTTAATAGCCATGATATTGTGTTGTCGTGAATCCAGACTAAAGCGAATGCAGTTTTTTCGTCTGGACGTGTGAAAAGAAGGACAAAGAAAAAATGAATCTTTTTAGTTCTCAAGCGATCAGGCCGCAGACGGCCAGACAGCCAAACTCGTTTTAAAGGGATGTGAGAGAGGGTAGAAGGAATGGATTGAATATTATCTTTTTCACTACGAGACGATATATATGAAATACGAAAACAGAAGAGCGAAAACGATTGCATCAGGATTCTCCAACCAACACTACACTATAATTTTGTGTTAAATCTACTGTCTAAAAATGAATCAGTGAATATTCACTGCTTGGAGTGGTTATGATAGCACCAATTTAAACACTGATGGTTTTAAATCAATTGTATGGCTAATAAATAGCTGGAAAGGAGTTTTTTTCTCGGAAAAATTGTTTAAGAATTTATAAGGTGACTAGATGAAATACTTTTTTTTTTAGTAGTAGTTACTATCTAGGAGTTGGACAATTTATTAAAACTGCACAAAAAAATGCATTGAAATATTTAATGATAAAAAGTAATGAATAAATTTAAAATCAAGGCAAAGCCTAATGAATTTAAAAAACAATCTATTCTTTCATTAAATACTTGTCTTTATTTTAAAATAAAGACAAGTATTTAATACTATTTAAATATTATAATATTTAAATAGTATATTTACACCATTCTGAGTGAAAAACCTTTAAAAATGTAAAATGTCATTTTCCCAAGTTTAATTTTCTTTAAATTGTTTTAAAGAATTTGTTGTATGTACTTTTTTATTAATTAATGTAGTAATTTCAACTGAAAAGTGACCTCTCCCCCACCACACTGATTTCTCATTGCATTCAATAGTTTCTAGCCCTGACGAAAAAAACCAGTTTTTAGTTGGAAAATTATGTAATTATGAAGAATATAAGAGTATTTATTGTATTTATTGATAAATATTTCTCCAAAATAAGATTTTTTTAATTAAAACAAATTACTGATCAACAATGAGGACACTGACCTTGATACGGAAATTAAAACCCAACAAATTCGTGAAAAATAACCTAAATTTTATGTGGATTGACACCTTATGGTTTATGAGTATTCATTTTAACTACGGTGAATAATGATTTAATTAATGACATTTAATCAATAAATTTGTGAACTTGAACATCAACTTGCTACATCAATTTTGTCATTTCTTTCACAGGAAGACCTGTTCTAGATTCCTGTGAGGTGATAGGTATGTTCAATTTAACCCCTGCTCTTTTCTGGGTACCCTCAAGATATTCTGCTTTGCTTTTAAACATAAAAGCATCAATGTGATGAGATTTTAGTATTCTATTCACACTTTTTTTTTTAAAAATAGGTCTCCAAGTGTTAACCTGCATATTCATCAAAGTATTATGAGCCATCCATTGGAAATAAGTTCAAAAAATGGTTCCAATAATCTATGAAATGATTATGATATGCTCAGCCATTACTTTGATTGATTTACAGACGAGGTTATCTTTGTTTCTCGCATAATAATGATGTTTCAAATAAAATGTATAAATAAATTTAAAAACACATCTCTGAGATTACTTGAAGAGAGTATACAGCAGCTCTTTGTCCGTATTCACTCACCAGATGTTCTCGAAAATAAAACTTGCAGAAGTCGACTACTGCATTATTGCAATGAAAGGAGATGGAAAGAATTAAATAAGGAGAGAAGACGATACAGAAAAAAAGGAAAAGAGAAAAAATAGACGGCTCAAAAGGGTTAAGAAGTAAAAAGGGCTCATATGAAAGGTAGTTTAAGTGGATTGGAAGAAACTCAGACATTAAACAATGCTAAAATTATTCATATTATAAAACTCTTATTTTTTTTCTATTAATTCTTCTTAACACTGTAATTGTTGTGCTAAAAAAATACATTTATTGATTATTTTATTGACTATAATTGACTTTAATGTTAGTGACTTTGCTGTTGGTTTGCTATTAAATATTGTTCCACGTATTCCATTCAATTCTATGTCTGCAATTAGAGGATTCTAGGAGAAGAGTGCCAAGCTTTATCTAACAATATGCAACAATCTTAAACAAACATTCCTAAATGGTATTGACTAATAAGTTGCACCATGTTCTTTAGCAACCTAATATTCTTTGAACTTTACATTAATGAATAAATTTTAGTCTTTGATGTGACTCCAAGCTGAGAACATTCTTGATCACAATGTCGTTGATAAAGATTTTATTGCTCTTAATTTTATGGAAATCTAGTGATGCCTTGCTTATCAGACCTATCAATGTTTATCAGAACATCATTGCTGATATGCATGAAAGGTATAAATTTGATGCTCTAACTTTACTCCATGGTCATACACATTACAATCCGTATGAAGGTAAATTTATTTCAAAGTTTGTTAAGAATAGTTTGATATTGGTATAAAATAATTGATGTTAATGGAGACATCTTTTAACAGACATCGAACTTGCTACAAAAGTGGTGAAACTTCAAATTCATTTTGCTAGACTTTTGATCCCCACCGCTGTTATGAGCATAGAACTTTTTAAAATACAAGTACGTATGTATTATATCAGGAAAAAAAATTATTCGTTACTAAAAGAAGATAAATATTTATTTCTCCAGAAAATGCCACGTATGAATGACTTTCAAAAACCTTTCTTCGTTTTTCTGAATGATTTTGATGATTTAAAAAATCAATTAACTCCAGTAAGTATGTATTAATATAATCATTATTGATAATTATTTTTTCTTAACTAATTATTGTATAACAGGAACTTCTTACAATGATGGCACATCCAGAACGAGTTTCATTGATTTTCTTCAGGGATAAAACAAAAGCAGAGAAATTTTTTGAAAACATGTATATTCCACTCAATTGTCAATTTATGGTATCTCAGAGGAACCAAAGTGATGAAAAAAATGAAATTATTACTGAAGTTTATCGATTTTCTGAGCATGATAAGTTAAAGCAAGATTTTTTGACATTATGGAATCCTGTCACTGGCATGAAACTACCTAAAATGTTTCTTCATCATCGACGAAAAAATTTCCGTGGACATAATATCAACGTTGGTTGGGTAATTTGTGATATTTCATTCATTCTACAATCAAAAAACTACTCACACAAATAATATTAATCTAATTTCATATTATTAATGTTAGGTAAAAGATTGGTTTTTGAGAAATCCCCTTCATCCTAATAAGGTAGAAAATGGTATTGGTATCTACATAATCCGTGCATTGCAAAAAGAGACTGGAGTGAGGTAAGAGAATAATGAATAAAAAAAAATTCTTTTACTTTATTTATTGATGAGTTTGAAAAAATCAATTTTACAATCTTTAATATTATTTTTATGTACTTCTAGTGTTACATCTCATAAAATACAAAAAATGGGTACTTGTTATGACAATAACACTTGTACTTATGCTGTTAGCAAATTAGTCTCAAAGGAACTTGATGTCATTGGCCAACCAGTATCAACTTTTCGAAATTTCATTTCTAATAATTACGTGGATTGTTCAATGACATGTTTTGTCGCATGGTAATTCATTTTTGATTTATATTTTGATTGAACAAAGTATTTTCATAAAACAAGGTCAATGTTCCAATCGTCGTTCATGAACTTATTTTCGCTCAGTAAATTTTATTTGGTAATTAAAAAATATTTTCTTCCGAAATGTTGATCATAAAAAATGTTGTGGTATCTTCGTATTAACTCATGAATATTCAACCATTAAAAAATATAATCATGTATCCTTTATAGAAGGAAAAATTAATTTTAAGTTTACTGAGCGTGAATAGGTTCATGAGCAACAATCAGGACAATGACTTTAATGCAGCGATTTATTAATAATTATTCATTGTACTTAGTAACAAAATATACTACCAAAAACCTCCAAATTCATTCAAGTGGGTAACATATAAAGAATTACTACAACATAATGTATGGCGAGCTCTGGGGATCCATATGTTGATGACTAGTATAACAATTATATTCATCGAATATAAGCAAAAAGTGATATTTTTGGGAGAGAAATTCAAAAATATAATACCACTAAATGTGCTAGATATTTGTTTCCGAGTATACACCATGTTGACTAATCAAAGTAAAAATAACGAACGAAAATAATGAATGAATTTTATTGAACATTTTTCTTGTTTTTTAACCAGGTGTTCCATATTCTAAATATAATCCAATTCAAATACTTCAATTTATTACTTATGTGCTATTTATTGTTATATATGCAGTGTACTCTGCTAAACTGGTAAGTTTTTTAGCAGCTGATCGAGAAGAAATTCCATTTCAATCAATGACAGAATTAATACTGAACTCAAGTTATAAATTGGGATTAGTTAAAGATTCGGAAATTTATTATAGAGCAAAGGTAAATTATTCTTAAGTGATATGTAAAAATTAAATTAAATCTTTAATTCAATTATGTGCTTAAAAGGAATTAATGAATATACCAAAGTACAAAGCTACAAAAGAATATTTCCTTGATAAATTTTTTTTTACACGTAATTCTTGGGAAGGATTCTATCGTTTATGTGAAAATCAAAAAGATGCCTTTATTGAATTTGATTTTTTTGCGAATTTTTTTAAAAATATTGTTAATAATTCATGTGAAATCAGAGAAACAAGTAATGTGCCATATCATTTTTCTTTTATTTTTCAAAAGAATAGTCCTTTGAAACGCTACATAAATCGAATGTAAGTATTTATAATACAATTTTTCAATTGAATTATTCAAATTAACATTAAAAAACTAACAATAAATTTAAAATATTAATCATTTTTATATTATATTTTTCAGCATTATCAAATTCAAGGAATTTGGAATATATAAACCACCGCCATTCTATTTCAAAGAACAATTAGTAATAAATAAATATAAAAAAGGTTATTTACTTTTATAGTTGGATAATAATAATTTTTTTTTATTCATTGCAGTATCCAAAATCAGTCTCAGCCATTGATATGCCTCATGTTCTTCCTTCATTTATTTTTCTTACAATTAGTATGCTACTAAGCATTATAATTCTATTTTGCGAAATAAGTGTACATAAATTGAAATTAAAACAATATAAGCCAGCAAAATCAAAAAGAATTTGTAATATTATAAAATCGCCATCAAAAGGAATTCATAAATTACGTCGTAGATTACTTAAAGCTAAACACAGGAGAGATAATAACAGATACAATCGTCGTCACTAATGATAAGATGTAAAAAAAAAAGATATTTAATTCTCAAGTATATTTCTTGCTTTTTAAAATTAACTATTTGGTGTAATTTAACATAATGAGTGAAAATATGTTTCATTATTTGCTGTGATGTGCAATAATTGTTCTTTATCGATTTCAAAACACGTAATTAAGTGTTGTTGATAATAAAGAGTTGATTAAATTAAAAGATATGTATTTATTGAACTCATATGTATTTATCTTGAATGATTGCCTTTTTTTTATTTTTAAGAATTTAAATTAATTATATAATTATTTATTAGTTATGCGTCATCATGCTAAGTGAATATATAATGTCTTATATTGAATATAATTTCAACTTTTGTCACTGTGTTGTGTCTGTTTCTTTTTAATCCGCTTATGCTTTACATTGCCCTTCTTCACCTTTTCGAGTCCGGTTCTTCCCTTTTTCTTATCTTTTTTTTACCAACCAATTCTTCGGTCTCTATTGCAGTTTATAAAATTTTGCATTTTCTGAACATTTCGTGGGCGAATTCTATATACTTTCTAATTTGTTCATTTTCTATTCCATTTGATCTTTTCATTAATTCATTGCCAATAAATATACCAGACATTTTAACTTCTTAATCACATATTAAAAAAATCCAATTATATTGAAACAATTTTAAATCAGATACAGGATTATTTTTTTTTATCTCTAGTGTATTGATTTATTAATAAAGCAAGTTCAACTGAAGTCAATTGCTTGTTTTCTATAAAAAGTTTTACTTCAAGTTTCAACATAGCCTGAAGTTACTTAAATTCCATATCAACTTTCAAAAGACAATTTTCTCTATGTTCAGCTACATGTAATCCATCATGATTGTATAATGATAATAATAAAATAGAGAAACTATGGTGAGATTTAGTTGTATGAAGTGCAAATGAGGCAAATGTGTAAAAAATCGTTGGGCATCATTTACAATCATTGATTCTCGATACTCCTATATGAGAGGGTTACGGCCCTGTCAGCAGGTAAACCAGTCCTTGGTCCAGGAGGCGTCGAACAAAACGAAAGAGGAAAAGGGAAGGCGACGAAAAAAATGAAATAGAAAGTGGTCCGTCCGGTGCAACAATCTACAGTCTGTGTGAAGTTTTAAAGCACTCTTCCGAACCTTCTTCAAGCTCCTGTTGGTGAGTTGAAACCTTAGGTATAGTCGCTGCAGGGAAGAGAGTGATCCCGTAGGCTGCATCACAATCCTGCTCGCATTTCTCGTGCGGTTGTCGTCTCGGAAAGTATCTTCGGGGTAGTGTCGGTGAGCAGACATTTCTCATACACTTTTATATTATCTTCATCATCTCTTCTCAATAAATTTCTTCATTTCTTTTCTCTTCTTCTTTTTTAAATCATTTAATTAATAATTATTTTATTTCCTCTCTTCAAATTAATAACTTGAATAATTATTTCTTTAATACTAGTATTTAAGTATATTATAATTAAATAAGATCTTGAACTAATCTCTCTTATATCTTTATCACGCAACCAACGTCATCATGAATGACCTCGTGAATTTTCCACTTTTTACTCTCACTTTGTAGTTGCCTACTAAGTCGTGATTTACGCATTAGCAGTTTGATATTGCTTTTTTTTTATTTACTTTGGTACAGGATTTATCTTTGTTTGATAATTGATAATTGTGATTTTTTTTAAGAAAAAAAAAAGAAAAAAATCCTTTAGGCCATCCCGACATTTATCCCGAAATGGCGCACCTTTCGGCTCTTCTGATGATTACATTGGCCTGCATAATCGTCAACGTCCAGGGTCAACAACCTGTCAATAAAAAACGTGAGTAGTCATCCGTTAAGTTACGAACAGGACTTTTTAGTAATTTATTTAAATAAGTTAAAAAAAGATTATCATCAATTTTTTTTTAAAGTTCAAACTATTTATTCTTAGAATAGTTAATAGAAATAATTATTAAGATCATTAAAAGGATTTATAGAAAATTTTTATCGATTATTTGTTGAACTTACTTGTAATAGTGATTAATAAAAAGTTGAATAAATATTTTACAGTATTAATTGGTCAAGCTTTTGATGAAATAGTAGTCTCATCAGATCTGAATGTAAGAAGAAAATCAAAAGAAAATCGACAGGGAAAAGGAATCCTAACGAATGTTCCATCAGGAACTACTGGACCTCCAGGAAGATACACATCTGGAACAGCATTGAGACTTATATCCAGTGATGGTAGCCAAATTTCTCCTGAAACCAGACAAAGACGACAAATTTCAAGAAAGGAGTAAGTTAAAATTCATTTAGAGTCTTCAATATCATTCACTATTCAGAGAATGAATAAACTATAAAGCTTATTCATTAAAAAGTTTATTAATACACAACTTAAGAAAAAAATTGATAATTTTATTATTTTTTACATTTTGTTCTGAACCTAATGTTTATTGAAGACTTCAATAAATTCCTTATTTATAATTAAAACATGTTTAAGGAAAAAAAAAATGAGTTCACTTAATTAATTAATTGATTATTTCTGTAGTATGCATTAAATATATTTCTTTTAATTATTTAGATCAATTGATTTGGGAATTGCTGGATACTTACTAAAATCTAGAAGGCGCTAGTAGAAACAGACATAAAAATCAGCCTACTTGCGAGGACAACCGCACGACACTTACCACTTCATCTGTGATCACACGTTTCGGCCTACTTTCGGACTTTGGCTGTAACAAAAAGCACAATAAAATTAGCAGTCACATAAAAGCATCATTTCAATTTCTTACCCCTATTATCATCAATCCTTCATTCCACCATTTTTTTCTCGTTTATTTCCCATCATTACTTCAACAAATTGCACTTGAATTTTGCTTAATATGATTAACAAAAAATAAATAAAATAAGAAACAGAACTCGTGTACTGATTTTATCAATTCAATAGTCGTTTCTTGATACACGAGTATCTTAACTTTGTCTCCACACCTGTGACTATTTATTTAGATTTTCGATTAACACTATTGACTACTGATTAGTGTCTACGAGTTTTAGCTTACAATATTCTTCCTCTCCATTTATACTTTGTATAAAAAATCCATAATAGAGGTTGTCGACCTGAATAGGCTTTCTTTGCATATAGTATAGTTGATTTACACTTTATAGTATGAATAGAAATTGCAACTTGCCATTGTTTTTTTATTTTATAAAAATAAATTATTTAAATTATCATATGGTAATACCTTTAAAAAACAGGATAAAAGTTTTTAGAAGTTGGAGATGATCAAAAGCACTATTATTTTTGATTTTCTGCATTGAAGATAATTGATGTGGTATTTTAGATGTTGATGAAGAATCAAAATGACAGTTGAAGAGATACTATTCTATCAGAATATTGACAGTGATAGTTGCTATTATTGATGATTATTTAAGAATAACAAAAAATAATTTGCGTGCAAGAACTCCAGGTTCTTGGAATTCTCAGAGGGTTCTTCATTGAACACAACATCAAGTAAGCTGAGATGTACATGTGAGAAAAATATGGTAAGCCGCGTAAACGAATCAGACAAAGGAGATTCCATAAGAAAAATGGCCCAATGGACGAGAATGGAATTCCATTATTATGGGAATTGCATCATCGGGAGATAAAATAATTGAATATGGGACTGAAACATAAATAGAAATACGAGTTATTTTTAGGTTTATTATTATTAATAAATAAACTAGTAAAATAAAAAAGTAATAAAATAACACTGAAATATATTTATCCTTACTAAAGTCTAGCTTGAAAAATATTTTTCGTCATGCCTGCGCGGAAAGTTCACTTTTCCATTGGAGAGGGGTTGAACTTTCCACTCAGGTATGACGAAAAATTATATTCAGCCCTAAGGAGGACAATTAGACAAGCTTAAACCACGTGTTTACCCCCCTCGCCTTCGGCTCGGGTTGTAATTTTACACGTGGTTTGAGCTAGTCTACTTTTCCTCCCTAGGTGTGAAATATACTATTAATTCAACTCCATTAATTTTTTTATTATACTTTTTATGAATTTGAATATGAAAAAATCATAAAACACTTACACAAGTTCTTTACGAATTGTGAAATAGATTAGATACATTTTTATTTGACTAAAATATTTATTTATTAATACTTTGTTGAGAAATTTTGGTCAAATGAAGATTCGTTGATTTACATATGCATTTTTAAAGCTGAACTTACTAACCTCAAATTTTCCTCGTCAAACTGTGCATTTTTTATTTGTTTTTTTTTTACGTAAAAAATATTTAGGAATATATAGAAAAGTCATATATACATCGGAAAACAAAAATTGGTCATACAAGTGCAATAGTAATTGTAGAATAAATAATTTTGCAATGAAGGGCTCATGACAAGTACATCCGCCATGATACCTCGAAATTCACTGTAAAATTATTTATTCTACAATTATAATTACACTTGTACTATCAATATTTATTTTCTGATGTGTATACCACTTTTTTAAATATTCCTGAATATTTTTCACGTGAAAAAAACAAATAAAAAATACACAGTTCGACGAGGAAAATTTTAGGTGATTTGAGGTTAGTAAGTTCAGCCATTTTTTAATATAGCAAGCAATATTTTTGCAAAACATAACCTCATGTACGCATACATTTAAATCTGAGTATTTTTAGATATTTAAACTTTCATAATTAATATCTAAGCTTAATTTTAATTATTTCTAAAAGAAAAAAAGGTATGTTTTGACATTAATACTGAAAAAGTATAATCTGTGATGTTATTGAATATTTTTAACCTTTTTCTAGGTAAAATCAAAACATTTTATGATATCAAATAAAGTTGATTAATTATATTAATAAATTTTATTTAATTAAATCAAATCTTTTTATCAGTTTAGGTTTAATCAAATTGACTGATAAAATAAATCTTCATAAATAATGCAAACTTGAAGACAGAGATGATGAAGCCAGCTCTTTCAATGAATGATGAGAATGGAAAGCAATAAAACTACAAAATAGTTATTTTGAACAAGTTGAATTTTGACCGTTAACGGTATCAGCTGTTGACGATCCCAAGTGGTTTGACGTAATCAAGCATATACGAAGAGAGTTAAGCATATTTAATATATTAACATTATGTCAGGTGGTCGTCCGGACTGTTCGATATATGAGTTGGTCAGAGGCGACAATAATTCTTATGGGCCGATCAGAAGTCCGACTGAGTCCAGTGGCGGTGGCCGTTGATTTCGTGTCATGAATTCCTAATAGTTGATGTTCAAAGCTGTCTCTCAGTGTATCCGTATTCTTATTCATGCTTTTCAACAACTCGTTTCTTCAGTTCTCAAACTCATCCTCGGCAGTAACTTATCTGATATCTGCACATTTATACAGGAAAGCCTGTAAATTTATGACACATCTCAGAATGCAGGACATTAGACCCTTTGATCACGCCTCTGTATGCAATGATACATGAGTCATTTATTCTGGTATGTCACGAAGAAGGAAAATGACTGAAGCAACCGCGTCAGTAGGCAACATTGTCATTCTGATGGGTTGATGCATTGACGCACTAAAGGGTCGCCGCAAGGTTCAAGTACATTCCACAGTAGATTGTTCTGTAAAAATACTATTAATTATGGTTATTTTAGTCATTAATAAACAATTGTCGTTGGCATAGTTGAAAAACAATACTGAAAAATGGCATAAATTAATTGATTGATTGACATTGATATGAAAGTGAATAATTAAAATTGTTTTCTATCAAAATAAATGCTTTAGTCCAAAGTTTTTTCAGATTGGATAATATTTTATGAGATCTTAATTATTACAATTTTTGTCTCCATTTAATCGATTAGATCTGATGATAAATGGTGTTAAACATCAAGACATTCAGTTATATCTGGTCAGATTTATTTCAGACATATTGAATCCAATAAGATTTACCAGGATCCAATGACATTTTTGACTGGATGAATATTTTTAGATCCGATTTAATTTCCTGGAGAAAATTATATTGACATTATTTAATTAGATCTTGATTTTTCACATTTCTATTCTAATCTATCCTATTAGATCTTCGATCAAATTAGATCTGCTTTGATCTTACCAGTTCCATCCAGATCCTGCCAGGTTCAAGATTTAAAAAGATCTGAATATTTGATACAATTAGATTTCATTAGATCTAACTTATAAACTGATTGGTCAATAAATAATTAAATTTCTTTAACGTCAGATTTAATTTAAAAAAATACAAATCATGGATGATAGGAAACAATTAATTGAATATCAATCATCAAAAGAAAAATTATTAGTTGGAAAATGAAGTAAAAGTCCAAAGGAATTGTTATTAAAAAAATTATTGTAACAATTGGAAAGAATATATTAAGAAAAGACCGGAAAAATGTTATTATTAGCAAAGTTCAGCGACATTATGTCTGGAGAAGCAGATCCCGGATTAATGTATGAAATTCCGTATAAGATGATCTCCAACCCCGATCACGTATTTGTGACCAAAGCTCGTGAGCTTGAGTTACCGAGACATCAACCATGTGCGTCGAACTGTCTGCCTAATGATGAACAATAAAAACAGAAGAAGGACAGAAAGTGTAAAGAATGAGGAAAGAAAGAGAGAAATAAAAACGGTGGGAGAAATGTAAAGATCCCACCCTGTCTATCCGCCCCCTTATATACAAGCAGACACCTGGAGGTATAAAAGCAATTGCGAAATTCAGAATAGTGTGTTTACAAGTTGTGACATTTTATTATAAATACCAGTAGGCTCTTTTTTGGTATTTAAAGTAATAAACAAGAAGAACAATTATTAACAATGAATTCTTGGACGATTTTTGGTTGTCTATTTATTAGTGTTTCTGTTTCATTTCTCTTTACTCAAGCTGTGCCAATTAAACCAGGTAAATTTTCATTTATTTCAATTAAATGTTGTAAATTAATTTTTAAAAACAAAGTAACAACAATTATGCTTCCAATAAAGTTGCAATTGATTATTAAAAATTATTTAACTTTCTGATTAATTATTTTTCAATTATTTCAGAAATTCTAGAATTAGAAACAAACGGCAACTCAGTTTTATCAATCCGTACCAAGAGAAATCCAATACCAGTGTATCCTCACAGAACGATGATGTTAGCCGGTTTCTATCGACCAGTGCGGCACTCAGTTGGTAGCCAAGCTGGAGGAGTATTCGCACAAGGTAATGCTGTGAGCGGTGGTGCTTACCTTCGTGCTAATCAACCGAATTATCTGGCGCGCGGTCCGGAACCTGTTGATGAATCTGATGTATCAAGCGCTGAAGCTGAAGCTGCACCTGAACAACAAGAGGAACCTGCAGTCGATGATGAAGATCAAAGTAATCCTCCAAGTGGGTATGAAGAGGAATCAGAGCCTCATCAGTGGCAAGAGCATACCAATCCACATACAAGACAACCTGTAAGTCGATTTTATTCAAAACAATTTCAGTTAAATATTTTTATCATTGACTTAATTAATTTAATTACTTAAATAAATGTTCTTTAAAAATAAATCAGTAAAAATCTATGCAAAATAGTGTATATTCACTGATTTTCAGTTATAAAAGTGTCATTGTTTAAATTAGCTCTATTATTATTATTACTTGAGACAATGAATATCCTTTGATTCATTTCTAAAGAGTGAATTATTTATGAAGATTTGAATAATTGATATAATCATTATTTACTACTTAATGATGGTAATTGAGGCGCTATCATTACTACTGTATTTTTCTTCAATTAATGATTTGTTTAGAAAAAACATTACTTTTTTTCCTGTTTATTGAAATCTGGAAATCCCACAATTTAATTAAAAATCTATTAAATTATTATAAACCTGAAAAATATTCTCTACAAATTAATTAACAGTGAGTGTTCACTAATTTGGAGTTATAAAAACATCATTGTTTGAATCAGTGCTATGTTTATCACTGCAAACATTCACTGTTTATTAATTTATTTTTAAAAATTAACAATTCTAATTAAACTATTTTATCATTTTTTTTAATCCTTTAATTTATGATTGAATTAAAAATAATATTTTAAAGATGAGTAAATCATTTAGACTTTGATTTTATCACCAACAGAGTCAAGAGGAAGAAGAATCACCTTCACATCCATCTGAATCCCCAGTCGGCGAAGAACCAGACGTACCGCAAACAAGTGTTGCAAAACGACCGTCTAAAACTCCAGGATCTAAGAAAACAAAAAAAACATCAGTTTATGTAGATAATGATAATCAACAACAATCAGATGAAGATGATGAAGAAGATGAAACTGATGAAGAACCTAATGTACCTTTTGTGCCATTCAAAGCCAATAGAAAAAATAATATGCCCAATCTTAACAACTTCTTTCCAATGGTCTTCAGTTTTCCAAAATCTTATTCTCGTGATGGCTCTTCTGGTTCCCCACCCGGAATGATTACTGCAATAGCTAATAGTTTTTCAACTGGGAAAGGAGGTGTTGCAAGTTCTGTAGCTACAGCATACGGTGGATCACCTAATGGGTATGTAAATAAATTATCACTTTGTTTTGGCTTTTATTATTATGTCTAATAAACAATTTTACATTTCAATGTTTTCTTTTCTTTTTTTCAGAAAGAAAAAACGTAATCAATCATCCCACGATGATTAGGAATAACTGAAACACTTGACATTTGGCTATTGAAGGAAGTTGAATCCTGAAGATTTGTAATTGATGATATTGCTTTAATATGAGTTTTAAAGAAGAGGCATTTAGATCATTGAACTGATTTAAATTTCATCTTGTTTTGAAAATGTTAAAAATAATTACAGTTAGTTATAATATAGTATAGAATGGTGAGAAAAAAAATTAATATTAATAATGTATAATAAAGATATGATAGGAATAAAAAGAGATCTTTGTAAGGATATTGTTATTACATATGAGCTTGGTGTAAATTGTATTGGAATAAAATGCTTGAATTATTTAGATAAATAATTTGTTTTATTTCAATAGTTTATATTTTAAATTTATTAGATATTTGTAATAAATAATGAGAAATAAATTTTGCTTTTAGATATAGTAATTAAAATTAACAAATCATTTAATCTAAATAGTAAAAGACTCAATTAATATTTTTAAATTGATAAAACCTAACAATGGAAGTTGAGAAAAACATTTTTTTCTGATCCATACAATGATTCATGTACATAAATCTTTCCAATGTTTATTTACTCGAAAAAAATGTGTTTTTATCGAATGTTGGATCTTACAATTTACCTTTTCCAATCGTAAAGGAAGTTTTTTCAAACAATATTGATATTTATGATAATTATATTATCAATTCAATGAACCTTGGAGAAGCAGCATAATTATCAATTTATAAAATTCATAATAGAGATACATAAACAAATTGCCTAATTTTTTTTTCTTTTTTCAAATGTGAATAAATATTGACTTGATTTTATAATTAATTCATTGACGATCAGCTATGATAATTAGTCTTAATTAAATTTTTATTATTATTTTAAATTATAAAAAAATATAAAAAATAGTGTTTAATATAAATAAATTTGATTTATTTTAGAATTAATTAAAAGTAATTGTTTTTTGTTATTAAAAAAAAATAATTAAAAAAAAACTAAAGATTCTTTTTTTACTTTTTATCTATTTGTATTTATTGATATTAACAAAAATTAATTAATTAGTTGTGATAAATAAATATTTATTGCTAAAAATAGTGATGCTAAAAAAAACAAATGTTTTAAAGTGAGTAAAAATTTTATATTTTCTCATTCAAATCACGACTTTTCAAAGTATAAACATGAACTAATAAATAATTGAGAGAAAAATAGCTACGCAGTATAAAATAAGAATACTTATTTAAATGGCAATAAAATGTTTACTTTAAAAATATTTCAATATGTGTAGATGACGTGTTGGCTGTTAAAAAATTCCTACTGGAAGTTGTTATTTTCAAAAATACTTCAAAATATGCGTATTTGATATTGTCATCAATTTATTACTCAAGACACCTTGAAAATTTTAATAATCAATAGAAATAATATGAATGAATCACTTCAACAAGATGTAGATACTTCCGTCTAAAATGATAGTAGTGCAGAAGGTCATTTAGTTAATTGAGAAGTGTTCATAAATTTGGGAATGTATATAAGAACGGTAAAACACCCAAAAAAGTATCAGTTTGGATTGAAGCGTCAGTAGGTACAGCTTCAGATAAAGTTTTGGATAGTTGCAAGTAGTTACTTTATCATCAAGATGGTTAAATTTGTTGGGTTGGTGCTTTTGGGCTTTGCTGCCTGCCTGGCTGTTGCTATTCCACCCTCTGAAGGTAAGTAATAATTATTTGTGTTTTTTATTTAAACATTTGAATAGAAAAATTCAATCTCAGTTTTTTTCTAATTGTTTAATTATTTTATTCGATCTAAATATTTTTAATTGAATAATAGCATAAAAGATGATTTTTTGTCGGTAAATTAGGACTAACCAACCTTGACCTAGACCACTAGACCTTGATTAATGTGTAACATTTAAAAAACTGTTAATCATAATGCAATTGTTTTTTTTTAAAATACAAAGCAATAGTTGCAAAAAAGAAACAACTTTTAATCACAATCAAGCTGTTTATTTACTTTTAATTAATAATACTTTTATTACAAATTTATTGTACATTGATATCAAGTTTCATTAATCAATAATCAACTCTCAAGCAAACATTTATGAATGGTTAATGAAGTGCACGTTCTAATGGTTAATTTACAGTTGATTGTAGGTAAAATTATCCTAAAATGATTTAAAGTAAACGCTAGATTTATTATGAGCTCAATTGCAAACCTCAGTTAACAGTTGATATGAATCTAACAAGGGATGGACACCACCTAGATGGACGAATGGTTAAAATAATTAAAGAATAAAAATTTAAACGTATCATAATATTTATTGGTCTCTGAATTAACAATTCTGATTAATTAAAAAAATACTGAATTCCTTTTATGTAAATTTTTTATTTTTTTTTCTATCTACTTGTGGGTTTATTCTATAATTCGAAAAAATACATTTCTGTTAGAAACGATAGATACTTATTGATATGGTTTTATTTGTTAGTATAACATATTCAGTGATATATATTAACAAAATTATTTATGAAATTATAGATTCAAATGAACATATTCGAATTCGAAGACTCTCTATTGGATACCAGGGGGGAAGTGAATACGTGGGTCGTCACGGTGATCACGTTGATACAATCGAGCAAAATCCTGATGGTTCTGTGTCGCGAGTTCATAACATTCAAGGTGGTGGTCAACTAGGTGGTTCCACATATCAAACTTTACATGGTGATCATGTTGATACAATCCAACAACGTCCTAATGGTATTACGCGAGTTCATAACAATGGAGTTGGTTTTGGTGTTTCCAACGGAGGTAGTTTTGGTGTTGCCAATGGAGGTTTCAATTCACAACCTCATTATCCTAATTACAATACTGGTTATAATGGTAATTATAATCCTGGACAAATTAATGTACCTGGTCATGGACATGGGCCACATCATCATCATCCTGAAGCTACGGCTGAAATCATTGAATTTAGTGTAGATGAACTTGGTCACGATGTTGCAACAAAAACAGAAGTGTTTAGTGATGGACATGTTCATAAAAAGACAACACATATTTAATTCATTGATAAGATTTCGACAGTTATGACACTAAATATTATTCTAGATTTTTTTTGTCAAAAATTATAACAATTAGCATGTAGCTTGTAATATTTTTTTGGTATTTCTTATTTTTCTTGTAGATATATAAGTGAATTAATAAGATTTATTAATTCAGTTAACAATGATATTGAAAAATTTATATGCATAATGAAAAAAGGTTTCAAAAATAACATTAAAAAATTTTATATTCTACATTTTGTTATATTTTTCTACCTATATAAATATATTTTTTTAAAAAATGGTTAAAAAATAAAACTTGTAAGGACAAATTATGAATAAATCTATAAATATCATTAACAGTTTTGGTTATTATTTCTTTTTTTCCATGTAATTCATGCAATATTTATATACCGACATTTCTTAAAGTATGCATCACGTCTTACATTTCATGAATTAAATTATTCGTAAACGATTTAAGTCTTGTTAGAATAAGGAAAATTGTTCTTCTAATTATCAATTAGAATGAGAAAGATCTGGAATTAAATAATAATGTGTCCAACTCTCAATCATTAGAATGACCTTAATTATATCGATCTAGAAAAAAACTTAGATCAGGAAAATTATCTGAAATTCAAATTCAGTAATTGCACTCATGAGAATCATCGACAGGGTATATATATTCGAAGACATTCGCAATTGAAATCAGTATCACTTATCAATCAAAGCAGTTCATATCAATACAGAACTTTGATTACTTTTATAAAATGGCCAAGTTGGTGGTTTGTTTTCTTATTGTAACCATTATTTGTGCTTACATTTGTGCTGGAGAAGAAGAAGGTGAGTTTGTTATTTAATATCTTCATTAATAAATAAAACTATATCAATTACCACAAACATCAATCAGATTACCTAGTGTTGGAGCTTTCTTGATTTAAGCTTCATTAACAAAGCATTCTGAGAATTATTAATAATTATTTATTTAATAATATTCATTTCGAAAGTCAATTACATCAATTTTTTTTACCTGTCATTGTAGTAAGAGGAGATGAAATCGAACATGGACACATGCGATTTGTAAGAGAAGCTAGTGCTGATCCTGATCCACATCACAAAGGCAAGGGATATAATATGGGACATAATATGGGGCATAATATGGGACACAATATGGGGCATAATATGGGGCGTAATATGGGGCATAATATGGGACACAATATGGGACATAATAAGGGCTATGGTAAAGGATATAACAAAGGTCATAGAGGAAGTAAAGGCCACAAAGGACATCACTATTAATAAAATTCTTCAATAATCTTCATTGAAAAGAATAATAATAAAAACAAAAGCTATTTTTATTATTATTCATAACAATAAATACTCAATATGTTCGAATAACAAAAAATACTCAATTGTAATAAAGTAATGACATAATAATATGATAGTCCAACTTGTTTTTCAAATTATTGGCAGTTAATATTAATTGGTTAGTGCTAATCAAGTTGTTTATATTAATAAACTTTTTTTATGATTAATATTTTAGACGATTCAATTTGTTTTAATAAAATGTGTCATTGTTGGCGAAAATATAAAGAAAATGTAGTACTTGAATTTAACATCTGATAAGAATGATTTTCTACTCCAATGTGACTGCCAAGTCTTCAGGCTTGATAAGTTCTTTTGCTTGCATCTGCTGGTGATTGACGTGTGTGTTGTCTGCTTTAATTTTCGCACAAGTACTTTCAAATTTGTTGAAATTCGTTTGGTTATAAATTCTAACTCAGCTGTTTTTTTTCTGTACTTGTTCTTCTGTATAATACACTCGGATCCATAAATGTCTGGTTCAAGTCCAAAGAGCCTGACCTATACCTGAAGGTTCCTCATGACATCTAGAAAGACAGGTGCCATCATACAGAAAATCAAAAGGCTTTTTTTGATGTTTGAACTTCATAAATCATACTCACTGTTAAGAAAAGTTAACCTGTAATATTTCTATTTTATTTTGTTAATATTATTTTTTCTATTTAATGACGAATGATCAGCATAAAAAGTGATTAATAATATTGACAGATATAAGATTCCTACCAATCAGAAATGTTCTATGTAATCATAAAAGATTTTATAAAATTATGTACAAAAGTATAAAACACATTTTAAAAATCATATACAGCTATCTATATTTATATACAGTTATATGATTGTATAAATTCGTATATATAATTATAAATGATTGTGAAGAATAACTTTTTTGCTATTTTTGATTCTATACATATTTATATAGAGACATTTTTATCATTCAGCATAATGCCTGATTCAACCACAAATTCAGATGATGTAGATT